CTCTCACCCCTAAAGTACTTCCTTACAAGGCTGTAAATAAGCCACATCTTGCTTTGTCAAATATTTTATCAGCTTGAGTCCTTTGTTTGATAAAAAGCAAGAGCATATCTCATCTGTTGAGCATGATTTATAAGGTCTGAACATGCAATTTGAGGAAACCTGGTATCATGGCCTTATACTATCCATCATATTTTATTCTTTTCTATTTAAATAATTATAACACCAATGTTAACTCCAGCCAACATTTCACTAAATCAATACTGCATTTCCTTTAAAAAAATGCTAAAACATGTTAAAAATGAGAAAGAAAGAATGAAGTTTATCACCTCTTCTCCCTTTCCCTAATAAAAATTGTCCAATCATTTTCAAAATGAAACAACAAACTACTTCCCAAATATCCTACATTACTCCTAGAATAAATAAGCAACAAAGGAAACAATGGTGTGCCCTAACCAAATTTGAAATAATAACTCCTAATTCAATATCTGAGACTTCAATTTTCAATAACTAAATATCCATACCAACCACCAAAACAAACAGAAAAACCATATTTTTATCTCATCACAAACTAAAACAAATCAAATTACCAAGCACTCAATATCAATTCCAATCCTAGAAGCCTATCAAACACAATCCAATTCAAACCAAACACAAATCTAATCAATGGGAAATTTTACCAAAAACTAAAAATAAAACAAAATAAAAAGGCCATTGATTTTTTCAAAAAAAAGCAAAAACATACAGTGCTGCCACGTGTTGCCGGCCAGATCCTCGGTTTTCCTTGTTGCTTCTCCCACTTTCCTCGTCCATCTCCCTAACACATCCCTTACTGTATCCATTTTCTCTGTTTCCAATTTCATAAATAAATAATTAAATAATTTAAATTTTCAAATAAAATATAATATTAGAAATAAATGTGCTATGGCTTGCCTTTGAAGGAAGTCGAAGAAGATTCCGGAGCAGGAGAGTGAGCAACGTAAGGATTGGATCCATTAGGAGCGGACATGGTGGCGCTGTGACCCGCAGTAGGCGATTCACTAACCAATTCCGGGCTCCAATGAACGGATTTCCTCGACCCGGAAGATGTACGGTCTGGTGATTGCTCGCTTTGAATCTGACTCTCTTTTAGATTCTGAGACTCTTTTTCGTCCTTTTTCTTAGGCTCTGTTGTTGGCACCATAACAAACCCCTCCGCATCCATTGCGGGATCCGAGTCCTTCGGCTCCGTTTTCGGATTCGGTTCTTTGGCCGGAGATTGCGTTGAGGTGGACTTTGGCTCGGTTTCCGTCTTCGATTGTTCCATTTTTCTCTAACGTTCGAGGAAAAAAGGACTGCGCGTGAGTGGCGCGTGAAGGATTTTTGGCTGGAAGAGAAGGAACCAGGAGGCTGTAATTTGATCTTTGCGGCTTATGGCTGTTTTCTTTTTTTGTTATTATTTTTCATTTGGATTTGTTTGAACTTTGATTGAATGTATTTGAAATTTTCTTTTTTAATTTTTTTAGAAAATTTCCTTTTTCGGAATTTGGGCGATAGGTCTAACTAGAAAGGAAGGGCGATGATAGCCGTCCAATGTGATGACTTTTTTTAGATCCAGTGTGATACTAACGGACAATTTTGACTTCTAGGGGCTCATATCTTTCTTCAACCATTTCCCTTTTTTTTTTTTTCAATATTCAAAAACTTTTTTTTTAATAAAAATCATGTTTTCACAGTGAAAGTAACGAAGAGAATAAACGTTTAAAATGTTAGGCAAGCCTTCCACTGACCCTTATAAATTATTTATGAATGAATTAAATACATTGATAGAGTAATTCAAAATTTTTTAATTGATTTTAGATCGGATTTTCAATTTATATCATAAGAAATAACATGCATTCATATAAAAACTATGATGATGCAGTTTTCGAAGTCGACAAAAGCCCATGAGAAAAATCCAAAATTGATCCCAAGATAAACTATGAAAAGGGGAAACCCTAGTTCCTCTTTCCTAATAGGAATTCCATGCAACGAAACAACCTTCATATTGAAGCCAACGTTCATATATCCTAGAATCTGTTGGATCTTCTTAAAGAAGCAAAGCATCGTCCCCAACGCCTTTCTCAAACCTGATCTAAGCCAAGTAGAAAGAAAGGAATAACTGAAGTTTCTAACATATATACGCCCAAAAATTAAAAAGTACATTTTATGTTTTATTTGAATTGACGGAAAATGAGTAAAATAAATTAAAATGAGGGAGAATAAGATGTAAATAAGCAAAATTATTTAGGGATTATTCGAATTTACTCCACTCATTTGTATTTATGTTAAAGTTCGAAAATGCGTTCGAACATTTGAGTTAGTAATTGATGTATATATTTAAGAAAATATATTTATATTTTTATTTTTAAATTTTTTTTTCAAGTTTTAATTGTGTAAACCCAGCCATTCTAATTTTAATATTGCCAATCAAATTATATAAATTTTAAAGTATAATATGAGTTCTCATTTCAAATTATAATAAAATAATTTGAAACACAAACAATACCTCAAAAATAGAAGACTAAACTTCATATTAATAACAAGATAATATTTTTAAGAAATCCCAAATCAGTGTAGTAATTTTTATCAAATTACATAATAACAGCCTAAGGCACAAACATAAGATAATAATTTTTTTTTCTCATCCAGAGGTTAATTCATAACAGAAATTTTGAGTCTCGTTTTCTATTGAAGATCAAAGTCTGATATCATATTCAACTCATCTAACAATTCCTCCATATCGATTTTTTTCCTCTTCTGTAAATGAGTCAGATATCTTGCTCACTGCAATGGCTAATTCATCTTTATCGCCATTTCATATATTTTTTAATGGTGTAGTTGAAGAAGCTGCAGTTAATTTGTTCCCTTTTTCTTTGAGCATGAGTAAGGGGAGAAACACCAATTTGACTTTCAAATCTAGAAGCCCTCAACAGTAAATATCTTTAACTTATATTGAAAGAAAAGTTAATTGACTTGTATCATCCGTTGATTTGGTGAATGAAAAAAAGGCAGCTTAATTTGGAATTCATTCTTTTTGTTAACAATGGAGGAATTTTGCAGAAAAAACTAAGCCGAATATAAAAGAGGAAGATATGGAGTAAATTGAGAGGGAAGGAGATGGTGAGATGGGAAGCTGGAGATCAGGATAGAGCTTGGAGTTATCAACTTTGATTGAAGAGATTTCTCGTGTTATTGGCTAGTTGTGGAAAAATATGGATTTTGGGATATGATAATCAATGTTGCTTGCTTTCTTGGGTAGGGTATAGAATTGGCTAAGAGCTCTTGCTCCGTTAATGATTGTTTAAGGTCTAATGCGGTGGTCGGAGTGGTAGCTAGTTGTGATAAACATGGATCATGGTGGTTGGGGTTCATCGGTTTGAGTCAAATCAATTTAAAATTTTTAAATAGTAATAGTTTTCAGAAAGTTAAAAAAAAAAATTTTTTTGAAATTAAAAATATATATTTTTGAAGGCTCTTAAAATTTTAAAATTATTCATAGCATTTAATTCATGAAATGGAAGTTGCAGAGAAATGAAAGAAATAAAAAGAAGAAAAAGAGGTGAGAGAGAGATTTAGTGATATAGAATTGTAGATGGGTTGGCTTACAATCCAATAGACAAATGGATTAGGAAAAAAAGAAAAAGGAAAAGGTGATAACACATTTTCAAAGAAATTTTTGTGCATGCCGCCAGAAAGGGAATTTAAAAAACGAAACAATTTATATGAATGTTTTTTAGTAAAATTTGTGAAGTTTTTTATTAAAAATAATTAAATTAAATTATAAATTAAAATGTTTTGTTACATAGATTAAATTATATAATTTAAAATATTAATAAATTTTGATTTTTTTTTATAAATATTTTTAGTAAAAATTTTAATAAAATTTTTATCGTAAAATAAGTACCTACTAAATTTGAATTATAAATGATACTTTTAATTAATTTTTTGTATATTATTAATTTTTACATTGAAATCTATTAATTTATTGGTATAAATTTTTTTAAAATTTTTATTAAATTATTTATAAAAAAAAACCTTTATTAACTTCATTTAAGTTTTGTTTTAGAAAAATACCTCTCTAGAAAGATTGGGGATGTCAATCTTATCCATATTTAATAAGAAATTTAATTTTTTTATCCGAATGGAGATGGAATAAGTATTATATTATGGTGATAGAGATGAGAATAATTTTAAATTTTTATTAGGTATGAGGATGGGGACGGATAATATAATAGTCGTCCTGTACCTGTACCTTATATATATTTATATATATTTAGTAAATAGATTTTTTATTAAATAATATAAATTATTATTTTAGATTAATTAGAATTAATATATTTTTATTAAAAATATATATTAATATATATTTATAAAAAAATTACCTAAATATACAAAATAAAATTAAAAAAAATTAAAAAATTTTAGTTATTATTTTTTTTTTTTAAGTTAAGAGTATAAGAATTACTCATGCTCATTAAATATCTGCGATGTCGAATATGAAGATAAATTTAAAATATCCATTAAGTATAAATATGGAAATGAATATAACATAAAAATCTAAAGATGATGATGGATAATACTCTACTCTACCCATATCATACCTATTGATATCCCTAACCCTCAAATATGGTGTTTCATTATTAATGTAATAAACATATGTAGATATGGTATTTAGTATCCAAGAAGTTGCAATGTGGGAATTGATAATCCCTGTTTTGTTAACTCTTAAGTTTTATTAATGTATTTATTTCTTAAATCTAATTATTTAAACCACTTGAGTTAAACTTTTAAGTTTCTTTATTAATTGAAATACAATTTCGTTGTTTGGTTTATGAGTTGTATTGGATACAGAAATTAATCAAGCTAGTCATCATTGACAGCAGCACAGTTCCAGAAAAGGTTACAGGTAGATTTAGGAGTTATTGTTTTAAAACATAGTTAGATAAATGATCAATCAGCAGCATGAAATTAAATATCGGGAATCATTGAAAGCTCAAACCAGTACCTTGGAACTTTTCTTTTGTAATCCGATCTAATATCTCAGCCATTTCAGGTGTCAAATGGTTTACCCAATCTCCAACTAGATCTTTCCTGAAGTAATCAGAACTGCTAAAAGGACGTTCCAACCTTATTGTTTCATCTTTATTGACATCCAGATTAGTCAAATTCTCAAAACTACACAGCTTCACTATTTCTTGCACAAATTCTTTATTTTCTTCCTCTGATGAAAAGGGTTACCCCAAGAACTCTGCCAATTTCCTCACACAAACCAAAGGCTCCTTTTTCATATCCTCATATTTCATGAACAACACCTTCTTTGGTGACTCCAAACTAGCTTTCCAATACAACCAAACATGATACCCAAACGGTCCATAGGCTTCTTCTAGTGAAAGTGGTGGCAGTTCTTAGGGTCTTAACTCTCAACCTGTTCGTGAAATGCTACTTTGAAACAAAAACATCTTTGGGGTCATGGCAAATGTAAACGAAACGGCAAGCAGAGGCATCTTGGGTTAACGTCACGGAGACATGGACTTTGGAAACAAAGAGTAGGGAAGGTGACTTGAAAGAAACCGAGGCCATTAGAATTGGACCAATGAAGAATAAGAGAGCCGTTTTTCAGCTGGTTATAGTAGGGGGAGAATTATATGAAGATTTTGGGGTTAAGTTTGTAATTTTTTTATTAAAAATAATTTAATGAAAATTTTAATAAAAAATTTAAATTGATAAAATTCAATAAAAAAATCAATAATATGTAAAAAAATATTTAAAATGTCTTTTATAATAAATTTGATTAGTTTTTATTTAATGATAAAAATTTTATTAAATTTTTTATTAAAAATGCATATCTAAAAAATATATCAAATTTTACATATTTGATTTATGTAATAAAAATTTTTAATTTATTATGATTTTAATTTTAATAAAAAATTTTACCTAACAAATTTCATGTAAATTTTCCGTTATATGAGATCTAAGGAGTAAACAATAAGGAATTTCAGTTTGATGGGTGAAATTATAATTTTTTTAACTAACTCAAATTAATCTAAAATTAAATCTTAAATATAAAAAAATTTTAATAACTTAGAGGCGACCGCCCCTAAGACTTCCTATGGAGTAAGGTAAAGTTATTAAAATAAATAACATTGAATAGTCTGGCAACCTTGAATTCGAAAGGTCTCTGTGTTGTGAAGTGGCATGATTTTCATTGGGTAAAATTCCTTTCAGTATAAAATATTTTTATAATGCTTTAATAACGTCAAGTTGGATTGATTTTCCTTTGGCATCCAATTAGAAGGTAAAGCTTGAGTAGATGGAGCCTAGATGAAGAGGCAATAGTTTTATTTATATCAAAGAACTTTAAAAGTCTAAAGTATATTGATTGAATTGATAAATTTTGAATAATTGGTTTGCATGTATGCATATTCAATATAAGTTTATTGTGAATTCTGTGATTTGTCCTAATTTTAAAATAAAAAAAATCTTTTTATTTTAAAATTTTGTTATTAAAAAATGTGTCTTATACATGTGGCAATTGATTTTTTAAACTCTAAAAACAATAAATAAAAAATAAAATTTGTCTCTTTAATTATATTTATTAAAATAAATTAATTAATTATTAAACTTATATTTAGTTCAATTATATATTAAATTTGAGCTAAGTCTTTTGTCCTTTATCATCTGTTACTGTTGAAAAAAAAAAAAGAGTGAGAATGAGAGCGGAATTTAATCACTAGATTAATTTGATTTGATCCATGAAAAATAATTGCTAGGAACTCTAACAGCAAAATTATATTTTAATTAATTTTCTGTAAGAAATTAAAATTATTGGGTGGCATTACTAACCGAGTTAGGGGACAGTGAGTGATGAATGACATCAGGGTTCATAAATGATTCTAGTAAAACAATCCATCCGCTTGACTTCAAAAGGAATCCTAACCTTCAATGGGCCGAGACAGGCTAGAGACGGACATCCCATGTGCTGTTAGGGCTTTCTTTAGAAAAGAAATTAAAGAAGAATTATAATTAAGCTTGGCGGAGCCGAAGGTTCCAAATAATATATATATATATATATATAATTAATAAGTGATCAGTTCAATTGATTAAAATTTATTTTTTTTGATAAAAATTTTGTGTTCAAATTTTATCGATGATCACTTATTGAGATCATCTCGACTGCACAACTTACATCCATTTATCTTAAACTGTTAGGTACTATATATTTTACCACAATCTAAAGAATTAAGTAATCTATTACTTTTAAATTTTTTTTATCAAAAAAAAATATATATATATATATATATATACACACATCATAGAGAAGATAATGGGAGGGATCCGGTGACTTTTTTTTCGTCTTAAATTCGATTTGATTTCATAAATTTAATATTTAAATTTAATTTTATATTAAAATATATTTAATAACTATCATACTTGATTTGTATATATTTAAACTCATAACCGATTCAATTTAATTCAAAATTAATGAAATATTAATTTTTAAATATAAAATATTATTTAATATTATTTTTAACATAAAATATTATTTTGTAAATATTAAATTAAATAAATATATAAATATAAAATTAAATAAATAATAAAAATATATATACCAAATGGGGTTAAGACGGGTTTGCATAAAATTCAACCTCAATTTTTTTTTTTCAAAAATATCTAATCCGATTCATCCGAAATCTAATTTAAAAAAAAATTATAAAATTAGGTTGAGTCAAAATCGAGGGTACAAGTTGTATTATTTATATGCAAATTTGAAATATATCTAATTTTATCCTAAATTAAATTTTAATTTTAGCATAGGTTTTTCTTTTAATATTTCAAATGATTTTTAAAAATGCTCTCTTCCACATCATTTATGTATTCAAGATTTTATTTGCATAATATTCTCAGATAATATCGAACCTTGATGATAAAGAAATAAAACTCCTTTTCGGACTAATCTTTAATTATCAGTTGAATGAAGAATATTTAAGCCAATGATAAAGCCTGTTGGGTTAGATTAGCTTGATAAACTCCTCCCAAATGATCTTTTGGTTTGAATGGATGAATATGATATCCCATCATAATCACATTTCACACAACCTGTGGAGATAGGTAACTGAAGTCTGTCGGGTTAGATTAGCTTGATAAAGCAAATATTTGCTGAATCTATTCCTTTAAATTCAAGCCAAGCTCGAAGTATTCATCCAATCAAGCCCGCTGTTGAACTGTGAAAACTTGAAATTTTTCTAAGAAAACAATTAAAAAATAAACAAAGAAAGAAGAGATTATATGAGCCTTTCTTAGATATTGTATGTCACCTTCATTTATGTCCTGATTCATGGACTGATTTACCAACCATTATTATAATCGGTTGTAGCTGAGATATGAAATGGATAGTAGCAGTGATTCTTGACCGGTTCAGTTATATGTTACTGGCTGCAGAGATCGAGGAATGACGACCAACCCAATAATATGGGAGGTAGACTGGTAGCTGAAGCCTTGATCATATGCCCAATATTGACAGTTTATTAGCTGGATACCATTGATTTTTGCAATTTTGTATGGTTTAAGACAGGATTTAGTCGTTGTAGTTGAGTCAATGTTCATATAGATTCATTTAGCTCAATTCGTTAAAGTCAAATTTTCTTAATTTCAACTTCTTATATTTTTGCAGAATCAATTAAATAAAATTGTTAACACCTTCGTTGGTTTACCTTTGAATCCCCATTCTTTTGCCTTTTAGGTCTATTTTGAAATCTCATGATGAAAGAAGGTTTGAAGGGATTGTTAACTCGGTTGGTCTTTTAAATGGTCCATTAGCCTGGCTTCTGATTTGGTTATGAATGTTTTTACATGAAATTTGGCAATTTCAAACATCTTATTCAGGTACAAATTGGAAGCCCCTAAATCAGTGTGGGTTAAGTTAAATTATCCACTGATAAGCAGTGAAAAAATGAAAACAAGAGCATTAAAAACTCGAGACAATATCTCCAGCTGAATTTCAACCATTTTAGCTACTGCTGTGACATTGGTTCATCATTAACATTCATGGTGATTTGGTTTAATGACTAGCATTAATATCACATCTTAAATCATATTATTTGAAATAAACTGGTTAGGTTATGCATTCAAGCAGATCTGTTCTTCGTCCGTTGGCATGGTCTTCTGAATCCTCTCAATGAAGCCAAGCATCACTTCCTCACTCTTCTCATCTGGGAATAATTGGAAAAGGAATTAAAAATTAGAACTAAGAATAGCGGTTCTGGGGAAGAACTATTATTATAACATGCTTGATGCAAAATATTCAAGTACCGAGTTTTGGAACTGTATGCCCCCTGGGATGATTGATCACAAAAGGATCCACAAAAGATTCCAGGAGAACAGTTGACTCCGGCTTCAAGAAGTCCATTTCACCTGCAAGCCCTTGTTTTTGTCACTGTTTCACCTTATCAGAAACTGGTTTACAGTAACAAAGTCTTTGAAATGGTATTAAAATACCTATGATATGGAGAGAAGGGCATTCGACAGGTGATGAAAATGCTTTAGAAGTCAGCTTATGATGTCCAAACCTAGACCCTCCGAACTTGGCTCCTGATATTATTATCAGAAACTTGATTTTTGGAACTTTGGTAAGGGCTACACCATCTCTCTGCATTCCAGGCAAGGCAGCTGATAAAATTGCTCCCTGAGATTCATCAGAAAACCTTTTTCAGATTTTTTTTTTTTTTTTTTTTGCCACGAGTTGAATTTTTAAGAATTTTTGGTAAGATATTCAAGCAAAACCCACCTGAGAGAAGCCCAGAAAACCATCAAATGGACCATTCTTTATCATATAATCTTCAATAAAGGCAAGACATTCTTCAAAATTTGTATACTCAGTGAAATCCTACTTGCATGGTAGAAGAAAACAAAGATTTAATTACAAGTAATGCAGGTCAAAATAAAAGTTAACTTGAACTGTAATTTATGGAAAAGCCTTTATATATACCTGGTTGGCTTGGAACCATTCATAGTAAGGAGGATCAAAAATGCCTTCAACATCAGACTTCCCTTGGGCAGGATATGGGCCATCAAGGAAAACAAGATCCAACTTGTCAAGCAAGGTTGCAGGCCAACGAAGGACCAGTTTCTTGAGAATTTCAGCACTTGTCCTGAATCCATGGAGGCACAGAATTCTGGGTTTTCTCTGGATTCGGCTTCCCATTTTCCCGAATTCCTGTTTAAAAAAAAAGCTGAGAGCAGCCTTGTAATGGCTGGTGCAGCAATCAGCCCACTTTGTTTGATTATTCAATCCTAGTTTTGGACTGTCTCCATTCTACTAAGGACCAAGACGTGAGGTCCGAAAGCTTAGGCAACAAATAATTAATGGTAATACAATAATGCACTGGCAAGAAAGGAAGAGGAGAATTTATTGCCCATGAGGACTTTATGGTTGCCAAATTTCTTTCACGTGGTAGTTGTACAAATAAAAGGAAAAAGACAAGTTTCTGTCCATGAGTACTGGAGCTTGGTGCAGGTGGTCGTTGGCTTGAGATGGTGATTTCAGAAGAGGCTTTTTTTTATTTTCTGTGAAATTGGGTCTACGATTTGCAAATATTTTGTTGTGACAAATGTCTTGTTATAGCCCGCATTAGAAGGCCCAAGTTAAGCCATTGGCCCACTTCACAAACTGCAATCTTGTAGAATCCTTTTGAACGAAAAATTTTAAAAAACTTTTAAATAAAAAGTATTTTAAAATGTACTATTTCAAAATACTAGTATTTATAATTATTTTTTAGATAAATATTTCTTAGAAATAAATTGAGTTTATTGAAATTTGATGAGATAAAAAAAATTATAAAAGAAGAATAATGATATTAAAGATAAAAAATATATATGTATAAATAAAATATATAATATAGGTATCATTAGATTTGTAAAAATATATAGATATTATTAATAATATAAAAAATATATATTATAGTTAAATAAATTGATATATATATATATATATATTAGTTTTGTAATTTAAGGTGAGTCATGTATGGTAAAAAATAATTTGTTTTAAAATTTAAAAAAGATATAAATACCTAAACTTCATTTTATTATTTGTTTAATTAATCATTAACTTTATTTAATTATATTAGTCTGTTGATATCTCTTTTTATTAAAGCTTTTCTCTCATTGTTACTATTTTTCTTTCTATTTTAAAACATCAAATTGATCCTTCTGCCTCCCTTTTATCAAATGGAGTCTTACTTGCTGCAAATCTGGTCTAGCGTATTTGTATAACTGCCAAAACATTCATTGTTACTTTGCTTTTGAACCTTCTGAAAAGTAGCCACCTTCATAATATATCTGAAATAATATGCTTAATCCTATGGATCCAGCTTCCAGCAGTTGGGTGGGCTTTTCTCCGAGAGTTTACTAGTTAGCCATTTATACAGTTCCCTGAATATGAACTTATTCAGTGTTGCTAGATAAGCCAAGAACAGAAAACACTAAAAACAAGGCATAATGGGGCATTTGAGGGCACAGCAATTTGTGACTACGTCTTAAAATTCATGCAGCCTATGTGTCCATCTGCCTGCTGACAGCTACATCCTTATTTAAAAGATTAGTGTTTGATATTGAATCATTTATGCCCCCCAGGTCCCTCTTCAAAAAAAAAAAAAGATCAGATCAGGTTGGACCGGTGGATGTAGCCAGGTTGAAAGATAGAACTAGTCTGTGCAGACTGCAGACTGGTGAGTTGGTTTAGCTAACTTTAGAACACAGAACAGATGAAATTTGAAGCAGCAACCAGGGAGAGGATGAATAATTTAATGTTCCTTGCAGCTTTTTAAGTCTCAGAATCATTAAAAAGACAATTTTTTTTTTTTTTTTTGCTTTTGGACCCATTCGGTTTTATCATACCAGTACTTGTACATCTGATCATTCATGGAACCAGTCCTGCAAGAAAGAATTTTTATTGGATGGATAGTTTTCATGCCGTTGGCACCAGTCTCGGGTTACTGAACGGAACAAGTCCTGCAAGACTGGTTCTCCGTTTGTTGAATGGAACAAGTCCTGCAAGAAATTTGCAAAGTGGGGAACCGTTACAGAAGGTGATGCATACTTTTCATGCTGATGGCACAAGTCAGAACAGATCAACTAATGAACTACGTAGCAGCCTCAGTTTGACTTTTTCACCGACGCCTACCACAATCTCATGGACTTTTTATACATTGAAAATCATGTAAAAAAAAAAAATTCTCTTATCTGTCAAAGAAATTAGTTATTGGTTATGGTTTCTATAATATTTTTGGGTACATGTAAGAAATTTGAAATGACGAAAAGAGATTGAATAAAGAGAGCAAAAGAAATGGTAAAGGAAAGTCATATTTAACAATTTAAAATATGATATTATGGTATAATATAAATAAAAAATAAAAATTATATAATTTAAAATTTTAATAATTATTATATATAAATTTAATAAAACTAATAAAATATATTTTATATTTTTATATTAATATAAATTATAATACATAATTTTTATATAAAATATAATACAAATATATAAATTTTAATATTTTAAATTATATAAATATAGGTATTATCGTATCTATGAAAAAGTATTACGAGATTATTATTATTAAAAGGTTACTTTGGTTGCCCACTTGGTATTGGACACGTGCCCTTTCTTGGTCAGTGGACCACCACCCTGTTCAAGTTTTAACAGAATTCGAGGTCACATGAATCATATCATTCAGTTTTGAGGGCCAACTCCAGTTAAGTTAATCCGTGGTTGAAACAAAACAAAACTGAATTTGAAGTCCGATACCGTACAGCGGATGTTAAAAGCAGAGCGAAGATTCAAAGTTACAAACTGAATCCAGTCAAAACAGGTGTGCTGGAAAAAGATAAAACCAATTATTTAGCTGCTCTTTCGTCGCAACTCTCCATTTACCGAAAAAGTCTTAAATCGAGTGTTTTAAATGAAATTCATGAAAATTTTTATTAAAAATAATAAAATTAAATTTGATAAATTAAAATTTTTCATTATATATATTAAATACATAAAATTTAAATAATTATATATATTTTTATATAAATATGTTTAATAAAAATATTAATACAATTTTTATCATTAAATAAATATCAATTAAATTTAAATTATAAATAATATTATAAATATTTTTTTATATATTATTAATCTTCACATTAAATTTTATTAATTTATTAATTTAATTTTTTTATTAAATTAATTTTTAAAACAATTTCATAAATTTCATAAAAAAAATTTCATATAAGTTTTATCCTTATTTACCTCGCTCAACATTACATTTTAAGTTAATGATTTCCTTTTTCTTTAAATTGGGAAAGAAGCATATTTTTAGAGCCAACAATCAAATCCTTAAAACAATTTAAATCTTCAAAATTTTTCGAAAAAACAACAAAGAAGAATCAGATTCAAATTCACTCTTTGAATAAAAAATATAAATTTATCTGAATTAAATATGTAAATATTATAACTTTTAACTACAATTTAATAAAAAAACATCAAAATTAAATTATTGGCAAAAATTTTCTAATGGGGAATAACTCTCCAAGAACATTACGAGTTTAGTTATAAAAAAGTCATAAAATTTAATTTATTTAATTTATATAATTATATTTAATTGATGATATTTAATAAATTTAAAATTTATTATTTTAAAGTTTTTATTGGTTATTCTCGATATGCCAACTCTTTTATAAAAATAAAAACAATAATAAATCTAAAAAATTAACTAATGTCCACTTTCTAGCATGTGCCAGTGTTGTCAAATTCTTTCCCTTTTGTCTAATTATTGACAGCTTTTGCCAGCTCCTGTTCATCATGATTTAGTTAGGTAACTTAATGTTTTTTATAAAATGATTGACTAATTGAACCAAACCATAAAATTCATTCATCTCCTTTCACAATTCAAGCAATACTCTAATCCAGGTTTATCCTAAACTCCATGCAACACTTTCTAAACTCACCACGTGTCCCCTAAGCCAAACCAAATGCACTTGTCGTCCAAGCCAGGTAAGTAACTCGGTTTCTTCAAACACCAAGTTATCAAACTCCCCTCAAACTTTCCACATTGTCTTATAGCAAGACAAGAAGACAAACAATTTGGCACAGAAATTGGAACATGTTAGTTGGTTTCCATTTGCAACGGTTACTTTATTTTAATTATATATATTTTTTCCTTCTCTCTCCCCAATTATCTACCCATAACGGCTACTTCCCAGCTAATCCCACCTAAACAAATATATATTTTTCCTTAAAAACATATATATTTATAAATTCTACTAATAATTAATGATCAAATCATCTAAGGTGCAAAGAAATAGTCACTATCGAATAAGAGCCTCAATGATTTTGACACCTGTACTGAAACTTAAATTTATTTATTTTTCCAATAACCTTAAATCTAGACTTATTGTTTATCATCCAAACATATGATCAAATAGCTCAAATTATGTGCTAAATTGTTGGAATTTAAAATAAATCACAATTCATTTTTTTATTAATTTTTAATACAGCTTTAATTATCATTTATAAGTATAATTTTATGAGGTCTTACAAATGTGAAAACAATAAGAGTCCATATCTTTAACTAACAGAAAAAATTTTAAAAATAAAATTTGAATCAATCAACAATTTCCCCATTAAAAAGTCAATCCACGTGTCAAAATGATTATGTGGGTCTAGAATTCTATAATGTGTGAATGAGCGTACCAAAGAAATATTCCATGGGGATATTAAAGTAATATCACCGACAATTGTAAGAAGTTGTTGAAAAGTTCAACGCGGAGTACAGTCTGTGAAGGGAAGGTAACCAAAATTTTTTTATTCAAAGTACGTGTTTGTAGAAAGTGACATCTTACTGACCTTAAGCAACGGACACATGTCCAAACCCAGTGGCATTACAGTAAATTAAAGCTAAACCCAAAATTACATTGGTAATTAAATTACTTAAATGCCCTAAGATTAGGTACAACTTTTTGTACCTGATCCTTGAAGAAACTTCAAAGAAAAAACTCCATGCCCAAAATGTTATATTATGTGCTTGCAGGTATGTATAAATATATGTTGCATTTGCATAATTTTGTATAAACAATTTGAAAGAATCTCTTCGCATTATTGATTTGATTAATTCATCTCCCACTTTCTCCTCCTTTTATATGCCCGTTCTCTTTTGAGTTCCCTCACTCCTAAAATCTCTCAAATTCGAGAATCATAAGAAAAAAGAGTCTTACTTTTTCTTTTTCTTTTTCTTGTCAAAGTTTTGAGTTTTTGCCAAGATGAGTTCTACAATGTTTAAGGTTTTGATGATGTTGGGTCTTTTGGCTACCTCTTGCATGGCCCAAGCACCCACATCTCCACCAACATCCACACCGACACCTTCTCCATCGCCAGCTGCTACTCCGCCAGCCCCAACACCTTCTCCAAAGGCATCACCAACCCCAGCTCCAACGCCATCCCCAACCCCAACCCCAACCCCATCATCAACTCCTTCAAGGGCTCCAACCCCATCACCCACCACTACCCCATCTCCTTCTCCAAGCACTTCACCTTCTCATTCACCAAGCTCTTCCCCTCCTGCTCCTACCCAACCAGGTTTAACTCCTCCAGCCTCCGCGCCTTCAGCTGACCAAACCCCTCCTCCCTCTGCCGCCTCCACCAACGGTGTTTTTATTGGTGCAACCGCTCTTGCTGCTACTTTCTTCGCTGCCCTTTTGGCTTAAGAAAGTGAGTTGGACTGTACCCGGGCTTTCAGATCATTATTCTTGAGGATCTTGCTTTCTTCCCCACTTTGTTCTTTTGAGTAGTGTTCTTTTTTGTTTTAATTGATTTGTTATGTATGGCCGTTGATGATATTCTATTATTAAATTTGGGTTTGGATGGTTGATTATTTTGATGGAATGACACGTGTATCATTTGATGAGATCGGACGGTTGTAGAGATTGGGCTGGTGTACATCTAATAAGAGTGGATTAAAAACAGTTTGTTATTCTTTTTACATCAAAATGCAATTTGTCATGTTAATTTCATATTACTTTATATATTATGATTTATTTTCATGTGTAATTTTCAAGAATTGAATCTAAATTCAGACAGTTGGATGAAATGTGATTGAACGTTGACAAAATGACCTTTTCACGTGCATGATAGCCATTGGAGGCATCTTTAAAGGCCAAAGCACAATGGTGAACCAATATGTATTGTCCATTTTCTCATAAGCAAAACTTGACATTTTAGTGGTAATTAGGAAATAATAATTGCTTAATGTTAAGGCAAAAAGATTTGTCACTTTCAAAGAAGAAAAGATTTTTTATACAAATTACGAATGTCTTTTCCAAAAATTACGGCATTGAAGTCTGCTGTAAACATATTGAATGAAGAAACGAAGAACACATTAATCATTAATATTTTTGTGGCCATGTGAAGAAACATTCATAACCAATGCCAAGAGACAGTGAGTCAATAAGACGCGGCACTGCTGAGTCAATCACCCTCGGCTTTTCATCAAAACATGAAACAGTTACGTTGATTATCACTTAGATCGGTTATTATATTATTAAATTAACATTTAAAAATTAAAGATTTGAGAGAGTTTTAAATTCAAGAGAATTTAAATAAATAATATCATTTTCAATCATATAAATATATATAATAAGGTAAAAAATTTTAAAAACAGATTAAAAACATAAAAAAAATGGAAACAACCATAATTACTTGAACATTTTAAATGTCTAAGGCATCCCCTTTTTTTAATTCTTTTTTAAACCAACTACTCTGAATTCCAACTGCCAATAAAAGTCAATTGGACTTGGGAGTCTGGCAACGAGTTGAAGTTAGTGATGACAAACACATCAAAGTCGGAGTAAATTTTTATTCATTTCAAATTCGATTTGATTTAAAGTTTTTTATTTTTTACATTTGAATTCAATTCGATTCGATGTTAATAAAATATTATTTTTAATATAAATATAAAATTAAATAAATAATTAAAAATAATTTTTATATATTGAATCGAATAAGATCGAATTTACTTAAAATTTAATTTTGATCTAACTTAAAATTTTATTTTTATATTATCTGACTCAACCCGACTCAATAGTTAATTTAAAATAAAAAATCGATCATAAAAGATCAAATCACTCAAAACATTTCAGATTCAGGTTAAATTATCCTCTCTAGTTGATGTTTACTTCTGTTATTGCAATATCTGATTTTTCCTTCCAAATTATTTCCAAGGATCAGGTCTTATTGAATGGAAAGGTAATTTTCAACGATCTCTATCTCTTCTAAATGTTGCGATTAAAATCCAATCAAATCCCAAACAAACTTTCCTGGCAACTACACAGCTCAAACAAAAGAAAATTGGACTTTGGGTACTTCTCAAAGTCCAAGCCCTATCCTAACATACAATTAAAGCAAGAGGAAATTCAGAGGAGATGGCTATAAGCAAGTAGTAATATATTTTCATAGATCTTAATTCTTAAGTCTAACTTAAGGAGCTACAAGCACCGTCCAAGTTTCTATATATAATTGTTTTTTTCTCTGCAATTTAATTGGTAATTGATGGTAAAGACTAAAGAGAGAGCTTCTATCAGCATTTAGCCAGCTTTAGGTCCTATTTACTTTAAGACCAAGCAGTCTAGTTGAAGGTCTACTATTGAATTCTTTCGCCCAAATTTTATGAATTTTTGTCTCAACAACTATATGTTCGTCAAAAGAAAGAAAGAAAAAAAGGGAGCTTTAGTTATGATGACAAAAATTCTGTGGTTAGTTGATTTCTCCATCTTCGGCAGATAGCAATAAACATGCATTTTGGGCTATAGCCTGCAAAAGAAAAGCCGATAAAGTTATGGGCCCAAGGCGAGGCCTCATGATTATTTGGCATTAATGGGCCGAGTAAGATAACTCTTAGGATTTAACTAAAAAGCACTCATAATAAACTACCCTTGAGATGACATGCGGCATCAGCAAGTTTAGGTGCAAATTCACTTACTTTTTTCTCTTCTTTTATACCATGAAAAACACTCATAATATTGTTATTGGATGGAACTGAAAATTTGTATAAACTTAACCAGAGATGTTCAAAATAAGAAGTCATTTAATATCCAATACAAAATTAGCTTCACTGACAAATATAACAATGCCAACTTCTTTTCAACTACCATCAGCCATTAATTTCTATGCAGCCATTACAAGAATTTCAGGAATAGAATGAAAAATATCACGTTCAAGACTGCAACGTCCTTCGTAGTTCATATTCCTTGGAAATGTTTAGCAAATAGAAATACACGAGGCTCTGGTTCATGGATTAGTTAGATTTCATGATTGTGTAAATTAGTAACTTTGATCAGGTAACTGGTTCTTTTCCATTATCTTATTATTAGCTCTCTAGACAAAATTCATAGTATGGCGTGATTGATATGCTGACAAAAATATGATGCGATGATCAGCAATGACAAATATAGATGCCACTGCTTGCGTGATAATGTTTGATTTCATTTACTTCCTATATATGCTTGTTTCTAATACCGCAGAGAGAGAAGCTGCTAAATTCAGCCCAATATTATAATCCTCCCCACCCCCCAAACAACACTTGGGAGTTGGGACAGCGTGCATCCTGGAAGGACGCAACAACAACTAGGCTGCGAAATTGCTCATATTCGAACAAAATTGAAATTTTTATTCAACACAACACGTGGCTTTACCTTTTTTGTTCAAAATTTGTGTGAAAATTTCGATGATCCACAACTCAAGCTGTTATATATATACGTCGTAGGGGCCAAAGAGTAAGCGTTTAAGTTCATTGAACTCCCAAGAAAAAGCACAGAGTTGCCAGCCCACCAGCTAGCAGATAATATGTCGAGTAACGGTGCATTGGAGGAAACGAAAGTTCCTCTGATTGAAGATTTAGCTTCAGTAGAACGATTGAAAGCTGAACAAGATGATCAAAATCAATCTCTTACGAAAAGGGTATGGATTGAATCGAAGAAGCTATGGCAGATAGTTGGTCCTGCAATCTTTAGCCGCCTTGCCTCTTATTCCATGCTGGTTATCACTCAAGCCTTTGCAGGCCACCTTGGTGATCTTGAGCTTGCTGCCATTTCAATTGCCAATAATGTCATCGTCGGTTTCGACTTTGGCCTCTTGGTAGATATCCTTACTCTCATCTAGACAAAAAAGGTTGATTATTTGTTTCTCAAACGTCAAAAAAATTTGACAGGCTTTAATTCTAATGTGATTTTTTGGTCTTTTTTAATTATTAGTTGGGGATGGCAAGTGCACTTGAAACACTATGTGGCCAAGCCTTTGGAGCAAAGAAGTACTACATGTTGGGAGTATACATGCAACGTTCATGGATTGTTCTTTTCCTGTGTTGTATTTTGCTTTTGCCTTTATATCTATTTGCTTCGCCAGTACTCAAGCTATTGGGACAGCCTAAAGATGTTGCAGAACTATCAGGGATTGTTTCTGCGTTGATGATACCACTTCATTTCAGCCTTGCTTTTCAGTTTCCTCTGCAAAGATTCTTGCAGAGTCAGCTGAAAAACATGGTGATTGCATGGGTTTCTCTGTTGGCTCTCTTGGTCCATGTGTTTGTAAGTTGGTTGTTTGTGTATAGGCTTCAGCTCGGAGTGGTTGGAACTGCAATTACCTTGAACTTTTCTTGGTGGGTTTTGGTTTTCGGCCTCTTTGCCTATACTGTTTGTGGTGGGTGCCCTCTTACTTGGACCGGCTTCTCCATGGAAGCATTTTCTGGTCTTTGGGAATTCATCAAACTCTCTGCTGCTTCCGGCGTCATGCTTTGGTACTCTCTCTCTCTCTCTCTCTATCAAAAGCTATAGCGGCCACTTTAATTTAATATTTTCCTTTGAATCATATGATTGCTTTCTTTCCTTTTTGTGAAGCTTACGATTCCTTCTACATTTTGAAATCTACAGCTTGGAAAATTGGTACTATAGAATATTAATTCTGATGACTGGAAATCTGACAAACGCAAAGATTGCCGTGGATGCTTTGTCCATTTGGTATGTGTCTCCAACATATATAATTACTTTAACTGATTAATTATCAAATAAAAGTAGCGACAAAACTTCATTTTCATAGGAACCATAAATCAGTTTCTCAGGAACCCTTTATAATTTATTCCTATTTGTATGCGGGCTATAATTAATCAATTTGTTGCGTTTGTGGACTGTTGTCACTGGTCTATTTTGGCAGCATGACAATTAATGGATGGGAGATGATGATACCGTTTGCATTCTTTGCTGGAACGGGGTAAGACCTCTCATTTTTCCTGAGGCCACCACTTTCCTGTGGTTTTTTCTAGTATAAAATTTATGAACCATGCATGTTGTGGTGGAGCCCTTGCCATTGCTTTACACTTGCAATCAAAAGGCTTAGCCTTAAGATAACATTGAGGGCAGGCAAATAGATACTGACCCATATGTGGTTTAAATGAGCTAAACTTTTGGTTGTCAATCTCTGTCTGAAATAAACGTTTTCCTTCATTTATGGTGTCTTTCATTTCAATAACTACTATGATAAACTTGATGAAAGCTGATAATAAGCCATGATTCAAGTTTGTATTTTCTGGTACAAATTATGCTTTTATTTCTTTTGGAAAAGAGTTCCTATTGATCATGATTAAGCTAACAAGGAAATTTTTTTTTCACACCAAATTCTACTTTAGTAAGAAAGATTTCATTAGAAAGGTCTAGATTGGTGGCTGATGTAGAAATATAATTGTCACACATCAATGCCAACTCAATCGTGTTCATCTTGTTCTCCGAGGAGTTTTCTTGTTTTTAAATAGTTTGCTTTTTTATTCCCATGTTAAAAATATTTTCTTTGATGTTGATGGTAAACAAAAAACAAAAGTAAGGGCCCAAAAACCTTTGGTGGGACAATGTTTCCTTATGTCTATCTTATAAAAAAATAAGAGTGACGACCAAGAAATTAAACCAAAATTGATTTTCACCTGCAAAACATTGATAACTCCTAGAATTGATCAAAGTAAATGTCATCAGCTTTAATTAGTTTTGGTATAATACCTAAATAAACTCTCAAACTTTACTCTAAAAAACAAATAAGCCCTTCATCTTTTATTGCATGAAATGAAACTTATGAATTTTTATTTTATTGTAATTAGAGCCTTGATGATATGAAATATATAATTTTTTGTTTAAATTTTTTAATTGGATGATTTAATTTGTAAAAAATATTTATTTAGATTCATTTGTATGAGTTAAATGATAAATATTTAAGATAAATACTATTTTAGAAATTTTATCAGTTAGATATTATTTATTTAATTTTAAGATTTAATGAGTATAGTTACAATAAAATAAAAATTCGTAGTCTTAATTTCATGCAACAAAAGATAGAGGGCTTGTTTGCATTTTGAAGTAGAGTTCGAGGGTTTATTTGGGTATTAAGCCATTAGTTTTCTTTAGTTTTAATTCACTGAATCTGGGAGGCAACTGCAAAATATCTGTTTCGGGGATTTTTTTTTTTTTTTCATTTTTCTCTTTATAGGAAGGAACTTCACGTGGGGTGTCCTGGATCCTTGGTAGATAATGAAAAATGAATTCGAAAACAAATTCTTTGAATCTGTTACTGCATTTGCAGAAGCTAACCAATTTGTGTTCTGAAGGCTTCAGCATAAAGTTATCACAAACTACAAAACCTATCTGACGCATTTATCCTGAACAAGTATTGCAGTATTCATGTGATCTGCAGATTTTTCTGCTACCCTTTGTCTATTTTTTTCATCTTATGGTGTCACTTCTGTTCAATGATTAATTACTTTTTTACAATTATGAAAATAAATGTGAGATATCAGTTGGTAATCTTTGAGATATTATTATATTTGATGCAGAGTGAGAGTGGCAAATGAGCTTGGGGCTGGGAATGGGAAAGGAGCAAAGTTTGCAACAACAGTTTCAGTGGTGACATCAGTTATAATAGGCATCTTCTTCTGGATGTTACTTATGACCTTTCATGATAAGTTTGCTCTTATATTTTCCACAAGCGAACCAGTTTTGGAAGCAGTAAGCAAGCTCTCACTTCTCTTGGCCATCACCATTTTGCTCAATAGTGTTCAGCCAATTCTTTCTGGTAATTAAACTGTTAGATCATTTGTTTCTTCTTCATGTAATAAGTTCATTTAACTAATTATAAATGTTTACATTAACTTTGGTTCTTAATATATGTAGGGGTGGCAGTGGGATCTGGATGGCAATCCTATGTGGCTTACATAAATTTGGGTTGCTACTATCTGATTGGGGTTCCACTTGGATTCTTGATGGGATGGGGCTTCCACCTAGGAGTAATGGTAATAATTAACTTCTTTTAAACACATGAAATGACTATGAAACCATTAGGACAAATGCTGTTCCTCATTTAGTAAATTAACTACCAAATTTTCATTTGAGCACTATTGGAAGATTGAGATTCTGATCAATCTGTTGTTATGGCTTGAGGGTCCTTTTCATTATAAGGATTTCTGCTATGGATCGATGTATATACAATTGTATGCTGTTTCTTACATCTTGAGGTGGAATGCAATGTTTGTAGGGAATTTGGGCAGGAATGATCATTGGTGGGACAGCAATTCAAACAGCGATACTGGTCATTATTACCATGCGGTGTGATTGGGAGAAGGAAGTAAGGGCTTTCTTCTATGTTGTCTGTCAAGTTATTATCACTTCTCCTGATTTTCTTCAATTTCATGACATTTGAATCTTGATTTCTTGGGATTTTACAGGCTGAGAAAGCAAGCCTGCACGTAAAGAAATGGTCAGACACAAAGTAATCAAAAGCTCATATTAATCCTGTCAAGACAAGGATCTTATTTGACAGAAAAGATTACCTAATTATAAACTGATCCGAATGGTGTAGTCATCTTACAAGTTACAATGGCCTACTAAAATTTGATTGGCAATTTAAGATCGAAGCCCCTTGTTTGTAAGTCTCCATTTTTGGTTTTCCTGTCGGTACAACCATCTTTGTAATTCTCTTTCACTTTCGAATGAAATGGCAAACTTGTTATTGAAGTGTAAACCATTGGTCCATGGAGCATTTCCTAATGTGTTTCTATTCACCCGTCTACTCTTAAAGTTCACTGGGACAACCTCCATATATGGCAAAGATAACAGGGTTGCTTCATCATTGATAATATATAAAGATATAAATGATACATTAATATTCGTAAATTATTCGAGTTTGACTTGAATAAAACTTGAATTCGTTTTAATTATTATTGAATCGAATTCGAGCTCGAATAATTTAACTAATCGATTAAGTCGAGTTCGAACATTTTTATACTTGACTCGAGTAGTTCTAAAATCTAATCTAATTTTTATATTTTAATTAATAAAATATCTCGAACTCTAGTTAGAATACAAATAATTGAACTTGTATGAAATATAATAATTAAACTTATTTTTATATGTTAATTAAACATAATCGAACGAAATCGATAAATTTAATTTTTATCTTAAATCAAACTTAAATTAAAAAAATAAAATTTGATCGAATTTGAATAAAATTTTAAATTTAAATTTAGAATCGAATTTAAATTTAAATTTAATATTATATTAACTTAAACTCCATATATGACAAAAATAACAGGGGTTGCTTCATCATTGATAATATATAAAGATATAAATGATACATTAATATTCGTAAATTATTCGAATTTGACTTGAATAAAACTTGAATTCGGTTCAATTATTATTGAATCGAACTCGAGCTCGAGTAATTTAACTAATCGATTAAGTCGAGTTCGAGTATTTTTATACTTGATTCGAGTAGTTTTAAAATCTAATCTAATTTTTATATTTTAATATATTTTAATTAATAAAATATCTCGAACTCTAGTTAGAGTACAAATAATTGAACTTGTATGAAATATAAGAATTAAACTTACTTTTATATGTTAATTAAACATAATCGAATGAAATCGATAAATTTAATTTTTATCTTAAATCAAACTTAAATTAAAAAAATAAAATTTGATCGAAGTTGAATAAAATTTTAAATTTAAATTTTAAATCGAATTTAAATTTAAATTTAATATTATATTAACTTAAACTCGTTCCATTACACTTTTAATAATACCACAATTCACTTCAGCTTTTGCTTTTGTGTGTCATTTGCAAAAGCCAGCTCAAGGCAGCACTAGCAATTTTTGGGCCTACTAAATTTCTGATTTGGACCTTGGTTGTAAACTTTTAAGGCAGTGGATGTAAAGAAGTGGGCTCAAATCAGTTGGAAACAGAACCGGACCATGAGCTTTAAAATCTTCCATAGGCATATAACCAAGTAGCAACATCAGCAATGTTTGGGCCTAGTAAATTTGTGATTAGCTATTGGGCTGATTTTTTATCACACTGTACATAATATAATTTCCATATAATTTATAAGTGATAATAACAAAATGGAAAACCATATGGTATTTTTTTTTCCTTTTTTTTTTCTATGGGCAATTTGGATTTGGGATGATAGTAGTGAGCTGGTTAAATTTTTTTGTTATAACCTTATAATATATGAACTCACCATATGCATTTTGGCAACATGATTAATCCAATGAATTGTTTTAACGTGTTGAATATGTCAGTTAAATCTTTGCCTTGTAGGATTTTGCCTTTAAAAATGTGTCAAATGAGGCTTAATGCAAATTGAACCTGTCAACACCTTATTGAAACACTGATTCAATATTTTATTTTTGTTTTTCTTTCGTGATTCAATCCAAAACCTCCAGTTCCTAAGGTCTATTTTTGCTTTTTGAAAATGCCGAAATCGACGTTTGTGAATTTCGGCACATTCGTCAAGAAAATTGACAACATCATTTGTGTTGTAACGTTCGAACTGCGTAGTTAATGCTTAAGTGGCCCACTAGTTTCTCTCTTTTCAGATAGATATTTTTATTAAAAATATTAATAAAATTTTATTATTAAATAAATATTAATTAAAATCAAATTACAAATAATTTTTTTACATATTATTAATTTTTATATTAAATTTTATTAATTTATCGATTTAAATTTTTTATTAAAATTTTCATTAAATCATATTTTTTAAAAAAATTATATATATATTGTACTTTTGTTGTTTACCTTAATTATTACGATTGAAAAAGAGGGATCCCAAATCCCCGAATGGGAATGCAATCAGAGTGGGTTACTCAAGCCAGAAAAGTTAGCTTTGACTTCACACCTTAAATGCCACTTCAGTGTGTTCTGTTAACTGCATTTTATGTCGGCCAAATTTTTCTACACGTAAACTTGGATGGAAGAAAAGTTGACCCCAAACTATCCAAATTTTTTGTTAAAAAAATTTAATTCAGTAACTTTTACTTATTAAGATAAATAAATGAAAATTATTAATCTTCCCTCGTTTCATAAGGGGTGCCTCCTCGCAGAGGGGTCGCAAAAATGCAAGACCATGTAATATCGGAAGATCAAGAAAGTTGGTGACATGATGACAAAGGAATCGATTACCGATGTTCCAATGAACGGCAATTATAACTATATCGATCTTAAGATAGTGAAATTTTTTAATAAGTAAGTTTTGATCGGTATAAAAAATTTAAAAATTTTAAAATTAATGTCTCGTATTATAGTTAAATTTATCGCTTTGAAGATTGATAATAATTAATTTCTACTTACAAATGCAATCTCATGAGCCTAGCAGTTGAAAAAAATAGTTCTTTGTGAATTTAACCATAGGCATTATGTTGAAGGGAATCAAATAGCTTAAGATGTAGATTGTGTTGAGTGTTGACTAACAAATACAATGGATTCTAAATAGTTGCTTTGACAAGGAATCCAGGCCCATCCTTTTTTAGTGTTTAATTTTCAAAGGACTTGGTCCTGATAAAGTGACTATCTTTGATAGCGAAAATCAACCTAACTCACCATGTTTTGCTTTCCCTTTTATATTACATAAAAACAAATGCTTGAATTTTGGTCCTAACATTACTCATCTACCAAGGAACATCTCTTATGAATTAAAATTTCCTATTCTCCAATTTCTATTAAGAACAATCTATAATCTTAAGCTTTACATAAGGAAACTTAAGCTCATGAAAAAAGAAAAAAAATTGATACTAATTAATACCATATTTCCCAACAATAACTAGTACTAATAATTTCATGGTAATAATTAATCACCATAAATGAAAAGTTTAATTAAGATTATGTCTAGATTTTCACTTTTTTATTAAAAAAATATAAAATTAAAAAATAAAATTAATGCGTTATGATTATGAACAACATCACTTCCATCTATACTCTTGAATATTTTAACTTTATGATAATTACATATATGATTTACTTCAAAGAGAATTGAATTTGAGCATCGAATATTTTATTCAATTTAATTGGTGCATAATTTTCATCGAATTTGTCTATTTATATATATAAAAAAAATCAATTTGAATCATTCTTCACCTAACTAACATCATTTCCATCTTTTATAGATTTCATTTGCAAAAAACAATTTAATTAGATGGCTAGATAGATGATTAGAAGGAGCAAAAATAAAAGAGCAATAGCAAACAATTGGAACTCCGAAACACATACAATCTCATTAAATTGGTTTATACTTTATGCTGTAGAATTTACAATTCCCATCATCAGGCATCAATCAATGATTCAACCGACTCATTACTTACAAAAGAAAAGTTATTCAAGCTTAGAAGCCTCCCCGAAGAGAACTTAACTGAGCCACCGTGCTTCAAAACTCGCTCTCCAAACCGAGCTGACTCGCTACCCTTGTTCCTGCTCCCCATAGTCAACAATCTTCTTTCTTCTGTATAAACTTTAACGTTCCCAACTTGATCCCTTATTTCTCTTATTGAACCCCAAACAGTCTCAATCAACTCTTTCTTCCTCTCACAGAGTTCTAACAACCTCTCTTTACAATCCTCCAATCTCTTCAAAGCACACACCAACTCAACCGAGTCAACCAAGCTCAAACAACTCAGTCTCTCCCTAAGCTCACTGACACGAACTGAAACCTCGTTGATTGATGACAAATAGTCTTCACCCACCAATCTTATGACCTCATCCACCAATATGTTGCCATTAGCATGTAGAGAATCGGCCCTTTTGGAACTATGTTCGAGCAAATTCACCAACGAGTTGATTTCTTTAAGTAATTCACTGTTTATAAGTGATGATACTTTCCCTTCTTCTTTATCTATATCTACACTGCTTGAAGTTGAACATAGAAAATACCCTAAAACCCTTGAAGTTGACAGCAGATTTTCAAGGTATAAAGCATACCTGCAATTTTTGTTTTAAATTGTCATAAATTTGATATTAAAATCACATTTTTCTTGCAAAATTTATGGAACAAAAGAGACAAAGTACGAGAAACTAACAAACAAAAACGTACCATCTAACCCAAGAAGAAAGTTCCCATGTCAGCGATGTCGTATTATCTCTGAAATTCGATAGTTTAAGGTAGTTTTTGCCACCAGTGGAAGGGTAAACAGAAAGTTGATCTTGAAGAATAAAGCTGCCACGTTTAATGATGTGATGAACCGTGATGAGACATTTGATGGCAACGGAGGCATCACGGGTGGTTTGGAGGCGGTCCATGAGGGCCTCGATTACGGTGGAGGCGGTGGCGCGTGAGCTATGACCGACAGAAAGCAGATCCGCCAAGTGCCTTGGGTCGGGTGGCGTGTCAGGGTCATGGGTGGTGGCTCTTAGTAGGGCTAGGTGGAGAGACATGGTTCTGGGATCGGAAACCAAAGCTGCTTTGCTTTGAGAAGCTTTGTCTCTGATAATTCTTATCAAGTCTCTAAGAATTGTTATGCGCCCCATTGAAGAACAAAGAAAGAGAAGAAAGAAACTCAAAGAAGAAATGACAATATCAATGGAAATTTATTACAAAAATAAATAGGGTTATGACTTATGATAATTTTGGTGGGGTTGATATATATTTAAATGTTTTTACTTTTACTTTTTCTTTTCTCATTCTATGATAAAGAAATATATTTTTTAATACAGTGGACGTATTTTTTAAGATTTCTCTTGATTTCTTTATTTTTTATTTTACAAACCTATTCTCTGAACAAATCTTGAAGGACAAGGAAAAAAAAAATTTTATGAACTAAATTAATCTTTTAAAATATTAAAAAATATGATATCGTTTGAGTGAAATAAGCATGAACTAATTACTCTTAGACACATTCACATTGAGCACGTGGTCAAACTTTTGGAAACATGGAGATATAGCAAAAGTTTTTATGTTTTTAAATATTATTATTAGGATTTAAGATTTAACTAAAGCTGATGTTTTGGAAATATTAAGATTTAATCAGAGCTGATGTTTTTGAAAAATCAGACCCTTTCTTTGAAGCCATCTTCCGACAATATTTGACACGCAACTCCGACCGCCGTGAAGGACATTGCAATTGTTCACATATAATTTTATTTGTTGGTTATTTAGTTTTATTATTAATAAAGTCATTAACAAGCTCAAGCGACGCCTGTTCTACATAATTGAGTGAAGATTTGTCAAGTTCAAAGCTTTTTTTTTTTAATCTTAAAATGAGAATAAGAAAGAGTATAATATCACCATAAAAACTACTTTATATTTATAGAAAAAGATTTAAATGAAGTTTTTTTTAATGAAATTCATAAAATTTTTTATTAAAAATAATTAAATCAAAATTAAAAACAAAAATTAAAATCGGTAGATTAAAAATTTTTATGACATAGATTAAGTATATAAAATTTAAAAATATTTTAATAAATTTATATTTTTTATATGATATTTTTAATAAAAAATATTGATAAAATTTTTACTATTTAATAATTTTTAATCAAATTTAAATTATAAACAATATTTTTATTTTTTTATATATTGTTAATTTTCATATTAAATTTTATTAATATGTTGATTTAAATTTTTTTATTTAAATTTTTATTAAATTAATTTTTAAAATTTACAATTTCACCTAAAATTTCATATAAATTTTATCCTACCTTCATATGCAGAGAATATACGGAGCGTGTGAGAGTCATATGGGCGTTTCATTCTGGGCATTTACGTCGTGACGTGACTCATTCAAGATTATGGTGATTGCTTTCGGTCGATGGGCGTGGCACCCATCTTATTATGGCGCTCTTGTTCTAAGTGCCATCTTTGGGCCCCTTGGCTTCAAGAATCAAACACGATGCCATGGTCAAGTGGGAAATGTTAATAAATTATAACAAAACTCAATTTGAGGTTTTGTCACCCTAGTTAATCCTAATTAATTAATTCCAATACCAGGCATTGGCCCATCAACCAATGGGACTTTATTATTGATGATAATGACAAAGGATCCGTCCAACAGAGGGTGGTGGACCATCAGCCAATTCATTCCCTGTCGGGTGAGCCAGCCATTTCTGATTCAATGCTCACAAGCAGCGGGTGCAACCAGTCCTATTCACAGCTATACTTGGACCAGATACAGATGCATTACCAAAAGCCATTTTCTTATAAATATCTCATCACTAGTTGGCAACAAGTGGAAGGGTGCTTGTAAATAAAAGAAACAAAAATATTCATGAACTGATTTAGATATATATATATATATATATATATGTATTTGTAAATGAAGAATTTAAGAATGGAAGAGATTATTTCATCTTAAAGGTTAGAATAAATCACCAATCCAATTAGAATTTACAAATTTATATTAATTTTTATTTATAAATTTTTTAAATTTATAGATTATCTATCAATGAAGGATCGTGAAAAAATTTAAACATGAATACTAATGCATTCAGTATTCATTTCTTATCACTTCTATCAACTTTTATAGAGGATTTAGATATTTACATTATATATATCATCAATCATCACTGGAACAGCTTATTGAGATGTAAAAAATTAAACTTAATTCATGAAAATAAGAAATTAAAAAAAGAATATTTGACAACTTTATGTTAAGCCAAATGGCTCTAATCTAATCACACTAACAAAATCAAATCAAATAATTAATCAAACACTTAAAAGATAATAATTTAATGCGGTTCAACCCAACCCGCTTATGTTTATAGATAATAAATAAGATCTATTAATTGTAAAAAATTACAAATATATATTAAATCAACCACTCATAACTAATACTCATAGACTCTTTCAATCTCTTTTAGTGCTATGAAATATTCTCAATCCAAACAAACACATACCCATGTGCACTCTTTCAACACAAACAAACACATACCCATATTTATCCATTCATTATACCTATGTTGACCATCTCAGTCTCTTCTAGTCCACTCACAAACATATAAATATACATACTCATAAGACGTAAATCTTCAGTACTCTTATAAATTGTTTATCCTATAAAATCCTATAATTTTTTGACATTTTTTTTTATACCTAACCCTATAGAAATTTTACCTATTTATAAGCATACAAACTTACCTATTAAAAATCTCTTTCTTCTTGAAATTTTTTTTATGCAAGTTAAACTTGTCTTTTAAGAATCTTTTTTCTCTTAAAATTCTTCTTCTGCAAGTTTTATTGTCCATCAACTAATATTTAACCAATCTCAAACAAATTTGTTATGAGATTTGAGTCATTATTCCTAACAATCTCTATCTTGATTTAAATTCCATCAAACATTTATCTTCATGCTAGACATGCTTAACTCCACCTGTAATATAAGTCTTACCATCATCTTCTCTTATGTGTTTTCAGACTTCATGTAAATCAATCTATCAAAGCATGAACTCGAACTCATATATTAAATCGAGTTCCTCTGAGCTTGCCCCTTATTTCTATGGCTCGAACCATTAGTTTTTCCTATGTCATGAACCTTCAGCTCTCATATCACTTGTTAAGAATCACCACAATTTTAATACCACTTGTTAGGCCAAAAGCTTCAATCTAATTTACTTAGCGGAAAGCATAATCAAACAATGAATTAAACACTCAAGAGACAATAATTTAATGTGGTTGATCAAAACAACTTATATTCATAGATGAGAAAAATATGTAAGAAGGTTGTAAAATTTTATGGGATAAACACCCATAAGACTACTGGAGATTTATATTTTATGGGTGTGTATATTTGTATGGTATATGAAAGTGGATTATAGAAGATTGTGAGCGTTCACATAGATATGATGAATGGATACGTATGGGTATGTATTTGTTTATGTTAAAAGGGTGCACATAAATGTATTTGTTTGCGTTAAAAATACTTCAAAGGACTAGAAAAGATTGTAAAGGTCTATGGGTATTAGTTATGAATGTTTAATTTGATTTGACATTTATTTGTAATTCTCTATAACTAACAAATCTTATTTTTCATCCGTTGAAGTAGGTCGATTTGATTGCATTACGTTAAATTGTTATTTCTTATGTGTTTGATTCATTGTTTAATTATGTTTTTACAAACGTAAATTAAATTAAGACTTTTGACCTAACAAATAATATAAAAGTTGTATTGATCCCTAACACTTTATTCAAATGTTATATACAAATAAACAATAAACAACATAATGCGAAATCCAATCAAAAGTCAAAATAAATATTTTTGTCTCTTTTCCCTCTTTATTAGTTTTCATATTTAATTTTTTATGTTTAGGTTTTTTTTTTTTCTTAGACACATGCATCATGTCATTCACTAAAAAAAACCCATGTCAGCGTTGTCATTGATGTAAATATTGTACCATATATATAATTTATTAACATTAATTATTGGCTTATTGCCATTCGCCAGCAATGTTTTATAAAAGAGAATTATTTGTTTATTGTTAGTAAAATTTTAGATTCTATAAATAAAATTAACAAAATAAAACATAAATTTTAAGGTATATTAAAAAATAAAACATGAATCTGTCTTTCATCTCCACTTGTTAGGATAAAATTATAAAACATTATTAGGATGAAGGTGATATTTTTTAAGTCATTTATTTCTCTAATTTTATTGTTAATTATCGTTAAAAGAAATGCAAAACAAATTGTCAACTTTAAAAAGTCAAATATTCTAATTAACTCTTTTTTTAAAAGAAGAAATTCCACAAATCTATAATAAAAGCTATTTGTTAAATAATTAGCTCAAAAGTCAAACCCAGGTGAAGATTCTTCATTGTTTTGGCCTTGACTCTTGATAACAACTAACAAGAGCAGAGAGAAGGAAAATTTTAGAGTGATTTTAGTGGGCCGAATTTAAGCCCATTAAACCTCACTTTTGTTTTTCGCCCTTTAGACAAGCAATTTTCTTTTTGGGCTGATTTCAGGCTGTTACAACAAACCCAACCACTTTAACAAAAAAACCCAATCTGCTTGGTGCAGTCAGTTTATTTAAGTGTTTAAGTTTATTTATTTCAATATATATATATATATATATATATATATATATATATATACACACATATGTTCAAGTTTAGTCCAATACCACAATTTATATTAATAAAATCTTGAAGGGGTGTTTGGTTCGAAAAAATTTTTTTTTTCTTTGAATTATAAGAATGTAGTTCTTATATTTGATTTACGGATATTTGATTTTTAAGGTAATTTTAGATTTTCAATGATATTTAAAAGATCTAGAAATAAAAAATCACTCTCCTTTTATAGTTTTTTAAGATTCAGAAAGAAAAATTATTTTTGACTCACATTTGACCTAAATAAAAAATATTTTTTTTTAATTTGTACTTATAAGAATGTAGTTCTTACACCACTCTCCTTTTATAGTTTTTTAAGATTCAGAAAAAAAAATTATTTTTGACTCACATTTGACCTAAATAAAAAATACATATTTTTAATTTGTACTTATAAGAATGTAGTTCTTATATTTGATTTATCGATATATGATTTTTAAGGTAATTTTAGATTTTCAATGATACTTAAAAGATCTGAAATAAAAAACCACTCTCATTTTATTGTTTTTTAAGATTAAGAAAAAAAATTTATTTTTGACTTACATTTGACCTAAATAAAAAATATTTTTTTATTTTACCATTTTGAAAATTAACGTATAATAAATATATATATATATATATTTACAAACGTTAAATATTGCATTTGTTTCCAATAAATGCTGTAATTGTGATTACTTTATTTTTTTCAATATTTTTTAATTGAGTAATAATTTTTTTTCATTTGACTACTGAGTTACTATATTTTAAAATGCAATAATTGTTATTATTTATTACATTTATTTTAACAAAATTATAGTATTTGACTTATACTTAATATTTTTTAATTTTTTCACTAAAATATTGTGTTTGCAGGATTTGAAACGTAATATTTATTATTATTTATTGTATTTAAAAAAACTGAAGTATTTGATAAATTTTAAATTTTTGGGACATTGAAATTTGAGTTGTGAATGTAGACTTACTAAAATAGTAACATCTATAAAAGCTTCTTCAAACTTTTTACTTGATTTGTTTAATTTATTTTAATTTATCGCAGTTTATTTTAGCAAGTACACCATCGTTTATATACAACTTGTCAACTATTTACTTGACAACTTTTAATTTATTTACAACTTGCTAAAATAGGTACACCATTGTGACCAAAACTTCTTTTTTCTTGCAACAACAGTTTTGTTTAACAATAGAGCATGTTTGTCTATTCTTTCATCTTCTAATAAAAATAAATCAACATTTTTTTTATGAAATTATAAATATAAAAAAGGTTATAATTATAATTAAGTATTATATTTAAATATAAAAATTAATAAATTAAAATATAATTAGATAAATTTCACATAAAATTAAATCAAATTTATACATAATAAAACTTAAGCATAAATTTTCCTCCATGTACCTTAATTTTTTCAAAGAAAAAAAAAATCACACATCTATTATCTAGTATACATTTTCTCTATATAAAACAGGGCTTACGTGTAATCGGAATTGGAGGTGTGGAAAACATGATCCTCGTGAGTCAAGAATGCAGTGTACGTGTCACCCACCTTGACTTGGCTGGGACTTTGGTGGTTAAAAACTTAATTCCTCATTCATCTCATATCCTAAAGTTTCTTTCCAAAAAAATAGAAGCTTATTGGCTTCATCTTTATGGCCCAGACTTTCATTAAAATATAAGATTCACCTCTTAATTAAAATTTTTTATTAAACAGGTCATAATTTGAAAAAAAAAATTATAAATTTTAAGAATTGAATGAAAAAGATTATAATGGTTACATAAAATAATTCAATTAAATTTTGTATTCAATTTTTTTTTTTATCTTGTGCTTGCAAATTCAATTGGAGAAACTTTTAGCTTTCGTTAATCTATTTTTTCCCAAGAATCAAAATTTAATTTTGCAGATTGCTTTGAATGGAACTTTTTGATCATCCAAAACCAGACCTAAACTATAGTTCAATTATTACTAACTAATTTACTATACAATAAATCTGTAATCAATATAATGCCACATTATTAACGACAATTAAACCGGAGGCCGAGCCGAGGAATCTTCTTTCTCAACTAGCTCAACATTCAAGTTAAAGCAATATAACTTATCTTTAACGGACGTTAACCCTCTCCATGATGAATTCTCCCCGCCTCCTTTCTGAGACTTAACGGAGCCCGTCTTCGAAACAAACGGCGGAGTCATTAGCAACACCCAGCGATCAATGTTTCCTTTCCCCCTGCTACATCCTTCTTCGCCCTTCCTTGAACTACCTTCCCTTCGCAACACGACGTCGTAACTCCTCGTCCGTTTCAACCTCCCGCTTTTTGCAATTTGCTTCCTGATTTCCTCTGGCAACCTTAACGTAAACCTTTCAACGTTCTCCCCGGGTTGAATCAGTGAGTGACCCGTCGAGTGAGAACGTGGAAACTTCCCCGTTATTTTCACTCTTGGTCGAGTTTCTTCACTTACTTGAATGACGAACTCACTTTGTTCTTCAACTCGTTCGGTTGTCGGAGGACTCAAGTCGTCGTCGTCGTCGTCGTTGTTGTTCGAGTTCAACTCAGTGATATTTGAGCATGACTCTACTGGTTTATCTTTGGCATTGGAATCGGGAGTGAGTTTAGCTCGACAAACGGGACAGGTCACGTGGGAAGCCAACCAAGCGTCGATACAATCAGGATGAAACACGTGACTGCATTTCGGAATTAAACGCAGCGCTTCATCGTCTTCGAACTCGCTTAAACAAACCGCGCATTCCAGCGCTCCTTTCCCCAATTTAAGGTCTTTCACATAAGAATACACGAAGACCGGGAAACTCTCGATCACCAACGGATCAAGACCTTTTGGCCGGGACCTTTGAGCAGAGGAAGCTGCAGCGACGGTGGCTGCAGTGGCGATAGCGTTGGCTTCGTTACAATGTCGGATGTAAATGGAGATGAAGCCGACGAATAAGAAAACGCCAACAAGGACCATAAAAACGATCGCCATCGTCGGATCGAAATTAACGTAAGCATCGTTCGGGTCTCCGCTTGGTGGAGCTGCATGCTGCGCCGTCACTACAACAACGGTTACCATGTACAAGAAAATCCAACGTATGAGATTAAACATCAGGGCCAGGGGAATCGAGATTTCGAGACAATGGAACAGAAACGGTTAGTCACTTGAAACACTTTCTAACTGAAATTTCGGGTTGGGCGAAAAAAAAAAAAAAGAAACACAAATAAAAAGAGTAGGGGAAAGGAAAAGGATAATAATCAGCTATTTCCGTGGGCGGGAAGAAAACTAGAGCCGTGGATGCTGACGTCATTTAATAACAACGGATAAATTTTAAACACGTGGATGAGTTAATTTGATTTGATTCTTAAAAACAGCTAAAACCCAGGTTTCTAAAAGCTCAAAAATTAATTATAAAATTTAGTATGTTATTTTGTGAATTGATTCCAGGGACCTAAGAAACCGGTGGGCTAAAGTAAATGATTGAAAACGCATAAGAAACGGGTTCGAGTGGAGAAAGCGAAACGAGGGGATTATGATCAAATTTGTTCCTTTTTTTTTTTTTTAATATTGTTTGATTTTGAAATTTGATCTTATCCATCGGTTCTAAAATGCAACTTGCAGTTTCATTTGGCTAATTGATGTGACAATAGCATTTGGTTCCGAATTGATGCTTATCATCGAATGCTTTTGTTTGGATCTTTCGTGTAATAAGAAAGATTCTTTTTGGGTTTTTGTGGTTTCTTAAATGGGTAAGATTTTGTTTTACTTTGCACTTGGTTAGCTGACTGTTGCGCTTTGGAGTTTTAGTTTTCAAGCAGCCGTTGTTTTTCAACCGAATAAATCATGATTTGTGGCGCAACTCAAAATTGGTTTTGCTTAACTTTGAGAAAGAAAGTGGTTTTTGGTTTCTTTGGTTTCTTTTTTAGATTAAGCAAAGGCCAAAGGGCCAATTAAATAGCATTAGAGAGAGTCAAACGATAAGGTTTTAATGATGATTTTAAGGATCCTTTTTTGTTAATGGGCATAGCTGAGGTGTAGTTTAGTTAAAATTATATTTATATATATATACACGTGTTATTCAATAATTAATTTAAAATTAATTAACAATAAATAAAAAATTATAATATATATATATATATTATATGTTAGATAATATTATTTTAATAAACTTTCATCACGTAGATAAAAATAAAAAAAAAACTTATCACGTAATATATTTAAAAATACTAATAAAAATATTTATTATGATATAATGTTAAGAATTTAATTTAAAATTAATTAACAATAAATAAAAAAATTTAATTTAAATATAAAATTATAAAATATTTAATATTTATTAGATATAAAATAACACTACTTTAATAAGTATAATTTAGTTAAGCTAAATTAGTAGTGAAAAAGTTTTACAAACTTAGCTTGAATTGAATCATAAAATAAAAAAGCTTCTGAGTTGTTCAAAAGCGACCTTATTGTTAAAATAATCAAACCTAGGGCTCTCTCTTTTCTACACCAAAGAGTCCATTCGCATATTCCAACAATGGACTCAATTCAATTTGAATTTAAGTGACTAGAGAGTCCAATCTGGTTATGGTTCCAGGATAGTCACTCTTGGTTAAGAAAATCTAACATAGCAGATACTAGATAGTTATTTGGCAATTGGACGGTTAGTGCTTGACAATTTTCAGCATTAATAGATGAGGCAAAACTAAAATCAAACAATAAAAAAATTTCTATGTGATAGAATTCCCTGTACCTTTAAAAATTGATTCAAATTTGCATAGATTATTTTTTAATTGTTTCGATTATGATTGAATTTTATCGATTTAGTTTAATTTATCAATTTTTTAAAATTTAATTTAATTTATTATATATATTATTTTAATAGGATTTTTAATATATTTAAACAGATTTAGAAATCAAATAATTTGTTTAATTTATAAAATTTTTTAAAAAATATAAAATTTAATAAAAATAAAAAATTATTTTCGAAAAAAACTCAATATATTTAATGTTACTTGTTAAATTTAAAATACCGATGATATATGAAAAACGAATTCAAAAGAATAATGTGACGTATAAAGAACAAAAACTTTAAAGACAAATTTGGTATCTAACATCCGGATTAATACTTTTCTAAAGTTCTTGTCATTTTTCTCGAACAAAATAGGCAATGCCTTATTCGTGATTAATAGTATTATTTGGGCCTTCAAATGAAATGAGAATAAAATGGTTAGGCCCTGGGCTTCAAATTGTTCTAAACGACAATCTTTTTCCCACCCACAACACGAAATACGACAAAAAAGTGTTTCACAATTTCAAAGATCCGAACCCTCCAAAATTTTGTTAAAAAGGAGTGAAATTAAAAATATTTAGCGCCTAAATAAACAAATCCTATTGGTCCTTTCCATTTCACGCGGATCACAAACCCGTCACACCCTCTCTCTACCGTACGATAAACAAAAATACAAAAAAGAAGAAAGATCGTCCCTCCATTTTCAAATTTTCATAAATTTCAAATCTCCCACGCTTCTCAGTTCCTCTATAAAAATAGCCCCAATGTCTTCCTTATCTCTCCGTTCAAAATTTTCTCTCATTTTCTCATCATACAAACAAGAATTCTCTAAAACCCACTTTCAGTTTTCATTACCCAAATGGCTCGTACGAAGCAAACCGCTAGAAAATCCACGGGAGGCAAGGCACCAAGGAAGCAATTAGCCACAAAAGCCGCTAGAAAATCAGCTCCAGCAACCGGCGGAGTCAAGAAGCCACACAGGTTCAGGCCGGGAACCGTGGCGTTGCGCGAAATCCGAAAGTACCAGAAGAGTACCGAGCTCCTGATAAGGAAACTCCCATTCCAAAGGCTGGTGAGAGAAATCGCCCAGGATTTCAAGACCGATCTGAGGTTCCAAAGCAGCGCTGTGGCGGCTCTTCAGGAGGCGGCTGAAGCATACTTGGTTGGGCTTTTTGAAGATACCAATCTGTGTGCAATTCACGCTAAGAGGGTCACCATTATGCCTAAGGATATCCAATTGGCTCGTAGGATTAGGGGCGAGAGGGCTTAGAGTTGTTATCTTAGTTTTACTATTTATTTTATTGTTTAAAGCAGTGGGAAATTAGTCTTAGAGTTGGTTTAAGGTTAATGTCTCATTAATACTAAGTGTTTGTTCAGAGTTTTATTGGAAATGCGTTTTTTTATTATTGCTATGAACTACTTTTTCTTAGTTTTTTATTTTAATTTCGTAGAATTTATATATAATTATTAATAAAATTTTAATTTATATTATATTTATATTGTGTTATTTTATTATATTTTAAATTATTATTATTATTATTTTTTGGTTAGAAATGACAAAAGCCTCTCATATTTAGGGTCTAGCTTGACTTCAAATGCAAATCCACTTAAAGCCCAATTGAAGGTAGAGAATGGCTCCTTCACTCCAACTTCTACAGATGTGGGATTTCCTTAATGACTCAAATCTCCACTAAAGTATAGCTCAGATTTTATAGCATATATATAAATTTTAAAATTTTAAATTTCTCATTAATAAATAACATTATTTGATTTAATGATAGTATATTAAATTTAAATTTATATATATTTGCTTTTGTTTGCTTTGTCTCTCGACTTTAGCAATGTCTTAACTGTATTTGTCACCGTACAATATTTTATATGTTCTTTTAGATTTTGAATGGTATTATCATAATTTGTTCTTCAAATTAAAACATCAAAAGTGGCATGGTATTTGCAGCAATGACTCAAAATGCTGTGATGGCACACTTTGTTTTTTCTCAGCTTCTCTACTTGTATTGTTAAAAAAACTAGAGAACCTTTTTTTTATGAGATCATATTTTTTAGAAGTATTTAAGTTCATGTTTGATGTATAAGAGATAGATGAGATAGGATAATAATAATTTTATATTATATGTATTTTGTATTTAAAAAAAGGAATATAATTACAAAGCGGATTAATTATTCTTTTAGTATAGGACGATTCAATTTTTTTAAAGTGAAAAAAATTATTTTTAATCCATGAGATTAAACTTATATGTTCTATTATTTATTTAAAAATTACATTAATAATTTAAATTGTATAATTTTAAAGAAGAATAATAAATTATCTTATCTTAATTCTTGCACATATCAAATTAAGATAGGGTGACATTATTTAATTTGATCCTATTTATAATATCATCTTATCATATTTTGGTTATGTTTGGTATATAAGATTATGATAAGATATAATAATATAATATTATAAATATGATTAAATTAAATAATATCATTGTTTCTTATATTTAATGTGTGCAATGATTAAGATAGATAATTTATTTATTAGTTAAAATTATATTTCTTCAAAATTTATATCATTTAAATTATTGATGTAATTTTTAAGGATATAATAAAACATGTAAATTTAATTTCATGGATTAAAAATAATCCATTGCTTTTTCAAAGGATAAAATTATCCTATTGGCATAGAATATTTAATATTTTTAATAATTCAACTTTTTTGTTTAAGTATATAATAAACATGTGATAGGATGATTAGTATCATATCTTTTAATTAATCCTATATACCAAATGTAATCTTTATGTACCAATTACATCCTAAGGAAAGTAGATAATGGGTTTCAAAGAAAATTTTGTATATTGTTGCAAAAATTCTTCAATTTAAAGGTTTTTTTTTTTAAAAAAAACTAATTCTAATTTCTAGCACATCCCTTTACATGCAAGTTATTAGGCAAATGAAGGTATGAGAATATGATTTATTATATGCATAAACTTTTCACTTACCCAAGTTAATAAAAACTAGGATTTGATTATCCTATTAATTTCTAGTTAGATCTATGCTTGGAAATTAGAAATACAAAATCTAAAATTTAATTTAGTTAATTTATATAATGACATTTAATAATAATATTCAATTAATTTGAAATTTGAATATTAAAATTATAATTTTTTTACTATCCCCCAGTTGCAATATTGTTTGCACAAAAAATTGAAATACATGATTTTCTAGGCGGAGTTTTATTATTAATTTTTTTGGTTAAATTTAATCCAAAATTACATTTTTTTTATACAACTTAATATTTTCAGATAAAAAAAAATTCCGCACGTTTTCAAATAACATATTCTACCATTATATTTACATATTTACATGCAAAATTCCTTTTTTTTTTTTTTAAAGTCGCAAAATTATGATTTTAAAGACTTCAAAGAAAATGAAAAAAATTAACTCAATAATTATCTCTTGTCATTTAGTGAATAATAAACACGTGGAAAGAGCAAAAGGCCAACGACATGAGTGGCGAAACAGGCTATAAAGCAGAAACCAGTCCCCCATTTATTTGCTCATATTGCACGAATTGAGTTTCCTTTTGCTTCAAAACCCATCCAAAAATCCAAAAAAGAAGAAAAAAAAAAAAACCCTAATCTTCATCTCTCATGTGCTTTATTATACTACAAATTTAAAACAATAATATAATTTATTAATAAAATTTTAAATTTTAATAATAAAAAATTATGATAATTTTAAATATTAAAAAAAAATACAGGCAAAATTATATATATATATATATATTTCTTTTGCATAAAATAAAATACTTTTTAAGTTTGACAGTTGTAAATTGGAAGTTGCATATGCGATGGGGTGCACAATATCCAATGGTTTCAATGATTAGTTGCTGGGGAGATTGCTTTTTCTTTTTTTGGGATCGTACGGACAGCAGGAGAGCAAGTTAACAAGAGAAAAACAAAAAAGCCAGTCAAATTATTTGGAGATTATTTCATCCACTATAAAGTTCATTCCATGTTTTTTTTTTTTTTTAAGTTTTTAATTCATTTTTAATTTTATTATTTATTTAATTAAAAAAATTATGTATTTAATTTTTTTTTAAATTTATAACTTTTAAATATCAACTTTAATGACATACTAACTGACTAAAAAATTAACTAATGATTCAATATTATTTTAAATATTCAAAAAAGGCCATTAAAAAAAAAAGAGATAAATTAGATTTCCTTCCTTTTGTTTTTCTCTTGAAAATCTAATTTTTCACATGATTTTTTTAAAAAATTTTTATGATGGAAAGCCTTGTCAAATGTCTCTTTGCTTCTTTCATTATAAAATAATAAAAACTCTTAGTTTTGAAACCAAAATTGTTGAGCGCATAACAGATGTAATTAAGAAAGAAAATTTTTTTTCTTTCTTTCTTTTTGTTTTATCTTTGACTACCTTATCTAGCATTATTCTTTAAATATTAAAAAAAAAAAAAGAAAATCAATGCGTATGAACATTTCATTAAATTCATTGATTGACGTATGATTTTTGGTTCAACGAATAAGGTTTAACTTTTTTAAACTTAGATGATAATAAATAAGGTTGAATGAGTTTATCATTTGTACATCACAATTTAATTTTTAATTATCTATTTAATTGTCTTATATACCCATATATATCACATATTTTTTGGTTACAAATGTTGGTCAATCCTTTTGAATTGGTCTAAAATAAAATACTCTAGAATCAGCAAAATAGTAAACAAATCAGTTTCTCCAAGAATGCCTTATCCTCAATGGCAAGTTGACTAATGTGTATTTACTTGTCATAGTAAATTGTTAATTGTTATGTGGCTTTCTCTATCAAATTTCTTCTTCACATAATCCCTGGAATCTATCATTTCTCTTTAATAAAATAGCAAAAGTTCATATGAAACAAAGAAATGGTCTAATTTCTGATGCCCCCAAACCCCTAAACCTGTATCTGTTGGGGTAGTTGACACTTGATCACACTTCTTTAATATATAGATGTTTGATTTTTTGGAAAAAAAAAAAGGATCCCTAGGAAAAATAAAAGCAAAAGAAGAGGTTAAAAACATTCTCTCATCTCCTATATAAAGCCTAAACCACATCTGCAACAACCCACAAGCAAGCGTTGCATATTTGAAATAAAGCAAATAAACATGTCAACTCTTGGTGCCACCACCCACGTAACAAATGGTGTTACCTCTGTTGACTGCCAGAAACAAGTCCGGTCATGGCGGCTTCTGCGTTCCCTTATGGAACTCCTTATTCCAAGCTGCAACTGCGCCTTCATCGAAGACCAAGAAATCAAACGTGAAAACTACCTTCAAAGATGTAATTACCCAAGGCCTGTTTACACTTCTTCTAGTGTGATTACAGGTACCATCTTTGGTTATCGCAGGGGAAAAGTCAGCTTTTGTATCCAAGCAAATTCCAAGTCCAACCCAGTTCTCCTCCTTGAATTTGCTGTCCCTACAGCAGTTTTGGCTAGAGAAATGCAAGGAGGTATCCTCCGAATTGCGCTGGAGTGCATCAGTTCAAGGAATAGTGGGAATTCTGATTCAGTTTTGTCCATGCCACTGTGGACTATGTACTGTAATGGAAGGAAAGTTGGCTATGCAGTTACACGCAGGCCATCAAAAGCTGATATGGATGCTTTAAGGCTAATGAGTTCAGTTGTTGTAGGTGCTGGAATGATTAGTGGAAAAGAACTTGATCATGACGATGAATTTATGTACTTGAGGGCTAACTTTGAGAGAATTTGTGGTTCATCTGACTCTGAATCTTTCCATTTGATTGATCCTGATGGGAACATTGGTCAGGAGCTTAGTATTTTCTTTTTCCGGTCACGTTGATCATGCTTCTGGTCTACCCACAGATAGTTTTTGATTTCAAGTCTAGTTGAGGGTTTCCTGAAACCAGTTTTTTAGCTCGGCCCCTTTTTTGAGCTGTGCTCATTAGCATAGCTTTACCAGCTTTTGTGTTTGAGAAATAATCTATCTTTTAGGGGGCTCTGACTATACTATCTGTGTGGCCTGGTTAAGGAAACCAGATTTCTGTAACTATGACGAGATCATCAGGTTTAGCCATGAAGCTTTTTTTTTTTCCTCTTCTACTTCAAAATGAAACTAGTTTATCCATATTTACCCAGAGGTTTCAACTTTCAATGTTTTGGATGATCTGAATGAGCTTTTCAATCTGTCATCAAGTACATGCTGTTAACTACAAGACAGCGAAAGCACATTCTGTTTCAGAAGAGCAATGATATTTCCATTACCCTGTGGGCAAGGCTGTCTCCATATGGCTGATGCCCAATAACCCGACCATTCGACAAGCCAAATATCTTGATTTCAATACGCAAAAACAGTAACCTGACGTATATCCTTTTTCCTCCACGGGATAACTTCTTTAAGGCTTAATTATTTATGGAACTATGACAAAGCAACGTGTCTCATGCAAGCGTTTAATATGAACCAAGTAAGTTCATATATAAAAACTGCCATTTCCCATCATGAGAATTCGAACAGTTCACACTCGCAACACACCAAAACACAAAAAACATATTAACATCATCAACATGACCATGACCTTTTTTTCAATCAATTGTTTAGCCTGAGCAACAAAACCCGAATATATTTTCTTGTATATATAGCTCCACTGCACCAGCATATGATTTTTCTTGCAATTGGTTGCAGCTGAAAAATGGACAGCTGCCCAAATCTGTTTCAAACCCAAGGAATATTTGATGAACGTCATTGAATCAAAAAACAGTAATATTCCAAAGAATATATGATTCGATAAATATTTCGATTTGCAGTGATCATCCAGACTGTGAAGAAAAACAAAAGTGTCAAGTATTAGAAATCCGACAAGGAAAAGATTACAATCCTTTCTCAATATCGTCTTACTATATATATATATGTGTATATATGTTTGTATGAATATGTAGATGAACACGTAGTTGAAATGTGAGGTAGAGATTTTTGTACAATGGTGGGGGGTGGGGGCAATTTCTTTTTCTCAAAAAATGGGAGAATGAGCTGTTTTTGATTCCTTGTGTCGTCGGTTTGTAAAAGAGTTGGATGACACCAGAGCGTGCGTGTGTAAATGTTGTAATCTGCACATGAAAGGAGGATTTATATTCTTGCATTGATTGATCGATGTTCATCATCTTTTTTGAAATGTAAACTACTATTTAGAACATACGTACACTTCTCTTTTTCGTCACAGATTAAATGTCTCCCCTAATGTCTTCACCTTTCAACATTCTCAATCTCAATCTCTAGTTACTGTTTCTTTTTTATCCCACTCATCATGCGTAAATTGCATTTTACTATTTTATTTTAATGATTAATGTAGTTTTTTTAATTATTCAAAGCATCGAATTTAAATCTTTTTTTTTCAATTAAAAAAAAGAAAAAAATAATTGATTTATTTTCTATGATCATTCGCTGACCAATACCAAGATGGTAATATTATTTAATACTTTTTTTTCCCGTTGGACCGCAATTCTTTATACATTAAGAAAGCAACTTTTTATTTCATATGAAATGTTTGTTTGATTGATACTTAATTTTGTTTTTTGATTTTTATTTTTGCAAAATTAATAGAAAAAAAAACAATAAATTAAAAAATTAAATTAAAAACAATAAATGAATAATAAAAGTATAAATCAACGGGAGCTTTAGGGTTATGAAATAGATAATAATAGTAAACTAAACCTTTGTTATTTTATAAACTTCATTGTTATATATATCTATGAAAAATTATTTGATATATTGATAATAATTTTTTTTAATTTCATAAACGAAATTAAGATGATAATACATATCTTATTTTTTAATTAATTTTTTTATTTTTTAAAATATACACTAAAAATATATATATTATTATTTTAACTTCATTTGTAAAATTTAAAAATTTTATTATAATTATATTTAATAATTTCTCATATATATTCTACTGCTTACTTAATCTAAACCCAAAATCCGAAAGTTTATTGGCTTGGTAAGTAAGCCCAACATGGAAAAAGCAAGCCCATTATTTTTTTATTTTTTATTTTTTTAATCAAAGAAATTTAAGGTTGAATCAAAAGATTCTATTAAAGATGGGAATTACTACTTGTTTAAACATGTTCATCTTAAATTGAATTTCAAATAAAAATGGTCTTAAAACTTTAAATTTTAGTAACATCCTTTGACTTTGTGAAAGAGGGGGAGGAAGGTTAGGGGATGGAATAACATCACCATTTTAGTCCTTTTGTCATTAATTAATTATTTTTTAATCATAATTAGGCAGCCTTTTGGTAATTTAATCAGAAGATAATATAGAAAAAAATGTTTTTATTTGTTAGTTAGAATATTTTGACATCACATGAAACATGTTTATGATTTGAGAAAAAATTATTAATAAAATGGAAAACAATTATTGCTACTTGATTGAGATAGTTTCTTGATGCCAATCCAATTTGGTACGAACTAACTTATTAATCAGAAAATCTAAGCTATATCCATCTAATTAAAAAATTAGCTATTTCTTATTTATTTTTTTATAAAATATAAAATGTAAAAATAATTTGTGAAATAAACCATTTATTCTCAACACTTCTAAAATTAATTACCCACATTAGAAAAGCCTTAAAACAAGATTCTTATTAACAAATTGTAATATTTTATAATAATTTTTTTTGAAAAATTAAGGTGGGTAAATGTTGGGATTTATGTTGAGAATGATGTATTTTTTCTAAAAAAAAAAAAATTTAATTACTAACTTAAGGAAAGTTTTAATATATTTCTCCCAAAAAATGGGTATTTACTAATGAATGCCGGTCCGATTTAGCTGGCAAATAACTGCCAATCCCCTTTCCCTCCCATAGCGACAGCACCTAACGGTCATTTGAAGTTTGGTAGTTGAAGCTTTGAACTTTGAAGAGAACACCCTCCCTTCCCCAACCAACAAAAATCAGATTTTTTTTTTTGAAAGAGCAAGAAAATGAGTGAAGAAAGACAAGAACAAGAGTCTGATTAAAGTCACCTCCAAAAAATATATACTATTTATTATATTTAGTTCTCTCTTCTACCTGCTCTTCAAATCTGCAACCTTCCCCCACCAACACTCCATTTTTTTTTTCAACCATGGTCTTTTTTTTGTGTTGATTATTTGTTTTAATGTCTTTCCCTTTTTCTCTATCCATTTCTATTCAAACCACTTCATTTTGCTCCTATGGGAAGCTTCAAATTCTTTAGGTTTTTCAGTTTCAGAACCGACCTTGACTCCCTCCCCACTTCCAACTCTGTTCATCAAAGCCTTGTCAGCAATGCTAATGGTAATACCAATCATCATCACCCGGATGGGTTCTTTTCGAATTCTGTTTTCGGGTTTCTCCGGCGTTTTCAGTCTGGAAGTGAGTCTTCGTCCCTATTAAGGTCTAATGGTAGTTTAGTTTGGTTTTTTGACATTATTCCTGAGATGGGTTTTTGTTTTTTTGATTGTTTGTTTGAGATATGTAGAGAAGATTGATGGGGGTTCAAAGACCGAAGAAGAAGAAAAGGTTTATTCTTGGTTATATGCTTTGGCAAGATCAGAAAGAGATTTGGTTTTCGAGTATGTTCGATCCACAGAAAGAGGTTAGCTAGCTCGTTCTTTTTTCTGATTTACTGTCTTTTATTGATTGGAATAAACCATGCTCTCTGTTATTGATGGATTATTGATAAAATTTGATGAGTTTCTGGTCAATTTTAGATATATTAAGAATTGCCAAGATCAAATTTTCTAGGAAAAGCTGCCTTCAGTATGTTTGAGACTTTGAACAAGTAAATTAGGCGGCACACTTCCTTGATCTATGTCACCTGTTTTATTTGTTTGCTGTTGACTTGTTCTTTTTTTGGGGTAGGCTTGAGCTTTACCGAAGCTGAGAGGAGATTGAAGGAAAATGGCCCAAATATCCCTCTTGAATATACATTTCCAAGTTGGTGGCATCTTCTGTGGAACGCCTTCTTTCATCCTTTCAACATCATTCTAATTGTGTTGTCAGCACTCTCATATATAACCAGTGATAATCCAAATGGATGTATCATGCTTGTATTGGTTTTTATTAGTGTCTCCCTTCGATTCTATCAGGTTCTTCCTGCTTAAGTTGCTCAATCAACTCAGTATCTCACATTTCTGCTATCAAACACTGTTCAATTAACTATATTCCGTGCACAATCCAGGAATATGGAAGTTCCAAAGCAGCCATGAAACTGTCAGAATATGTAAGAAGTCCAGTTAAAGTTCAAAGATGTGCAGGAAGGGTGGTTCAGACTGAATTAATCGTTCAAGTTGACCAAAGAGATGTTGTTCCAGGTGACATTGTCATTTTCGAGCCAGGAGACCTTTTCCCTGGTGATGTGAGACTATTAACCTCAAAACACCTGGTTGTAAGGTATAACAGCTTCAAAATTTCCCTGTTTCTTATATGGTAATTTAAAATTTTCCTTTATGTCCCTTTTTTTGTCTGGTTAACCATGGAATCCTTTATTTTACACCCTTTGCTTCTTGAACAGTCAGTCCTCATTAACAGGGGAGTCTTGGACAACTGAAAAAACAGCTGATGTGAGAGAAGATAGGAGCACTCCTTTGCTAGAATTAAAGAATATTTGTTTCATGGTGCGTATAGATATAGTTTCTCCAATATTACTCTTTTGTTGCTTGTGGTAGTAATAACTTTTGCAACATTAAGTCGATAAGGGATATGAACAATAATTTATTTATTTTCTAACTTTAGTGTTCAAAATATACCAAAATATTTTAACTTTCTGCACAAAGTCGAAATGGCATTCTTTCTATTTTTATATCTTTTGCCTTTGATATGTTTGATTTGTCTCTTTATTGCTTTACACTAAACTTTGAGTCTCTTAGAATAATAGATTACTAAAATATATGTGCTTGTCATTTATTTATACAATACTGCATATGTTATAGCGAACCATACCAAATGATGGAATAGCTGGTTCCTTTTCTGAAGTAAGCCTGAGTGCCTGACAAGCATAGCATTTATAAAACAGCACAGATTGTACTTAAGTGATATATTCAAGCTACAATTTTATTATGAATAGTCAAAGGTGCTTAAAAGTAGCAGGAATTTCAATTTCAATGGCATATCATTCCCATATTTTCTACAATTTTACTGTCCTTTCACACTTAGGTGGCAGCATATGGCTACCTTTCAAGAAATTTGCCTTTGTTGCTTATCAGGAACAATGGCTGGTCATTTAATAATTTGCATATTTGAATGTAAGGAGTATGGCAACTCCAGTTTAGCTAATATCCAATTGTTATCTATTAGTAAGTAATCATAGATTATTACTGCATAATACACTGAGGTATACAACCGTCGTGATTAATATTTCAGGGGACAAATGTGGTATCAGGTATTGGAACTGGTCTAGTTGTCTCCACTGGATCCAAGACCTACATAAGCACCGTGTTTTCAACTATTGGAAAGCACAAACCACCAGATGGTTTTGAGAAGGGTATTCGGAAGATATCTTATGTTCTTGTTGGTGTAATGCTTCTAGTAGTCACAATCATGATACTGGTAGAGTACCTTACTTTCCATAATTTGAGTGAGAGTACCCTTTTTGGAATCTCGGTTGCATGTGCTCTTACTCCTCAAATGCTTCCCCTCATTATCAACACAAGCCTTGCAAAGGGAGCACTTGCTATGGCAAGGGAAAGATGTATAGTCAAAAGCTTGTCTGCCATACGAGACATGGGATCCATGTAAGTCCAAAATTTCTCCTGAATATAGAGGTGAAAGACTTAAAAACTGTAGATAAGTTAATGCTTACTCCTATGCTACTACTCAAACAAAGCTTGCTGCTGGATTAACCCTTAAACCAGAAACAAAGCTCTAAAACCACTGTTATTTGTGTGTGAAAGAAAGAAAGAGAGAAATGGGGAGACACGGCTATTCAGCTACTTGATAGTGGAATTAATATGAACGTCAAATTGTTTGAAATGCATATATAGTGCCTGCTATATGTAGTCCATCAATGGCGCCTCCCAAATTACACCATGATGATCACTACTTGAAGTGTATTAAATCAGAATAATTGGCACAGCAAATAGAGTTGATCTTCCACTGAGATGCTAGATTTGAATAAATAGGAAAATTGCACATGATAACAATCATCAAAAAGTACATAGAAGGGATACTTGGTGATATTTTGGATTCAGAAGCATGCTTAATAAATTAGGATGATACAATTCTTTGACCTGTAAATCTGGGTCAGAGACCTATGCTTTCTTCCACTATTTTGAAATCTGAAAGCAGGAGTTTTATGGATATTGTTATAGCATGTGAAGAATCTGAGCTTATGTTCTATGTTGTTACATAATAGTTTCATCAAGTTTTTCATTTTGAAGTTTAATTTTCCGACATTTTGTTACTTATTTCTTTTTGCTTTGGCAGGGATATCCTATGTATTGATAAAACTGGGACGCTCACCATGAACCGTGCAATCATGGTTAATCATCTGGATAGCTGGGGTTCTCCAAAAGAAAAGGTCTTACATTTCGCCTTCCTCAATTCTTACTTCAAGAGTGATCAGAAATATCCTCTAGATGATGCAATTTTGGCATTTGTGTACACAAATGGATACCGGTTCCAACCATCCAAGTGGAGAAAGATCGATGAAATCCCTTTTGATTTTATGAGAAGAAGGGTATCTGTTATTTTGGAAACAGAATCTAATCCAAGAGGTAGAAATAGCCAACCCTTCTCTAGGTTCATGATAACCAAAGGAGCACTTGAAGAAGTGATGAAAGTTTGTTCTTATGTGGAACATGTAGATAGGGGTGAGATAACAGCTTTCTCTGAAGAAGACCATCCTAGGATTTTGAATGTGGTGGAAGAACTAAGCAATGAGGGATTACGGGTTATAGGAGTTGCAATAAAAAATCTACAACAAACAGTGAGTTTAAATATCCTTTAGACCAATGTCTTTTTCCTCTTTTTTTCTTGCTATCCCTTTCTTTTTTTGCTTTTTCCATGCATGAATTTCTAAAAGCTTCTTTTTTCTTAGTACTCAAATTCAACTGCATTTCATGCCATAGGCTATATTAATTCACCTAGCCACGAATCCCCCAGTATCCTTGTAAGACAAGATTTGCATGTAAGAACAAACTTTCGTCACTATGATAGTTAACCAATGCTTAAACCCTTGAATGTAATACAGTGTTATGTCATGTTACAGAAAATAAGTGAACAAAACATGGACAATGAGGATGTTGTTGAATCAGACATGGTATTCCTCGGTCTCGTAACATTCTTTGACCCACCTAAGGACTCAGCAAAGCAAGCTCTATGGCGGTTGGCTGAGAAGGGAGTAAAGGCAAAAGTATTAACTGGTGATTCACTGTCTCTAGCAATAAAAATTTGCCATGAAGTTGGCATCAGAACCACACATGTATCAACAGGACCAGACCTAGAGCAACTCAACCAGGATGTCTTTCATGAAACAGTGAAAAAGGCCACAGTTCTGGCTCGGCTTACCCCTTCTCAGAAACTGAGAGTAGTACAGTCCTTGCAAACAGTTGGTAATCATGTTGTTGGGTTCTTGGGTGATGGAATAAATGACTCACTCGCATTAGATGCTGCTAATATAGGTATATCAGTTGATTCAGCCGCATCAGTTGCAAAAGACTTGGCTGATATCATTTTACTCGAGAAAGACTTAAACGTGCTTGTTGCTGGAGTTGAGCAGGGTCGTTTTACATTCGGCAACACAATGAAATACATAAAACTGTCAGTTATTGCTAATCTAGGGAGCGTTGTTTCACTCTTCATCGCAACTGTCTTCCTCAGATTTGAGCCATTGACTCCAAAGCAACTCCTTGTACAGAACTTCTTGTATAGTGTGGGCCAGATTGCAATTCCATGGGACAAGATGGAAGAAGATTATGTCAAAATCCCTCAAAAATGGTCTGTGAAAGGTTTGCCGATGTTCATATTATGGAATGGCCCTGTCTGCACTCTCTGTGATATAGCCACTATTTTGTTCCTTTGGTTTTACTACAGTTCTGATGGCAAGTTAAGTGAAACTTTCTTCCGTTCTGCTTATTTTGTTGAGGGGCTTCTCATGCAGACCCTGATTTACCACTTGATCCGGACAGAAAAAATTCCCTTCATTATGGAGATCGCCTCTTGGCCTGTAATTGGTTCAACAGTCCTGATTTCTGCTGTTGGTATTGCAATACCATTCTCAATAATTGGAGATTTCATGGGATTCACTGACTTGCCACTCTCATATTTCGGGTTTTTGGTTGTGCTTTTCATAGGCTATTTTACAGTTGGTCAAGTTGTCAAGAGACTATACATTTTGGTCTACAAAAAATGGCTTTAGATATCAGATTGAGATGATATGGGAAGAATGCTTATTGAGAGATATTTCCTTGTAGGAAAATTTTTTCCTTGTACATTATTGAGAGAAAGTACATACATTGCCATTGTTTTGACAGGATTCACCACATTTTTTCTAGAGATATTCTCTGTTATAAAAAATGTCATTGGGCTTGCAAATTTCCCAAAATGAATGAAATGGTTGTTTTACAGAAGACATGAATGTAATGGTGGACTAGCAAAGGCTTAAAAATGGGGGGGAAAAGGAAAAGAAAAAGCCGCAGTTTATCTTCCTCTTCATATCTGGGACTCAAGCAACTCCACTGGTCACAATATTTGACACAGATGGAACCAGACAGATGCAAGTAAAAGCCATATTAGGCTGTTGAAATTTTTTTTCTTCTGTGAATTGCCTGCATAAATATACGTCACATGCAGCTTAGAACAGAGAAATAAAGTAGAAACAAGGTTACAGTTGCAAAACTCAGACGATTCAGCACCCTAAACAACTGATTAACATCCATGTCTGAAGGCAAAATGAAGATAGGTTTAGAATATTACTTAATTGGAGATAACCGTTCCTAATGTTCCATTCAAAATCCCAGTGCTGTCTATCATTTTTGAGTGTCCAATAAGCCCAACCAAAGGAAGCAGCATCATACACCTCTAACTGCGCCCTTCCAAAGGCTTGATAATCTGATTGAGACCCACTGGTAACATTCCACTCATTTACCCACTCTCCTGAAACAAACAAAATCCAAATAAAAATATAAGAATTGCATCAGAAATGGGTTTTTTATATCCCAAAGTCAAGCATATACACAGTAACTTAGTTCAAACATGTGAAAAATCAGCAACTGTGAAACACTTTGACTGACAGCAAGATTAGAAAGCTCAATGAATCCTAAACCCTAATCTTCTAAGTCAAACACTGTTTTATTGGGACAGAAAATAGATCTTTAGTTACCAATAAAAACAAGTGGGCCATTTGCACCATTCAAAGCTTGTAGCTGAGCCTCCCTGCTCTGATATATGAATTGGATATTATCTAAAACACTCATGTTAACAAAGAAAGTATCAAAGAGATTGTAGTAATGCAAATCCACCACTATGTTGTGGGAGCCTATATCAGCCTGATAAAGTTCCAGTGGATCTGCATTGCCAATTCTTTGGCAAATTATGACATAAGCTGATGGAGAGCGTTTCCTCACAACTTCATAGCCTTGTTTGTAATACGAAACTATTGTATCCAATGAAACTGCCGCAGCAGAGGGTTCATTTAATAGCTCAATTCCCAGCAAGGCAGGATGTCTTGCATACCTGCAACAAACAAGATGATTCAATGGAATTAAACTTTACAAACAGACAAATCTGCATAGTCCAAAGGATAAGGGTTAGCCTGTTGGAGTTGGAAAGATTTTCTTGTTTAGTTATTTAGGATATTGATTGACAAGCAATGCAACAGAAATTCTTCAGAAAACTTTGATTTCTGGTTGAGTAAACATATCAATTAACATGCAATTTCAAAGAAATTTTAACAGAGGCATTATCAAATGCAACATGGGGAGGGATCTTAAGCACTACAAATTCACAAGATCAATAGCTTTGATCAAAATATAGCAAGACAAAAAATATTAGGAATCCTGAAAGTCATGGTTTTGATTGGTTTGATGGATTGCAGCACCAAAACTTGATATGATGATAGTCCACTATTTCCATTTACACACGAGATGAAAGGACAAAAAACACGAAGATCTATTAGTTTGCATTTGTCTTTTGCTAGAAGTCAATCAATAATACAAACACCATGTTTACTTTTTGTTGTTTACTTTCTCTCTTCCAGGTCCCATGGGTGTAAGTATGCTGATCAAATATCATAGAATGTGAAAATCAATATATGCAATTCCGTGAGGCATCGAGACTCCAGAGCCTGAATAACTACCAGTGATGATAAAATTTTGTTCAGCATTTTCTGCACGACCTTTGCAGACTGGCATCTCAAATAAACCACTAGAACATTTTTTTTTTCAATCTTCATCACTCTGGCTAAAATATCACTTTCAAGGGCGAATGTAATAAAACATTACCTGGAAGCTAGAAAATCTATAACATGCAATGTCTGTGAAATGTAATCTGATGTAGGCCAGCCTACTGTGCCATCTCTGCTAGCACTATGTTCCATTCCATTTTGGGAGCCAGGTGCTGCATGAAGGTCAATTATGCACTTTATGTTATAGGCTCTGCATCAAAATTTTCACATAATTATCAAATGAAATGAAAATCTGAAATCATAGCACTCTGACGAAGAAAAGTGAAGCAAAGACTTACTGTGCCCACGAGAATGCATTGTCAAGAGCTTCTAATGTTCCTCCAATAAATGGGGCTGGAGGATCAGGATCAAAAGCAATCCACCAACCAACAGGGATCCTTACAGTATTTATTCCATGTCTATATAGAAATTCAAAATCTCCTACATTGATAAAACTATTTCTATGTCCCTGCATTTTCAACCAAAAAGAAAAGTTAGGAAAAACAAAAGATTGAATTTGAAGCTAGTGCATAATTATGTTTTCTGCGTTTCAAAGTTTTGGATTATTCATCTGCCAATCCATAATTATCCGAAGATTTTGTCTTGATTATCTACTAGTTAGCTATTAAAATTCTCTTGTTGCAGATACTTCAGTCTGACAACTAGGGGAATAACTTAATAAAATCAAAATAAACAGTGTAATGAGAACAAAGTACCCTAATATTTACATGCTCACACAAACTCAAACATGCATGTAAAAGAGAAGGCAAGACAATAGAAAACTGCTGATATATAGGCAGCATACATTTTTCATGTTTGTGTCTTTAAAGATTCCATTAATCAAATTATGTTATTGAAATTTTATTAGATGATGCTAAACATAATCCTCAAGATAAATGGTAGAAGTCTATAAGATAATAGCAAATAATATGTATGTAACATATTTGAGTGCCAAACCAACTGAAGTTATTCAAAGTGATAAATGTAACAAGTTTAAACTGTACCGCCCACCCCCTCCCCTCCCTCCCCCCCCAAAAAAAAAGTGCTTATGGTACCTCAAGAACCTGTTTCGCCTTGTTATGTCCATATCCATTTGCAAGCTGATAATCTCCATGCAAGTTATTAGCTATAATTGACATTTCAAATGTGGCTGCATTATCATCCCATCCTGGGGTTCCTGGATAATCTGCCGTGAGCTGATTACCTATGGTAGCCTAAAATATTAAAAAACATTATCATCAAGTTTTAACACATCAAACTTAGGCATCACATTTGAACCAATGAAAGAACCACTGAGAAATCTCAAATGCCATAGAGCAAATTTACGAAGGTTGACCTGCACACATTTTGGTTAAGCTACCATTGTATAGCTGCAGGTTGAAGTTAAAATGCAAATCAGTCTGAAAAGTGATAATCCAGCCACATGCTATTATTATCCATTCTACAACTATAGTTGCAGAAATTTGTCTTAATCTTTCAAATATGACAATTAAAACTGGTTCAAAATGCAGCATGAAGCAAGCATGGTTCAAAAAAAAAAAATCGTGAATATCCAAATGAATAGAAAAATTACTGAAACTTGCAATTCATAATTAAAGTTTCAGATATTTTCCTCAAGTAAAGGTTCTTGACTATGCTACAAGTTCTCAATATTTAGGACAACTGGCCATTGATATTGAGACCTTAATCTTATAGTGGTTAACCGAAATCTTGACAACCAGACAAAGGCTAAAATATTGGGTGCTTGAATATTTTAACCATATTATTTAACAGAAAGTGGCCAAAAAAAAAAAAAAGTGTCTGTCCATCTTGCTATCAACACTACTGAAATCTTTGATTCATCAACTCAAAAAGTGAAGGATTTAGTATTATTATACCTGCAGATAGGTGCCACTCTTTATTTTGATATGAATTCGACCGTTGTTATTTCTTTCAATTTGAAACGTTTCTGTTGAGGAAGCTGATGTTGCTGTTGCAGATACAGAGCATCCATTACCATAACATGTTAGAAATTGGCCTTGTGTGGTGCGGAACTGAAATTCTGATTCAGAAACTCTCCATAACTGCATGAAAATAAATTGTTAGATAACAAATTTCATTACAGAAGACTAATTTACTTTCTAGAAAGCCCACAAGTTTGTGCAAAACGAGACTCATAGGATATCAGTCAACACAACAAAAATGACTGTTGTCACAATTATTAATCACAATTTATAAAGGAAATTAAAATTCTACAATGCTTAACTTCTAAAGAAAAGTAACAAAATTATAGTACTTGTATCCCAGGACAACTATCCATTTGACAATAAATCCCCCTCAACTACTTTCATAGAGAACAAGGAAAAGAAAGCAAATATACAAGTATTGCCACTGCAACTGAAACCCATTGCCTATATTTTGAGTTACACTACCAACTTCATATTCTATCCAGTTTACTGCCACATACCTAATACTAGCTATCTTTTTCCGAGAAAAGAAAATCTAATGACTCATTATTCCACCATAAAACTTTGTGAACTTTGAAGTGTTATAAGGCAAAAGGTTGTAAATTTGTAATACACTTTTATTCATCAAGTTAAACCAGAAACCAATTTTTTAGGATAAGATGTGTTAAAAAGTGGTCAGTACTGAAGAGCGTCACTCTGGATATTCAACCAGACCAAAACTATGTAAAACCTCGAGCAGCCATAGATTGGGTCTTTTCTTTTTCATTACACATTGCAGTTCCTTCAATGCAAAACTTTGTTTAGTAAACAGAATATGTAATGGTTTCACTTTCTGGAATATCCACAAGCATATTACCAGCAGGTCCAAATAGTCAATCAAGCTCAAGTTTACCATACAACACAAGAACAAATCGTAGATAAAGACCAACAATTTTGTTTGGTTTCTTACAGTCAAGGTTTCCCATGAAGAAGCAGCATCTCTATTAACTGAAATGTCCATCCCACCTCCATTTTCTGCACAAACATATTTCTGCAATGTCACTGACTTGAATTGAACCTGTGTTCCATCCTACATTTTAATATCCATAAACATATAACTAAAATTACTCATGGAAAAACTAGAAGAAACCAAAAAATTATTAAAAAAAGCAAGAAAGTTTACGCTAAGACAAAAGCTTAATACTCACAAGCATGTCTCCATTAGGAATGCCATCAAAAAGAGAGGGCTTGATCCAACCTTCTATAACCAACCACCCTCCTAAGTTCACCCCTCTCACTTTAGAATCTCCATGCAACCCCTCCACTTACAAAATTAAATGACCATTTTCAACAATTTGGTATTTTCTACAAAATGAGCATTTTCAAGAAACCAAAAGAAATGCAACGAAAAGAAAAAGGAGCTTTAAGCTCACCTGAAAGTGCTACACAAAAGATTAGCCAACAACAGAGAGAAAATGCAAATACCCATTTGCTAAAAACAAGTTCCATGAAGAATGCAACCCCTTGACTGCATCAAACAAAAGCTAAAGCGTGGAATCCAACAACAAAAAAAGATGGAGAATAAAGGGAAAACGAAAGAGAGAAAAAAAAAACCATCCACTTGGTAGAGAATCTTTAGTAGTTCCTTCCTTATCAATCAATTTATACCAAATTCAACCTTGTAAACAATCATAACATTTAATTCTTTAAGTTGGGTGTTGCACTAATTCATTGCATTAGTCATAAAAACTCAATCCTCCTCCAAGATCAAGACAAAAACAAGAACCCCATTACAAATATTTAACAGAAGAAGAAGAAGAAGAAGAAGAAGAAAAGAACATTTTTTCTAAAGTTGCCAAGGAATAAACAAGAGTGGGAACCTGAAAACTTCCTCTGATTTCACATTTTAAAAGTACAAAACCCAAAAAGGTTAGAAAGGAAGCCCCTTTGCCTAGAGAGTTTGGTTTTGTGCTTTTTGCGTAGATTTAGAGTCAAGAAAAAAGCTTGCTTTTTAACCACCAAGATTACAATTTGAAGCTGAAAAACGCCTTTAAAAGAATAAGATAAAGGCTGTTGGTTCCCAGTCCCACCTCCTCGCCTTTACATTCACATGAAGAAACCGTTTTTGTTTTTCTTCTCTTCTCGATGCCCACCGAACCCAACCCGAGTCTTGAAACCCGATCCGAACGGGAAAAAGGAAAACGGCAACGTCTACATTGGGAGGTATCGACTGCTTACCGTTTACGCCTCTGAGTTGGCCGTTAAATTTCATGGTCGTTTGTTGTGTCTTGTCCAAAATTTTACCATCTTTCACCATATTTCACCATCCGTTGTTACCGTTCCTTCGGTTTGGCAGTTGAAACTTGAAAACTGACCTTCTCTTCAGCCGCCATTGTGACATGGAGGAGTCGACAAATGAATTTTGAGACATCGGGGTGGATAAGAAAAAGAAAGAAAAATGGGCTTTTTTTTTTTTTGGGTTAAATCCTCAAATTATGATTAAACCTTTGGCAGCCTTGCTGTCTTTGCCCATGAATATTGGCATCAAGAACAAGACAGAGTTGAATCATTCAACGGTTCAAGGGAAAAGGAATCTTTATCCAACCGACCTTTTTTGACACCAATTGTAGCATATGGATATGGGTGGGCTCCCTTTGCTGTCCCTCCCCCAAAGGATCTCACCTTGATTTAATTTGATGTTGATATATCTCAAAAGTGATAAGCTCACATTTACACATGATGTTGTGTATCGTATCAAATAGTATATTTATATTATATTTATACATAAAAATTATGTATTATAATTTATATTTACAAAAAAATATAAATTTTTTTTATTTGATTAAATTTATTTATAATTTATATTAAAATTTTATATCGTATTATCTTTATATTTTTTATTTATATTATTTTTATATTATGTCATTATATCATATTTTAAATTATCAGATCTATTCACGTCTTATTAAAATTGGGAAAGATTAAGTCATGACAAAGTATAATATAGTTAATTTATTAAAAAAATGCTTTGGTTTAACAACAAATAGATAATCTAAAGAACTTGAGATTTCATATTTAAGTTTTATTATATGTATGAATTTGATCTATTTTTTTATGTTGGATTTATTGAATTATGTGTTAATTTGATGATTGATTTGTTTGTTTCAATGATTTTTTAATATGAATGTAGTATTTAATTATTATTATAATTTGTTTATGCTTATAACTTTATAAAAAAAATTAAATTTATTACTATATTATTGCTTAACATTAACTTTAACGCTGTATTTCAAGCTGTACTTTTAAATTTAGTGATGTTTTAAAAAAAAAAAAGTAATGTAATGATTTGGAAAACTGAGTGGGCTAGTTTAAGACTTGGATTTTGCTATTGAGAGGTCTGAGCCAGGCCCACTGTAAGTGTTAGTCTTGGGCTTTAATTTTGCAAGAGTGCCACAATATTTGAACAACCAGTAACTACTAAAAGGGTTAAACAATATAATTTTTATTAAAAAATAGTAACCTAAAGGCTTTGAGTTCATAAATATTAATATTTTCTAGCTTTTTCATAAGAAAACTATCTTTATAGTGTTGAAAATATAGAAGAAATGAAAGAGAATTATTTGTTTAAACATGCAAGTGGATAGCTAAAACTAATTGAAGTTGTTTTCCCATCTTATTCAGCCGATTTTGAAGGTTATTAATTAGTTTAGGATTTAGGGTTTAACGATTGTTCATTTTCTTTATAATAGTGTTATTTCTATAACTTTTGTATTAATTTGGTGACATGCTTACATTTTGTGATGTTACATTGTGTTATTTTTTTACGTTTAACTTTTAATATTGCATTACGTTAATTTTTATCAATCTCTTTAATATTTTGTGTTTATTAACATCAAATTATATAAATATTTCATACTCCCTTCACATGACATTTATAATGTTTGGTATTTGGATATATAGGAGAGGAGACCTAACCTTAGGTTATAACAATTTCGATCCTTAAATTCTTTGGTTCAAATTTCATTGTGTATTGATTTGGTTATATAATTATATTTTAATTTATTTAGATGCAAATTATTCAAAATTAGCATGATTACGAAGGAAAAAATTATTTAAAAAATCCCATATCATTAATTAATAATTAAGCTAATCAAGAAGTACTCCAAAATCAATCTGTCTGAACTAGAATCTAGTTAATGGCAACATTGACGACAAACCTCAAACAATTATGGATTCGGTCTGTCTCCAGGGTGTGATTCTAACTGAAGAAACTCTTTCATCAAATAATGGATCTGCCGCCCATAGTTTTGCTTATCAAATACGCTTAAAATTCTTTTTATTTTTTTTAATTTTTCATTCTTGTCTATTCATTCTCCCACTTTTCCGCTCTACAAAACTTGTCCTAAAATCGAGCTCGGTGGATAGGCTGCCGGTTTTGTTGATCAGCCAATGGTTTTTAATCATTGGAGATCATAATTGCCTATACTTGTCTGGTATTGTAGATGAACGAAATCCATGCGGTTGGGAAGAACTGATTGGACATGCTTTGTCCAAGCAAACCAGACAAATGAACCCTACAAACGTCAAATCTCTGCTACTGCTACTAATGACGTATGATCCAAGCAATAACGAAGCAATAATGAACACTTACCTGTTATGTTAATGTGCGAAATGAGTGTATATAATTTTTTTTTTTTTACAGTTACATAACATTTTTCTCACTTATTTTTTTTCCCATATATATATTTTAATTTTTATCATTTTTTTCTTTCACGTGGGGTGTGTCACGAGTGGTTGTTAAATGCATTTACGAAATTTTTTTTACTTATAATTATCTAATCATTCCATTAATGGATATTGGACTTCGCTATCATGTCTTAACATTTTTGTCGTTAATTCGTACTAATAATTTATGAATAATCACGTGAAGACTTGTTTCATTCTGGAACTCAAAAATCACAAATAGATCAATCAAGCAACATCGTTTTAACACCATTGATACTTGATAAAAAATGATTGATTGAGTGGAATCGATAAAGGCCTTTTTCAGTTCTAATTTTACTTTTATCTATTATTAAAGTCTTAAAACATGAATTGACAAACACACCCCCAATTGCATATGATAGTGCTTCATGATGCTGATAATAATTGGAAGTTTCACATGCCCACATGCAAATCGATCAAGTTGGTCTAAAACTGACCAAAAAAAAAAGTTTTGCCATATTACACATCAATCTATATTTTCTAGCTACCTGAATTTAGCTTACTGGTATGAGATTTGATCTCTGGTGAAAGATTTAATTAATTAGTACAAATTTTTATAGGATTTTCTTTTGGCTTATAAGTGTAAAACAAAAATTTGGATGGCTCAATGTTGTTGTTGATGTTAATCTTGTTGAGAGCTTTATCATATTTGAAGCTGAGAGGGCATATTAGATATTATTTAAATTCAAAATTTTAAATTATTAAATTTTGAATTTTTCGTGTATATAAAAAATATTTTATTTATATTTTTTAATGATATAAAATTTTTTAATCTTATGTTAATCTTATTTCAACACATCTATGTTATAAAGAGTTGTAGTTATTGTAATCAACTACTGCTTGTCTTCAATTTCCATCAAAATTTTTTCTTCTTTTTCTTGTGTCATTGAAATATCTTTTCAGCAGATAGATAGCTATAGGAGCAGTTCTGAGATGGAAAAATCCAAGAAAGGAGGTCGACAGAATTTGCCTTTGTAGGAAAATGAACAAATGAACCAGTCCAAGCCAAAAACCCCATGCATGTTTCGTAAAAAGCGTAGCAAAGAACCAGACAAAGAGAGAAAAAGTTTATTATAGTTGCCCCACCTCCCCACCCTTTCTCTCTCCTTCGCCCTCTCTCTCTCGTTCATTAGGGACAATGAAATGCCCAATTCAATGCACCTTTTGTGGGGGGCTTTTGGGGTTGTTCTAAGGGCACAAATTTTAAGAATAAGAACGAGAGAAACAACACGGCAAATGCCATGACGTAGTCACAGTGGCATGGTTGTCGGAATGTGACGACAACATCAATTTTTTAATGATATCTGCTATGTTTTTTTTCATTTTTTCTTTTGAAAACTCAGTCAAACGCTGCCTCAGTTTCCTGCAATAACCGACAAAGAATGTGCTCTCAATTAAATATTGAGAGAGATTGCTTCAGTCAGTCTCAGGTTAAAGTTAAATTAAAATATGAAAATATATTCAACAAAAAAAAAGTTTATACTAATATTAAAATTTTGTGACAATCTATTTGCAATTATTGTATACATCGACATTGCATTAAGCTCATAGCTTAAATTTTAGCAGTAAGCAAGGCGAAATTATAGCTCCAGCAATGATTATCTAAAATCCAAGGCCCTCGTGGTATAGATTTGGAACCTCTTATTTTTTAATATTAAATGAAAATTTTTGTTGATAATCGGATAAAAAGTTACACCATCATAAATAAAATTTATAATTATTTTTTTATCATTAAAATTTTTTAATTTTTTACCAAATAATATTTTTTGTTTATAAGTCTAATATGATACTGTTTTGGTCGTAAATTTTTTTTTCATTTATATGTCTTTTAATTTGACCATCAACAAGATTCTACATTGAAAGAGGAAATGAGCTCGATTGCGACAACACATAGTCTGATGCTTTGTTTAAATTATGGAATTATTAATTAACCCCTCCAGCTGCCATTACCATATTATTATTAGGGGTTTATTATACTGCATGACTTTAAAGAAATCCATAGTTTTATTACTGGTTTAATGAACCGTATGTGGTTTCATAAGTGAAACTAGAAAATAGATAAAAGTACTTTTTGTTGGACTAAGCATCAAACACAACAATACAAAAATAATATATTATAATAAATCAATAGCAATAGATAATAATCAACAATTAACAACGTAAGAAAAATAAAATACATTAAGATTTACGTGAAAAATCCTCTAATGTAGAGAGAAAAAATTACGAACCATCAAAAAAATCTTCATTATCAAATAATGGATATATAAAATTTTCTTCTAACTAAAATTATAGTTAATAATAACTAGAAAAATAATTCGAGAAATCTCATTAAATAAGTAACTCAACAAATATATCCTGGATGTGTTCTTAGAAAGTTTCAAACATAATCTTCACCGTTCAGAATATAGAACTATGAATTATAAATCTATTGATAAAATTTTAACTCAATCGAACTACAGATCAACTTTCATCAAGTAATTCTCCCTTTTCTCTTTATTTTTCTAGCTTTTCTTTTTCTCTCTTCGGCGCCACATTCACACAAAAACTACCCACATTTATATAATATGTAGGGCTCCATTTTTTAATTAAAAGGCAAAAGTAAAAAAGCTCATGGCCTTTGATTGGTTTAAAAGAATGGGGCTAGACCTTAAATTATTAACAATTTCCCCCTCTAACCCGATTAGGAGGAGATTTATCACTATAACAATTTTATTTGAAACTTATATTGGTCAAAGTACTCATTTCAATCAAGTTACTATAGACCTCAAACTTTTTCTTTGGAAGTGTTTTAGTCAGTATATCTACCACATCTTCATCAATATAAACTTTCTTTAATTGCATTTGTTGTTCCCTAATCACTGAATGTAACTATTGATATCTAACATCAATATGCTTTGTTTTAGTGTGGTACATGATATTTTTACTTAAATTTAAAGTACTCTAACTATTACAAAACACCACATGCTCTTTCTAATTCAATCTCAATTCAAGAAGAAAATGTTTCATTCAAAACTTTTCTTTATCTGCTTTGGTTGCTATAATATATTCAGCATCTATAGTTGACAAAGTAATACATTTCTGTAACTTAGACTGCCTCTTCCTACAAAAGTTAATAAATACTCGTTAATAGATTTTTTACCATCAAGATCACTTGCCATGTCAACATTAATAAACTTTTCTAAAACTAATTGTGAAACTTCATAACTCAAGTGCATTTTTTAAGTACCCCTCAAATATCTGAAAATTCATTTTACTGCTTTTCAGCAAATATTTTTTGAATTAGAAAGAAATCTACTTACTACACTAACTATATGATCAATGTCAAACTGTGTGCAAATGATAAGATACATCAAAGAACCGAATGTGGCTTTGTAAGTGAAATTTGAAAACGGACAAAAGAACTTTTAAAATTAGATTTTTTTTTCTCTATTTTTCTCTTTAAAGAATTGAAAATGTTTTATATTTAGTAAAACGATAATGCTACATGCGCTTATTTAATATACTCATTTCACATACAGTTTTTATTTTAAGGATTTAAGTGAAAAGTATTAAATTTTTATGATTTATAATAGAATTCTGAAAACTTATATATTATGAGTGTGCGAAATAAGTATGCACTTATTGTTTTTTCCTTGGTAAAACGAATATCTGACAATAAAAGGCTTTGTGACTTTGTGAGTTATGAACAGAACTGCAATATAAATATAAATATAAATATAAATATAAATATATATATATATATATATATGTAATGGGAAGAAAGTTTTAATAGCCATTAACATTGGCATTGAAAAATTACTTAGGTTTCGCTTGCTTTGATTGGTGTTTTTATTTTTAATTTTTTGTTATTTGTCTTTTGTTTTTTAGTTATGTTATATTTTTATTTTTCTATCAAAAAACAAAAAGCACAATACAAAAATATCAATTAAACAAAATCTTAATAGTTATCGAGTTAACCATCTTCTGGATTTATAATATATTAAAAAGAGAGGGGAAAGCCAATCTTTTTTTTTAAAAAAGGAAAGCCAATCTTTTATATTGACTTAGCAAAAATTAAAAAAATAAAACTAAAGGGGAAAGGGTCACCAAATTATATGTATTCACACATCATGCTATACAGTAACTCTAATTAGAATTTCTTTTTAGGAAAAACCAATTTGATAATTCATGTAAACGTTGATACAAAGACATCCCCCCAACCAATGTGTCCTTGTTGAAGACTTTAAGGATAAACGAGTCTTATAAATAATTGTAACGTTGATACATTCAAAGATTGTCAGTGAGATATGTAATTTCCATATTTTCTAAACATTGCACTAAGATCAATGATTGAGCTTAGCAAAAAAAGAGGAAAACAATTAAAATTTTTGTAGACACAAAAAAAAAAAAGGAAAAAAAATAATTTCATAATATTTTTAACATTCACGGTAAAGAATATCAATGAGTCCTAAATTTTATTTTGATTCCACTTTACTCCTTAATTTAAGAATTGTTATATTTTTTCATTAACCATCCAGTAAAATGTCTATTTGACATAACAAATAAATGTCCACATGGCATACAATACAAATTACAACATGGATGGATGACCAACATGAAAATATTTTTAAGAATTAGGTACCCAAATGAAATAATTCAAAAGTTAGAGATCAAAGTGAAACCATTATAAAAAGTTAAGGATAAAGGATGAAATTTACCCAAACTCTTGTGTCTATATAGCAAGGAAATGAAGAATGAAAGTTAGTGTATGTTATTACATCTTGACTTAGCTATTAACTTTTAAAATGGACATTGAATCTAAAATCAATTGATAACATATAGATGATTGTTATTATATTTATGTGGGTAAAAGGTCTAAAACTTAACTTTGAATTAATTAGCTTCGTTAATAAAGATTTTTTTTTTTTTTTGAGAAAGCAAGTTATAATTCATTGGCAAGTTAGAATTCATTGACAAGTTAAAAAAAAAGTGATTCAAAACAATTAAGAAATCAATTGTGTACTAAGTAATTAGCAAAAAGCAAATGAAAAGGAATATTTGATTAGGGCGTGTTTGGACGAGGTATTCGGAGGGGAGCTTTCATTTTATTCAAAATTTTCAAAATAAAATTTATTTGTTTGGATAAAAATAAAACAGAATTTCAAATTTTAAGTAAAATTTAAGTGAGAATTTGAAGTGCTTAAATTTCTTCTTAAAATTCCATCTAAATAGCTAGTTTTTTAAAATTCCTTCAAAATTCTTTCGTTTTTTCCTGCACATGACTTATTATAAAATATAAAATTTTTAAAAAATAAATATAATTTTAATTAGTATTAAATATATTTTTATTTTTATATTATTGATAATATCTATATATTTTTTCAAATATAATGATACATATATTGCATATTTTATTGATACATATATATTTTTTATCTCAACAAATTTCTTTCTAAGAAATATTTATCCAAATAAAATAATTATAAATATTAGCATTTTGAAATAATTCATTTTAAAACAACTTCGTTTTGAATTTTTTTAAAATTTTAAAATTCTCAATGTTAGGGAAAAGAGAGAGGAGATGCTGGTTGCGCCCTTGCTGGTCTATATAAATTCAACCAAACAAATTTTTAAAAAAATGTGAAAGAAGACATGTTGTTGGAAAGGGCGCTAAGTCTTTATCGTAGATGATTGTACGGGCTGCCTCCTTTAACATTTGTTTGTGTAGTCACATGTTAAAGGTCATGGACATCGATTCTCCCCTGCTTCTCTCTTCTGTCTTTGCCTGGCTCGATTTGCCACGTACTCCTCTTTTCTCTCTCTCTCTCTCTCTCTCGGGTTATCGTTGTCTAAATGGCCATTATGACCAAATCAAACCAAGGCAACATTCTCGAGAGAGAGAGAGAAGAAACTCAAATTCTGCAATAGTTGTTTTTACCAATGAATGGGAATAATATTTACTACAGCCACGAGATGACCAGAGCAACGCTGCATTTTAATTCTATTTTTCAACTAATTATTATTAAAAAAGAAAAAAAAACCCAACCCCGCATCTGATTTCAAAGTGACAAATCTTCCTAGCAATCGAAGACTTGAAAGACATATAATAAGGGAATCTCTCTGTCTCTGCCATTGTCTCTGTTTCTTTCTCTTCACCCTTCACAAGATCTCTCGTGCAACTTGGTGACTAGAGATATGTGAATATTAATTATTAGATTAAAGCACTTTATAAAAGGAAGATATTGGAAGATTTCTCAGATTGTAGGAAATGAGAGCATAGATCTGATAGGCTAATCGAAACACTTTGTTTGACAAGAAAGAAAAATTAAGGCTCCCAAAACTGTGAGAGAAAAATCATGACATTAGAAGCTGTGGTGTTTCAGCAAGACCATTTTAGTTATGGCTGCAAAGACTTCTATAGCTTTGGAGAAGGAAGTGGAACCTGCAGCTATGACTTTGGTTTTCAACAACAAGAAGAAAAAGCCTACTGCAATACCGAAGAAACTCTTGCTAAAAGTAGAGGCTTTGGTTTCAGTGCAACTTGGGACACCTCCTCGTCACCTTCTTTAATGGTGCAGCAACCTTTAAAGGAATGGGACTCCAACTCTTCCTCCCCAGATAATCGCTTTACCAACGGTGGATTCTCTGCGGTGGAACCACCACCAGCTGCCCCATCGTGCCGGCGGAAGAGACGGCGAACCAAAAGTGTCAAGAACAGAGAAGAAATAGAGAATCAAAGGATGATTCATATTGCTGTTGAAAGAAATAGGAGGAGACAAATGAATGATTATCTTGCTGTTCTTAGGTCTATGATGCCTACGTCTTACGTTCAAAGGGTACTTTTTTTTCCTCTTTTTCAACCATTTCTTTTATACTTATTCAATTTGGAAAGAAATTTTAATTTGTAATAGAAAAAGTGCTTTGAAAATAATAGAAAGTCTCTTTATTTATTTGTATAGGGGGACCAAGCATCAATCATAGGAGGAGCAATTAATTTCGTAAAGGAGTTAGACCATCTCATTCAATCTTTAGAAGCCCGGAAAAGAATGGAAAAAAGATCAGATAACTCCTCCCTTTCTTTACTCTTCTCTGATTTCTTTTCCATTCCTCAGCACTCAACTAGCTCGAATGGTATCCACCTTAGCAGCGCGGCGGCCCCCGACAAGTCAATGGCTGAGAAACTGCCATCATCTGTTGCAGATGTTGAAGTAACCATGGTGGAGAGCCATGCAAACCTCAAAATACTAGCGAAAAGACACCCAAAACAGCTCTTGAAGATGGTTACCGGGCTTCACTCTCTCGGCCTTCTCGTGCTTCACCTTAATCTCACATCTGTTGAAAATATGGTTCTCTATTCTTTGAGTGTTAGGGTAATTTAATCAATCATAGTCATCAGTTTCTTCAACATTTCAATATTTTCTTTTTGATGCAATTTAACTTATTATTAGTATGGGAATTTATGATTTTTTTTTTGGGGACAGGTTGAAGATAATTGTCTGCTAACTACGGTGAATGAAATTGCAACCGCTGTTTATGAGATGGTGGACAGATTTCAAGAAGAGGCAGCTGCTTAATTCATGTTCTATCCATATGTTATTAGTTTTTTTTTTTTTTTTACCATAAATTCTCATGTTCTTGCAGTGTCTTAATTAATTCTATTTTATGTTAATTTTTAGATAATTACTTGGTGGAACTTAGGTTTAGTTTTCCATTTTCTTTACGTTTTTTTTATTAGTTTAAATTTAGCAATTGGGTAACCCAACAAGGTCATGATCCTCTAGATTTTGTTTGAAATTTATAGTGGTTCACTCGTTAGTGTTGCGCCAACTTTGTAGCCGTTGCAAAAAATTTTTCTACTGTGAAAAAGAAGAGAGATTATAAGCTCTATATTAACCACTTAAATTAACCGTCTTTTGAATATAAAAAAATTTGTTCTCTTAATTAATCCTCTGATCATTGACAGTTTGAAATGTAAAATACAACTTTGGTATATGATTTTCATATATTAATTCTCTTACTAATAAATTTGATATGTGACACGAACATATGTAACTAGCTAACCCTACTCTACTTTTCATTAAAAGTACATTTTTATGAAGAAACCGCTGCGGGTACTCAGCGTCGAGGCCAGCCCTTGATGGAGACTCGTGAAAGAACTTGGAACCCCTTTTTATTTATTTATTTTATTGCTAATCTTTGCTTGCATTTGCATTGGATGATTCGACATACAAAAAAAAAATTATTTGGATTTTAGATTTCCTTATTAGGAAAAGGGTCAATTTATTAAGAGATCTTAAAAGTTTAATCAATCAAATTTGAATCAATATAATATTAAATTTAAATTAAATTTAAAATTTAAAGTTTGAAATTTGACTCGAACTCAATCGAATTTTATAATTTTAATTTAAATTTGATTTGAGATAAAAATCAAATTATTCGAATTCGTTCGATTAAATTTAATTAATATATAAAAATAAAATTTAATTTTTATATTCGATAAAAATTTGATTATTTGTATTTAAATTTGAATTCAAATTTGAGATATTTTATTAATTAAAATAATTAAAATATATAAAAATATAAAAATTTGATTAGACTTAGGAATTATTTGAACTGGATATAAAAATATTCGAACTTAACTCAATCGATAAATCAAAATACTCAAGTTCGAACTTGACTCAACAATAATTGAATCAAATTCGAGTCTTATTCGAGTCAAACACAAATAATTTATAAGTACTAATATATTATTTACATTCTTAAGTGGTCCAATCTTAAATCTACACTTATCAATATAAAAATATATATTTATTTTTTTATTATGTTCATGGAATGTGAGGCCATGTGCTTTGGGAAGATAAGCTATAGTATTTTGCTTTTAATAAGTTCAGCTTCATCATTAATTAATTAATGGTAAATCATGAAATATTCTCGCCCTCTTTACATTATAATATCGGTGTCCGTTTGCCTTGAATCTTTACCATTGGACTCAATGATATCATGTGGATATATGTTTTATTTATTCAAAGATTCGATTTAATTCTTTTCAATAACAAAATTACGTTACTATGCACTTCTCCTTTAGATTCACATGTTTTTTTAGTTTAACCGAATGATATCATTATGGTTCAATAACTCTGAGCATATAATACAAAATGTTTGATAAAAATAAAAAAAATAAAAGTATAAATAATAAAGAGTACTTAAATTCTATAAAAAATCTAATGATGTGTAGTAAAATATTTTGCTAATTATATTTTTAGTACTTGATTTTTGGAAAATGTATAAATTAATATTTAAAAATTAAAATATGTAATTTATACTCTATACTTTCAAAAAATATATCATTTTAATCCAAATTCTAATATTATTAAGTTAACTAGCTTATATAATATTTAATCAATATAATTTTATTATATGTATATTCTTTGTTAAATAAAAACGTTAAAGATTTTGTAAAAACATCATGTGGATACTACATAATAAATAATAATTGATTAATCCTAAACATTTTTTAAGGTTCAAGTAGAAAATATTTTTTATATTTTTTTTATTGAAAAAATATGTTAATAGTACGTATAATAATTATATAATTCGATAATATTTATCAAACGTCATATATATATATAGTTGAAATGGTAAGTGAAATTAAATTTTGGATTAACATGATACATAATTTAAAATTTTAAAATAAAATGATATATTTTATTTTTTTATAGGTACCAATTTATACATTTAGCTAAAATTAAAATATAAAAAATATAATTAATTCTAAAATATTTAATTTTTAATTTTAATAATCACAACTCAAATTTTTACAATCTCAAATAAAAAAATTATATTATTATTCAAGTGGATTATGGAATACCAACGAGGCCTTTGTGTTAACCCACTTTTACATGTAAAAGCCGGTGGGCCAAGCAACTGATGATACAGTGACCATCTCAAGGCTAAGGGTTCCAAGTTTTACGGCCAACTTATGTTTCTTAGGTTTGGAAATGCTGGTATGACTTTTTATTAGAAATGGCATGGTCGGGTCGTGACGGTTTTTTCATTGCGAATTTAACTCAATTTTATATATTTAATATTTAAATTAAATTAGATTTGATATTAAAATATTATTTTTTAATATTTGATTTAATCTAATTTGCATATATATATATATAAAATTATAATTGATTGATTCGATTTGAAATTAATAAAATATTTTTTAATGTAAAATATTATTTTTAATATAAATATATATAAATAAAAAATTAAATAAATAAAAAAAATTTTATATATATCAAATCTGGATGTAACGGATTTCTTAAAATCTAACCCAACTTTTTTCTAAAAAAAAATTTATAAGGTTAAGTTGAGTCAAAATTCAATGAGTTTGGATTAGATTGTCAACTCTACTTTTTATGAAGTGGAAGGAATTAGATTACGATCAGTTGTCTAAATAAATGAGATTTAAAACATTCATAAAAGTTTTGAAGTTCCAAGGAATCTGATGAAAAAAGGGTTTCAATGTGTTTTAAATGACTGTAATAGGTCAAGTTAATTATGTTATATAGTGTGTATAAAAAAGAAAAGAATTTATATTGTAGTAATTAATTCAACAATTTTACAGGCATCTTTTTATTTTGTGCTGAATAATATATATCAGAAGCATCTTTAATGGTCTGAGAACGTAAACAGCCAGTAACAGCAAAAATTAGGAAAATTTATGGTGGCCAGGCACCCTACAACTCAGAGCCTTAAGCATTTGGACGCTGAAAAGGCTACATAGATGACCGGATTCTTCTTGTATTTTATACCCTTACACTGATGTTGGAGTCTTACTTTTATTATGTGTTGTGTTGTTAACTCAGCTTGAATTCACAAGGGAAGGATTGAGTCTTGGCTTCTGTTTGTTTGGATAATAAGAATTTTCCACCAGATGAGAGAGACTTTTCATTGAAATAGACCCCTGGGATAAAGATCGAGCAATTGAAGAGCTTTTCATCAGCTTGCATATGCTTGAACTTCCAGTACTGCTTCGCTTGGCAACAATCTTCCCCTTTGGGCACTTTAGCTGCTGTAATTCAATGTCCAAACTACCATGATTTTTATGCGATTTAGTTGCTAGACCGGCTACATCGCTACAAATTTCCAAGGAAACTGACCTCCTCAGCGGTTGAACATGGTCTTGAACCACATCTAAATTGCTTAAGATTTGAGAATCAGAAGGCCTTTTCTTAGAATTTTCGGAAGTGTTTCCATCTTCAATTGGACAAGTTCTCAATTCACTAGTTCCACCTTCTGCAACATTATGCCTCCCAAGATCACCACAGTTATCTGAATTTTCAACCAGGCTTCCGTTCCTTGGACCCGAATCAATCGAATGAGGTTCTGGTGCACTGGCTTGAGCAACCATGGTTTCACAAACGACAGGGGCACGACACAATGGACAATTTTTATGTGACCTTAACCAAGTATCAATACAAGGAAGGTGAAAAGCATGGCTACACTTAGGCAAAAGCCTAAGACTTACATCTTCTTGGAACTCATTCAAGCAAACAGAACATTCAGTTCCTTCAATCATGCCTTCATCTTTTTTATACTTAAAAACTGTGATGGAATCAATAACTGACTGTTGGAGACCAACAGCGTACCATATGGGATTGTCTAAATGTGGTCCTCGATCTTCACCAAGAAAATCATCTCGAGTAATAAAAAAAATGGGTAAAGTTCTTCTCCTTGAATGACTCCTCCTGTTAAAATATAATCTAACAATTGCACAAAAAATACCGAAGAGAAGAGCACAACTTATAGTGCTTACCATGAGTGTCATGCCAGTAATCATCTCCCTTTTGTGATAATGCATGTGAGCATGAGTAGTAGTACTAGGAAGTAGTGGCGGTGGTGGTGGTGGCGCTTGTGGTGGAGGCCGCGGTTGCACAGGTATGTCTTTACATAATCGATTACAGTGGTAATATTTGTTTGCTATTCTCGGACATTTACATCCTGGTGGCAACCGTTTTGGAAAAGACATTGCGAGAAAACAGAGGAAAATCAAGCAGGGGGGGAAAGATTCATGCCCTTTGAGCCTGGAAGAAGGAAAATAAGAGAAGAGGACATTATGAATTGTTTTCATTCATGCATTATAAACTCTCTATCCTACAGTGGGGACTAGAATCAATAGTGTGAGTAAGAAGTTCGGCTTTTGGCTTTGCTTGTTTTGTTCTTTTTTTTCCACAAGTTTCATGTGATGGGTTGAGATTTGAGACATTCGTTTTCCATGAAAGACTTCTATGCTATGCGCATTTGCATTTGCTCGGTAGTTTCGTTTTTCTTAGGCTTTTGCCCAAGTCAGGAGACTCTTTGCAGTCAACCACGCGTAAACGTTGCCGTGGAGTTCATGGAAAAGAAAGGGAAACAACCCACCTAATTCAAAGGGTTGGTTGCTTTTGCCTTTTAGGTCTACGAATTCCAGCCCTGTGTAACACTTTACTACGTTTGATTTGTCCGATTCCCTCTTAATTTTCAACTCTTAATTTTTTTTATTTGCAGTTCAGGTATTGAATAATTATTACTGAAATTAAAATTTTAATATTTTATTAATAGATTATATAATTGTTGATTTATATCCAATACTTTTCAATATAATTTTAATTATCATTTATAAATATGACTTTCATGTTACATTCTTATAAATTTTATGTCAAATAGCTTTACTCCCTCACATGACATATTATTATTAGATAAATTCAAAGGTGTCTCAAATATTTAATTCCTACATTTGTGAATGGTAGCAATAAATGTATTGAAAAGAATCATGCTATATGTCTCATAAATTTTGTTTCAAATATTTTTATTCCCTGACATGACATATTATTATTAAATAAATTTAAAGGTTTTTCAATTATTTAATTGGTTATCCTACTTTTAAACCACTTTTCATGTGCTATCAGCAAGTTCATCAAGTCATTTGCTTGATGATTGTGAGCAATTTCTTCTACAAAATGTTTGAAAAACAAGTAAGAAATTAGAAAATGTAGTGGGTTCTTCAACATTATTTTAATGAGTCAACCCTACATCAGTTGGTGCATATCCTTCTCCATACTGTTAAAGAAAAATACGTTTAGGAAGAGACAATTTGGAGGTAATTTCTCTGAGTATGGATCAGTCCAAGTTAATTTTCAAAAGATTGAAATTGTATAGGAAGAACCCTTGATTTTTCCGGAATTGAGAGTGCCCGATGTTGGCAGCAAGGAAGCTGTTTTGACCAATGAAAGCCCTTCCATCTCAAAGAAGGTATGCAATATCATGATTCTTGAATGCAAAAACTAAACAAGAATGTCTTCTTCATTGAAAAGGTGATATGGAAGGAAACCGAATTTCATGATTTACTGATAAAGCTATGACACCTCATTTTTCACATTGTACACTAACTATTGGATCGATGTGACAAATATTTCTTTCTTCCCAGAGCAAACGTAGTGGATCCAAACAAGAAATTGCTTGCAGCTTTCTAGAAGTATTTTAATCAAACCAAGTGGAGTACTACTCTTACATGGCAAGTTTTCACAAAGTTTGAACGAAATGTATTTTTGCTCGACCATGTTCCAAGGGAACCAGCTAAAGCTTCCAAGGTTTCCATGTTAACCAAGTGGAGTACTACTCTTACATGGCAAGTTTTCACAAAGTTTGAACGAAATGTATTTTTGCTCCACCATGTTCCAAGAGACACAGCTAAAGCTTCCAAGGTTTCCATGTTACCATTAGCTGGCAGCAGGTTCTTAATAAACAAGACTAAATACAGATAAACCATAAGAAAATTATATATAATTATTAGGTCTCAACTAACTTAATCCATTGTCGTTTGAGAGATATTGCATACATCAAAATAAAGGTTCCAACTTCCAATTTCCAATAGCCTTTCAGTAGGGTTGAAACTTGAAACAATGTCAGCGACAAGATTGATGATTTATTACAGCTCAAAATTTGGTTTTTCTGATGGAACCAGCCAAGGGTTTGAATCGTACCTTAAACCAAGATGCAACTATCAGCCACGTTCCATAATCAAGCATGGATTGTTGCCTCTTAGCATCGGCCACAGCAAGACTCAAACGAAAATCAATACAAAGAATAAGTATATGATTCCTCTCTAGCGCCCATTCAATGGCTATGAAACCATAAAATTTGTTTGGGGTGTTTATGTTCAACAATATATTCATTTTGGTTGATGTAGGATTAGAATTTTCTGCATCAACTCTGTTGAATCTGGAGCTTCAAGTTCACCTGGTGCATCTTCAAATTCTTGGTATATAGTAAGCAATCTGAAACGGTGCTTTTGTTTTTCTTTGTTCTAGAATTCCCATGATATTGAACTGTTTTCTTGTACAATATATTAAACAGGAAAAGCTGGATTCTGGGAATTTTATTATCAGCAGTGCTATCGTTTTGGAAGCACAAATGGGGACCCTTACTAGCAATGAAAGGTAAGTTCTGAATCACAACATTATCAGTTCTGATATGATATACATAGATAGAATGCCTCCTGGATTACTTAACTATAGGCTCTAGGCAAAGAAGCAACCATGCCTTCTATTGCTGATCATGGCATTTCCTAAATAGAAAGATTGTGGTGATGTTGTAGAAAAGGTGGACAGAGTTGTGGAAACTGCTGAATTGGTGGTGGAGGTGGTGGAGAAGGTGGCGGAGGAGGTGGAGAAAGTAGCAGATGAAGTTGCTGATACACTTCCGAAAAATGGAAAGCTTAAGGAAGCAGTTTCTTTCATTGAAACAATAGCCAAAGAAACAGCCAAGGATGCTCGTTTAGCAGAGGAGCTGATTCAAAAGGTATAAGAATAAGTTGATATGCAATTCTTAAGTTCTTATCCTATGAGTGCCTGCATGGACTTTTCCCTTGCCCCTTGTGCAATCTATTAGAATGAGTTGATCATTTCTTCCAATGGCTTTGGACTTTGAATTCCAAGTGTGAAAAATTTTATTACTAATTTCAATTTACTCTTGGGAAAAAAAAATGCAGGTGGAGGATGTGGAAAAGGAGGTAATTGAATCCTTGATAGAACCTGTCAAAGGCCAAGTGGATAAAGTGGTTGAAGATCATGACAACAAAGCTAAATAGAATTACAACTCGATGTTGGCTCAAGTGATAAAAAATTTATTTATTTTTTATTATTTCAAGTTCGAATCCAAAAAAATTATACTTATTTAAACCTACGAACTCATTACCAACTCAAAAAACTAATTAAATAGAATATTTTATATCAAGTCTAAGTAAAAAAAAACAAATTTGCAATTTTTTATGCTTGGGGTGTAAAAGAAACAGTTGGAGATTGTTGTACTTTGCTTTTGAATGAAATTCATTATGTATATAGTCATTAATTCTTGATAACTTAAAAATGAATGTGCTTTACAAGAGTGATTCATTTGGAGCTTACTTGTTAAGCTTTTCATGACAATGGTTGAAGGATTGATGCCACCTACAACTTGAATTGGATTTGTCAGGCCCTACAAATTACAAAATCTATCAATAAATTATGTGCCAGAACTTCAAGAACAATTTGCATCATTTGCCCAACAAATTCTTTAATTGATGACAGTAAATAAATCTTAAATTGATGGCAATAATATTATTACCCCTCATTATTCCAAAAAGAAAGTGTGATTGATAGAGAGCACATTATTATTATTATTATTATTTATTAAATTCATATAATTAATTATTATAACATAATTAAATTATAATCATTAAATAATTAATTAAAAATTAAAAAATAATTAGATAACCAATCTCACATACAATTAAATTTTAATCTAAGATCTCAAGCTCCATATTCTCATCTAAAGAGTCTTAATTCATAATGTTTCAAGGTCAATATGTTGGGTGTAACATTAATAATATATTTTTTAAAATTTAATTTACATATAAGTTTTTTTTTTGCCATAATACACAATACTTAAATATCTACAAATAATTGATTATCTCTTGAATTAATTGGTATGTCATTTTAGTTTATAATTAAAAGTTATAAATTCGAGGGAATTTAAACGCGTAATATCTTTTTTCAGTTAGGTATATAATAAAATAAAAAAGTTTAAGAGTAAATTAAAAACTTTTAAAAAAAAATCTACAAATAAATTATGGCCAAAGAATATATATCTACAAATAAATTCAAAATTATACTTGTAGTAAACTTAATATATAAAAATTCGTTAAAACCTATTAAAGAAGTAAACCCACAACGACACCCACCCAAGGAAATTTTTATTCTTTTACTTTTTTTTTATATAAAAAACAATTGTGATCCAAGTTATCCCTCATTAGAAAACAATTACTGACATCATGATCTAGGTCACAATTACTAGATTAATCAATCTTGCCTGCTGGCTTAAATTTTAATGCAACCAATTAATGAAAGATAAAAAATATTTGGACCATGTCAATTTTTTTTTTTTTTTTTGTTGTTGTTGAGATCATGGTCTGCATCATAATTAAGCAGTCAATTAATGATGATTCATGCCTCACTGAAATAAATTATCAATATGTATTAGTGAATTATATTGTTGGAGAAAAGGTGGAGTGGGGACTTCAGCAACCACACAAAAAAGGAACCCATAATCTCACCAATAGCTTTTATTTTGTAGCTTAAGTCCAAACACGCAAGAAACGAATTTCCGCTACAAAAAGCCTTAATCTCCCTTCGTACTCAACCGTTTCTTGCGGTAGTCGCTATCTCTTACACCAACTCACTAGCCCCTTTTCGCCCTTCCACGCCTAAACATAGATTAAAACTCATTCAAGGAGAAGCTCCTGGGATTCATCATAGAGGTTTGTTTATTGCCCGCATGGAGCAATCAGCAATAGCCAGACAGGCACAGAACAATCACAAGTTGAATTATTCCAGGGTTGCTACAGAGAACGATATGATGTTGGGTGCTCTTGTTTCTCAAAAGTCGGGTATTGATTTCATGCAAAACTGTGATCTTCCTCCACCTGTCAAGGTCTTTACGGGGTTGGATAAGGCGGTTGTGCTATCAATGAACAGCGTTTGCAGCCTGGGACGAGAGAATGATAAATTTCATGATCATGTATGTAGAAATGAAGGTGTTGAGGATGAGAAGTTAGAGATTTTGAAGGCGCTGAGATTGTCTCAAACGCGTGCAAGGGAAGCAGAAAGGAAAGCATCAGGCTTGGCTGAGGAGAAGGAACGTATATTAAATGCCTTTATGAAAGATTCGTTGCAGCTTTTCGCTTATCGGCAGTGGGTGAGATTGCTTGAGATTCAAGTCTCGAAGCTGCAATCACAATTGCTAAAGCAAGAGAAGAATTCTCACCATTGTTGTGATAAACCAGAGGGGAAAAGATTGGTGCAAGAGGTAATTGAGGGGGGAAATGGGGATGAGATGTCATGGTTAGTTGCTTTGGCGCTCTGCCTTGGTATTGCTAGTGTGGGTTTTGCATTTGGTTGTAGATTTTTGTTTTGAATAATATATTAGAGCTTTGTCTCAGTAATCGTAGCAAATCCTTCATCCAAAATCAAACAGCAAAAGCAGGAGTTGGGCATCTTCACCTGTTTTTGTTCTTTTCTTTTTCTTCCCAGTCTGATAATAATCCACAGAACTACGATGAAGAGTTTATATTAACAACTTAACATACATGCAGACAGGATGAGTAAAGGTACAATGGTTCAAAATCATTTACAGGAGCCGCCTGCATTGGCACCAACCTGTTAGAAATGCAAGATGAGTGTAACCCTATATATACATGCCTGTGGCTCTATTTACATGGAATATTGTAACAGAAAAACCTACACAAGTAAAATGTAAGAAATAGAATAAAATTAGATGATGGCCATGTGAACAGCCCTCAAATGACCATAACAATCGTCACTGCTACTAAAGAACTCTAAACATACCCAGCAAACATGCCTCCCGCACTTACATTCGACATGGTTACACCCGTCGATCTTCTCAATTGTATATCCACAGATTGGGCAAGTTTTCACCTGCTCTTTTCCTTTGCACCACTCTTTCAAAGATGAATCAGGATCATCCTTGAACTCTCGGTACTTCTCACATGACAGATATGGATGATACTCCATGTGGCACCTAGTACAAGTCTCTGCATAACATGCTCCACAGACAAATGGCTCACCAAAAGTCTCAGGATCAGCAACGCGATAAACTGAAGGGCAATCAGGAGATGGGCAAAATCTATAGGTGCCCCTACTTGAAGCAACAAATGCCCCTAAAGCAGCCCTAAAGAGTTCCTCTAGCTTCTCAGTTGAAAGGAGAAACTTCAAATCAGTAAGGAATATGGGAACCTTGCAACCTTGGTGGGCACAGCATATTGGGAAACTATCCAAGTTTTTGATAGCAGACTCACATTGCTCCACCAAACACAACCGACAGAAGAAATGGGAACAACCTTCAAGCTTGTAGCCATCTTCTACTTCACACAAGCAAACGGGGCAGGTAACTTCACTATCAGATCCCTCAGCTAAATCTTTACCTGTCTCTGCAATCTCAAGAACAATCTCTTCTACCTTTCGCTTCGTCTCTTTGTCACCACGAACCGATATAACATGATGCCTGGTGCTAAGTGTAAACTCGGCCCCAGGTATTTTCTCTTTCAGCCCATGAAGGTCTGGCCTGAATTTCTTAACCACTTTCTTCATCAGGTCAGGAGGCAGACCCGGACCATGAAGTCGGACCTCAAGCTGCTTGCTCTCATGGTAAGACAAAAGGGATTGAATCAATTTTTGCTGGGCTACAGCAGCATCTTCTGGAGAGCCAAAGATTCTTACATTGAGACTATGCCTGTCAAAAGAAATGTAGGTTTTTGTCTCTCGCTGCAATGATCTCATCAGATAAATGCCATCCCTAGAGAACAGATGCTGCAATATGGAAGGAGTGAGGCTGGCATGTTCTATGTTCCTACCATTCATTAGCTCTTCCACTGGCCTTCTCAACTCTGCCACAGTTTTGGTGGCATTGGCAGATATTCTCACCCGATAGGAGCCATTTTCATTTGCCTCTAGATTGCAGTCTACACCTGTAAAAGATGTATTTCATGCCCATCACAATTTGCCAATTTTGATAGATAACATCCAAACTACTTGATCATACTGCTGAACTATTTAGTCAAAACTGTAATTATGAGGGATATGCAACCTTTAGTTTATACAGATATTCGATGGAAGAGTTTATCTATAACCAGCTCAGACTCCCTGTATTTTGAGTTGGACTTTTATTCAAATGGAACTTATTTTCCAATCTACCCACCTTTGTACAACACAAAACTGTCACCTGCCAATTATCTTCTCCCTTACTTTTTTTTTATTTAACCAAGAAAACAACTTTGTTGATAAAAAATCCCGGAAGTACAGAGATGCTGATACAGGCAAAACAAGCTAAAGACTACAGAGACAACTAAACTTGTGCTCAAGAAATCAGCTTGCTGAAATAACTTTTTCATCTGTTTTAAGAAGACATATTCTAATCTTTCATATGCTAATCAATTGCACCTATTAATTAATTTTAAGATCACCCATGTGCTGTAAAACTAAGCTTCTATAGCGCAGTTTAAATCGTTTAAAATCAGGATAACTGCACTAAGAATCTTAAATGTTTATATGCATGTAAATCAAGTGTTATAGATTGAAAATGACCTATTGAATTATTCAGCTTCCACAAAGTACAGTGACCGAGTAATTCTGCCAGTCACCATTAACAAGAGTGACCAAAATTTGACATTTAAACTTATAATTGAAAGGCAACCAAATGCTACCTTAAATTAAAATAGAAAGTTAGAAACAAATAAACACCATCACAAAGAGAAGAAAGAAAAAGAGAAATGGCATGAACCAAAGACTAGATATTATAGACAACAATTCAAGGATTTCAGAAATGATGTGCAGGTATATCCTAACATAAATTTAAAAATGTTATATCCTATATCAAACAAATGACTAACCACACAACCAAGTCACAAAACCAGATTCTCAAAAAACAATCACAGATCAAGCACGCTAATCTGGTTCAAAGTTTCATTGCCATTCTGCACAGCATTGATCCCATGCCTTTCTCACTGAGACAGCAAAATCTTTTGAGCAAAGGGGCTGTTTCAAATTGGTTCAACCCCAAAACCCTTGCAAATCCAAGTAGTTCAAGACTCAAGAATCAACCTATGACACCTAAGATTCCATTTTCCATAGCAGATCCAATTATAATGAAAACCCTCTATCTGGTGGTAATCTAAATTAGATCTAATATTTCTTTCCTTTTCATTATGCCCTAGTGCCAAAGGCATGAAACGATTTGACAATGTTGAGGAGAGGTGGCAAGAGAGAGCAAAAGGAGAATTACTGACAGAGATTGAGAGATTCTGATGTCCTCAATTAGAAATTGAACGTGTTTCAGACTTAATCAGTCATTTTCAAACTTACAGGCCTTATTGCACTATCATGCAAACTTTTAGCACTTCTAGAGTAATTATCCCTCTTAACATTAACATACAAAAACAACCAAAAAGAAAACTAAAGCTTTTCTCACTACCTAATGTCAGCTATTTGGATCATATTGCACCATCGTCCTCTACCTCCCTTCACATGGGTGTCCTTCATAACCACATCTTCTCACAAGAACATTTATAGGACCTCCAAACTTTTAAAAAAATAATAAAAAAATTTATACACAGTTGACTATGCATGTTCTGAATTAGTCTAAATACTCTGGTATCTCATGTCCAACTTCATGTAGTACATTTTTGGACCTCATATTTTCAGTATAAGAGCATAAAGGACCTAAATGTGTGTAAAACTTGACATTTAAGTCATTTCTCATTAGTTTCCTATATTCCGAATCCATTTTACATAATGTTGATGTTCGGGTGATCAACTCATTCCACCTATAAAAGTTTCTAACTTAGTAGCTCAAAATCGCAATTACAGAACCAACAGTACACAACTATATTTAATGTAAAAAAAGCACATAGCAATTTAGCATCATTCCCAACTGTTCTCAAAATAGTTTTCAAAACATAATTCTACTAGCCAAATGTGGAAACTTTAACACATGAATGTTCAGATGACACAAAACCAACTACAACTATTTAGCTCAGTACAATTTAGACAACAATGTTCATGTCAATATTTGTTGGTTCAATATTTTCAAGCATACCTAGATGGCTCGGAAAACTCTACAATTTATCATTTCAAATTTTAAAAGGGCCAAAATGATGATAAAATAATCTCTATAAGAGTTTTTTTTTTTTTTTTGGGAAGAGGGTGGGTGTTACACTAGTAGAAGTGCATACACGTAAAAGAATGCTCCTTCTGAATATTAAGCATAATTTGCTAAATCTATCAGTATTTATCACACACTTTTATGCTGCAATATTATCCATTATCAATCACATTTCTACTAACCAATTTTTACACCACCTTAAGCAACTAATACACCTGTCTAACTGGAATGTTCTACTTTGATTTTCAAGATGCCCCAAAATGCACATAACTTTCAAGTTTGGTATCTTTCCCAAATTTTCACCTGCTTTTCCTCTTTTTAACATTGGAAAAAGACAAACAGTGTAGACCACCTCTTGTGAAACTGCACAGCTGGTCAGATGAAATACTGCTATAGCAATATCAAAAAGTGCAAAGGGAAACCAAAGAATATATATTTAAAAAAGTCTAAATTATTTTCAGTAGGAAAAGGGAGTTCATGGATATGATGAGGTTCATGCAACTGAGAAATTCAAGATGAAGACAGTCATCTATGATTCATTTACACACACCATCAGTTACTACATGAGAGGAATTGAAGAATTCCATTAAAGTGAATCATGCTGATTGTTCTTCACCATCCTAATAATGAGAATGTGACAGAACCAACCAAAGAAAAAAAACATAGACCCACCAACTACAGAGCCTCTAAACTATGTCCTCAGGACACAGTTGCTCATACCAATGTTGTATCTTTTATCCAAGCTTGAATTAGCATTCATGATATTATTAAAGTATGATTAAGTGATGTGTAAATAGTCACACATATCTATGTGTGCAGCACCACCTTGGAAAGAAATGGAAGTGAACGTAATTAGTATAACAGGACATTAGAATGAAAAACAAGCAACTCAATGACTAGCTCTGGCCCAATGCACATATTTTGACACCCAAACACAAGCAGAGGCATGAGAATACAACAATAAGAACATGAACATAAATGTTAGACAGAACAAAAAATGAATAATAGTTCTATGTCAGTATGAGTACCTTTTAGACGTCTGAAGCTTGCTAGTAAAGAATCCAGTTGCTTCTTAATAACAGCATAGACAGATGAAGAGCAGGATATAGAGGTATGAAACACTTGCTGGCACCTTATCTTCTGCCATGACAAACATCCAGGTAATACTTTCCCCTCTAGCTGCTCTAAAGCTTTTGCAGCCTCCAAATGTAATCTTCCATCGAAGGTGATCAAGGCTTTCATGAAAGTTTCCTTTGGTTCGGGCTGGAAAACCTGAACCCGACAATAATTTGTATGGAGATTCCTTTTAGGCATAAAGGGGGATATTTCTCTCTGGAGTGCCTCTTCACAAGCACCACATGTTGGATTTTCCACAGCATCTCCTCTCACCAGGAAGAAATCATGGATTTTCCTTTCTGTTGCCCTCTGTAGTGCATCCCAAACTTCAGCTTCAGAAAGCTCTTTATCAATTCCATAAATCACTACAGAACCAACAGAACCAACAGATTTCCTGCTAACTTCACACCGAACAAATTTCCCCCCTATTACCAGATTAGAGAAATCATCAATAATGAAACCAACGTCAAGCAGATCACATCTAATGACTCCAAACCCTTTACTGGCCCTACGAGGCCAATAAACCTTTGCTTTGACAGCAGGGAAGGAGAACATCTTATGATCACCTCCAAAGGATATCCTTGAAGGAAGTACCTTCAATGGAGAGCCAGCAAAGTCAACTCCATCCAGCTCAGCAGCTTTTCTGGCAGCATCAGGAGTTAGGAATGTTATCTTGCCCCATTTTTCCTTATCATCACTCTCTTGTCCATTGGCTTGAGATTTATGGACAGAACAAATACTGCCATCAGAATATTTCTCAAAGAACATCAAAAGCTCCTTATCTTCAAGATTGTTAACGTTTGAATGGAATACATCCACAGTCAAAGATCTCTTATCAACTTCAAGATGCTTAATCTCAGCACCTGCTCCAAAAAGAGCCATAGATGGCGAGGCACTCGGACCACGAAATAAACGTTGCTCCATGCATTCATTAAGTAACCATTTCCTTTCACATTCCAGCACCTCATTCACAGAAGCCAGAACCTTCTGCATGTCCATTGATGAGGCAAACAGCAGAATCTCATTCTGCTCAATATTGACCTGAATACCAATTCGTTCATCCATACAGGCAGTCCTAATCCGTGATAAAAGAGATCGAAGATTATGGTTGGATCTCCCACAAAATTTTTTTAGTTGAGTACTACCAAAACCAGTCAATGCCTTCACTTGCAACTTATGGCTTTCCATCTTACACACATCAAACAGGGGTGGAGGATGGAGAGTGGCTAAAGATTCAAAATCAAAAGCAGTTACACAGACCAAGTACTGATTAGTTATTGATAAGAGTTCACTGAAAACAACCCAACTTGGCTTCTGACCAAATATCAGCAATGAACACGAAGGATGCAGCTGCACATGTTGTCCAGTCAATGCCACCTCATAACCAAGTTGATCGTAACCAGAATACATGGCAACATTTTCAGCAAGCGAAGAAAGTATAATAGCCTTCAAACATTTATCATGCTCAGTAGACTTATGAGGATCCCACAACAAGTAACTTGGAATAATAACAGCAAGTTCCTTTTGCAGACACATTTCCAATTCGGTGACTGTGTCTTGGCATCTCCGCATTGACTTAGCATTTATACTGTTTTCCCAGCACCATTTATTTTTCCTGTGGTGTGGGAGAGCTTCCCACTCCTTGTACACAGAGAGCAGAGTGAAAAGGTCACCATTCCTGTGGCAAAATTGCACCTTAAGACAATCAGCTTTTATCTTGTCATCATCATTACCCACCCTGCAAAATATGCTACTGGAATTTGCCATAACAGCAGCAAGAACAAGACCCTCTCTACGCAGACCAAACGGGAAGCAACTGAGAATCAGTTTACCAAGGCGAGGCTCAATCCCCAATTTTACCAAGTACCGTCCTTCATCAGTTAATTCAAAAACACCATTATTTTCCACAATGGCTCCCAACTGGATAAGATTCCTAGTTGCCATGTCAATGGCTTTAGAACTAGGTGCATCAACAAAATCAAAACTCTGAACATTCTTGATTCCCAAAGCAAGGATCCTCAGAACTGCAACACCAAGATGAACTCTGCGAATCTCAGGCTCCTGATTAGGGGGCATTGACTCAAAATCACTTTCAGTGTATAGTCTGTAGCATCTTCCTGGTTCTGTCCTCCCAGCACGACCAGCCCGTTGATTAGCAGAACTCTGGCTAATCCAGCAGACTTTGAGAACGTTCATTCCAGTGCCAGGTTCAAATTTACTCTCCTTGACCATACCAGAATCGATCACATACTTGATCCCAGGAATAGTAAGTGATGTCTCTGCAATATTAGTTGCAAATACAACTTTTCTTTTCCCATGGTAGTTCTGGAAAACATGAAATTGCTCGTCAAAGGAAAGCTTTCCATGCAATGGTAATGCAACTGCATTTGGAGCTTCAAAATGTTCACAAGCCCATTCTACCTCCATCTGGGAAGTCAAAAAAGCAAGAATGTTCCCCTCCTTCTCTGTTTTATGAACCTTAACAGCCATCCTCATGACATCAGAAACATATGAAGCAACCACACCAGAACTAGAAGTTCCCTCAGTTGCACAAGGAACATATTTAATATCAACAGGAAAGTTTCTCCCGATCACATGAAAGATTCCACAATCAAAAAAGTATTGTGAGAGTTGATTTGCGTTGGCCGTTGCAGACATTATTATAAGCCTTAAATCAAGTCTTCGACCAAGTAAACCTTTAACCAATGACAAAAGAAGATCAGTGTTCAAACTTCTCTCATGGGCCTCATCAACAATAATGCAAGAAATTCCTGACAAATCCCTATCCTTCATATAATGCTGCAGTAAACAGTGGTCGGTCATATATATTATTTTGGAATCAAATTGCTGAGCAGATGAAAACGTTGGATAACAAATGACTGAATTATCATCATAACATCCAATGCTTTCTTCTCTCACTCTTTCTGCTAATGAGATAGCAGCAATCTTTCTTGGCTGAGTACATATAATTGACTCATCAGCAGCGATTCCTGAATCAGCAAGAAACTGAACCAGCTGTGTACTCTTTCCTGATCCAGTCTCTCCAATCAATACCATTATCTGTGCATTTAATAGTTATAAGAAAAACCAGGACAAAACTACACTGTAATTAAATTTAAACACCTAAATAACATAGGAACAAAAGAAATAAAATAGCAAAGAGAATTTCCTAATCATCTTGCAGTTACTATCTACTACTTCATGGGACTAACTACTTCATGGGAAGACAAATGAATCGTTTTAATCTTTTATGAGGTTGATAACAACCTTGAATTTGATGTTGGCCTGATGATCAGTTTAGCTGCTGCTCCCTACTTGCTCATTTGCAACTATTGACCTATGTTTAGTTTTCAACCTTCATAGTATCTCAATGTTCTAATCCACTTTATCCTAAATCCCAGTTTAAGCAATTGAAACGCCTCCTCATACAGGTCTCCGCAGACTATCCTATATTTCATCTAATTAGTATTTAGATGTTCACTAATTTCTCTAAACCCAAGAATATTCCCCAATACACGAATTTAAAAAGTCCAACAGGGTTTAAACATTTACAACATGTTCATCAAGCTATAGATAAGGAAGCCCACACTGAATTACTAAGCTAACATATATAATTAGATGGACCCCCAACATTGATCATAAATTTCTTTATCTGCAACTAACTTAAATCTCGACATACATATAAACCCAATAATGGAAATTTCCAAAAATACAAAGTCAATGTTAAGATAATAATCCTTTGTTGATTTTACATGGCAAGCATATAAATTTACTTTCAGAGCTTTTAAACTCTATTGCATTGGAAAATACTTAAACCTACTTTTCAAGTTCTTTAATTCTGAATTCCACTGTCAATGTATCAGATGATAATCCTAAGTAGTGCTTTTAATCTCCAACACACATGGGAAGTACAGAAACCAATTTTTCACGTTTTTTAAATTGCATCACCAGGTTATTATACTGCACCCTCAATATATAAGATAATAATCCAAATCCATCTTACAAAATACATCACAAAACCCAAAAAAAAAAAAAAAAAAGCAGAATACAAAACAGAAAAAGGGTTGAGAATAGATTTTCACCTGTTCACGATGTATTCTAGTGAGAATCTCTTTCCTATGAGCATATATAGGCAAACCATACTCCAACCTCCTACATTCTCTCAAAATCAGCTTATGAATTCTCTTCCAATCAAACCCCCCATCAAGCCTGAAAGCGTCCACACCTTCCTCTTCTTCCTCATTCCCGATTTCCCCATCTTCCAAGCACCCTAACAAACTCCTCATCCCGCCCTTAAACTCCCTCAACCGCTTCGAAATCATCAACCTCTCCGCCATCAAAGCTTTCTTCTTGTCATTCAACTCAGAAAACCTTCCTACCTGATAATGCCTCTTACCCATTTGTCCTGACAAGTCAACAATCTCATCGGATAGTTCCTCGATTTTTTTCTGCCACTTCTTAGCCAATTCCCCTTCCATCAACCCCTTTATATGGTCGGAGAAAAGGGTTCTAAGGTTTTCTTTGAGTTCCACCGTGTCGGAAGGCACAAGGACGTTGGAAATAACATTGGGAGTAAATTGGTGAGACCCATCAAGGCGGGAACGCCAGAGAGAAAGAATCGAAGAGAGGGTGTGGGACCATTCCCGGAAATATATGTAAGCGGCGATTTTTCCAGTGGTGCGAATCTCGAAACTTTCAGGGGATGGGTTAAGTTGGGAGATAATAGCTTGTAGGTTGTTAGGTTTAGAAGGGAATGGGGAGGAAGATTCGTGAAGGAGCTCAATTATGAAGTTTGGGAGTGGGAGGATGTTGGAATTGGTGTAACCAACGGCACTGTGCAGTGAAGGTGGGTGCCGACGACGGTGGTTTTGGTTACTTACTACAGGAAAATTGGGTCTTTGATGGTGATCGTTTCGGTTGCTGTGTTGGTCATGACGGTAGGGTATATGGCCGCCCGGAGAAGGCGGGTGACGGTGGTTGGAGTATGAAGAGAAATTCTTCATGGCATAGAGAAAACAAACAAATTGAAAGGCATAAAAGAAACGATTTGTTTGGTTTTGGGGTGTTCCTCAGCTTTCCTTCATGTTCTGCTTTATGGAATTTGAAGAAGAAAGTGAGTGAGTGAATAGAACACAAATACAGAACGAAGCCACGAGTTTTATTTAAAATACGGTTTAAAACTTTAGATTTTTCCTTAAAAAAAAAAAAGACATTTGGGGGAAGTGGGGATTACGAGGAAGATGAGGGTGTCAATGGCAAATAAAAAAAATTGTGATTATTGGGCTTCCGGAGGGAATTGGATGCTCCCCCTTTCTTCTACTAACGCAACTTATGCCCTAAGCCAACTTCAAATTTTTTTTTTTCATAAAGTCCCACAAAAAAAAAACCACTATAAAGTTTTTTTTTTTTAATTGAGACTTTTAGTATTCCATAATCATTTAAATCTTAAAGTTAAAATCAAATTGAACCTCGTAAGAGAGATAAAATTTTTCAGTATCTATTTTTTTATTTATAAGATTCGAAATTAAAATTTTATTTAAAAAAATCAAAATTTTTAATTATTTGTGATCAACAAACGTAATTTTGTAATATAATAATATTACTTTCTTTTTTGTTGCAAATGAGAGCTAGTGCCCTTATAAGGGAGAAGGAGGATGGCGGGATCGAACCCACACTTACATGATTTTTAACTTATCTTTTAACCACTAAATTAAGAGAGTAAAGTCTAGTAATAATACTTTTGTTTGTTAGGTAAATGATTTATAGATTAGGTTTAATGAAAATTATCATTAAATTTTGATGTAAATAAAAGAATTTAGTATTTACTATAACTAAAATAAACCAGATTATATGAGTGTATTTTTATCTTATTATAAGTAATTTTTTTATGATTTAAAATGACATTGTATTAAGATGTCATGAATAGTTCCTAAAAATTCAAATTCGGAAAAGAGGCGGTTAGTAATATATTTCAATCGGTTTGCTAAACTAAAAATATTAATTTTATTTTTTTTATAATTTAAATTTATGCATTACAATTTTAAAGATATTTAAATCATATTAATATTTATCCATTATTATTATATCCAAAAATCATTATTTACAAATTCTTAAAATTAAAAAGTTTGTTAAAAATTTTAAATCATAATCATACAAAATTAATAAAAATGAAATTAACTTTTCAATTATCTCAATAAAATTTTAAGTTTTCAACCAAGTATCAAATGTGTTTTTATTTTTTGTTGGTACAAAAATGATCAAAGCCTAGAGAATTTAAGAAAAGATAAGTTGTAGGTTTAGAGATTCGAATTCCAATTTTATAAAAATTCATCTTAGAGATTCGAAAATAACTTTTTCCTTTCATATCATTTTTTATTTTTATTTTAAATATTTATCTCAAACTATTATAATTATTTTACCAACCAAAAAAATCTTATTGAAACTATTTTAGAAAAAGATTTTTAAAAAACACCATAACTTTTGATATCAAAATTTCATCTTCATTATTTACAAAAAAAATAAAATAAAATTTCATCTGCATTATTTTAAAAGTATATTTATTTTTTTATAAAATATTTACTGATTGATTGATTTATACTTCTTCTTATTTCAAATATTAATTACCCAAAGAATTAAAAACATTCTCATAATTCAATGATAGATTGTAATTAGTAATTCCTCGGTTAATTATAGATTTTATTAATATTAAAAGCATAATACTGTCACATTAATATATAATTTTTAATTTTACGAGTTCGTCATGCATTTGTTAATATAGTGTTTGCATATATATATATATTAATAAGTATAATAAAAAAATTTAAACAAAAAATATTATATATTATTAGTTTGTCAATTGATCTCTCAAAATTAAATGTTAAGATCCATCGTTGATACAAATTTATATTATAAAAAAAGTGATATCATAATTCTATATTTGTTATCGTAAGATTATAAACCTTACAATTTTTCTTTTGCCATTTCATTCCATAATCAAGATATATGGCAAATTTATTTTTCTCCAATGCTTTAACTTATCTTTTATGTTACTCTAAAATTTCTTTCGATAAGATTTATGGATACCCAGGTATGCAAAATTATATTATATAAAAAAGTAAAATTATATTTCTTAAATTGCTATTAAGACCTTTTTTCCACCCAATATTTGACGATACATGGCAGGAAGCATGACTTAGTCGTCAGGTAGCTGATCATATTGAAACCTAGTATGCAATTTTTTTAGGCCAATAAAATTCCCAGTTGATCACGTGGCTTATTAACTCCGCAACGTGTTAAAAAGCAACAAAAAATTATTGCTTACGAAAGCGTAGGACAAGATGCAGTCTTCTACCTGAAAAAGCCGCAAGAAGTTCAAAAATATGGGGCCCATCCGTACACTGAGCCCATTGTCCATATAATTAGATTAGAGCCGACAGCTTTCGTGACTCACGTTTTTCTTTTGTGGGGCCCGCAAAAGCCGAAAGAAGACTTGTGAAAATCAAGTCAAGCCATTTTCTTGTTGGAGAGGCATCTGTGGAAGTAGCAAAAAGAAGCAGAGATTTTTTATTTTTTCTATTTTTTAGAATTAAAATACGATAAAAGAAAGAAAATATGTAGATTTGCATATTTTTATTTATTCTAAAAAGTAAATTTTGTTTTTTTCTCTAACGCTAACCGCTTAATAGTGGCTTAAAGTTGGTGTTATACGAAATTTATTTTTTTTTAATATACGGAATCAACTTTTATCTTTCCAATTCTAGGGATTAATTTAAATAAAAAATTATTTATTAATAAAATATAAATTTAATTTTTTATCTAAAACTTGATCTCCAGGCCAAGCGGAACTCGGTAACAAATCTGCTCTTACTTGGAGATTGGGCAGTTAACTACTTGAAATACAAAAATTATAATAACATTACCCTCTTATAAATTTACACCAAAAATTTATATGAGATGAATAAAAAAGAATTATGTTAGTATTAACTTAAATTCCATATAATATTTTGATATAACTTACCAATTCATGTATTTATTAAATAATTATAATATAATAACTATAAATCATGTTTAATATATAAAATAATAGATAATAATCTTATACCATATTTGATTTGTGTTTAAAAAAAATTATAAAAAAAATTTAATTATTCGATTGACATAAGATAATTTAATTATTCTAAAATGAAAAAAATTATTTTTAATTTATAAAATTAAATTTACATATTTTATTATACTTTTAAAAATTATATTAATAATTTAAATTATAAAAATTTTGAAAAAATATTTTTTATCAATAAATAAAATTATTTTATCTTAATTCTTACACTCATCAAACACAAGATAAGATGATATTATTGAATTTAATTTTATTCATAATATCATCTTATCTTATCATATCATATTATAATATTGTATCAATCGATATACTAAGATTGATAGGCAAATTTATGAGCAAGACAGATAAATAAATCACAAATTAAGGGGTTAAATAACAAAAAAAAATCTAAATATTATTATTTACAACATTGTTTTGCATTGAAAAAAAAAAAGTATGCAACTTTCTCTAATTTTTTTCTCTCTTTAATGATGTTAAACCATCACATACCCCTCTAACTACTATACATTGAAAGAGGTATCATAGCCTTTGATTCTTAATTTGCTTGATCGTAGAATTATAACTTTATACCAGAAATTGAACCCTTATTATTATAATTAAAAGTCTTTAACACTACCATCAGACCACTTTTGGTATTAGCATAACTAAAATTTCAGCAAATGTTAAAAGCTCAACAAATGTCAAAGCATCATCCGAATATACTGTTATCCCAGCAGACCTACTTGACTCAAACAACAGGATATCAAAACAAACCTGCTTATTATGTCTCGGATACGTCATTAGAAGGGGTGTTGCTGGTTGAATTAATATCTGATCCATAAATATGCCCCATTTTTGCACGTTTCGTCTCCAAGTATCTTTTGTTATCCTTTGTTATTGGGGTTAATAATGGAACCCTGCCGGCAATGGCCAAACCATAACCTTTAAGCCCAACATACTTTGCAGGATTGTTTGTCATCAGCCTCATTGTATGAACACCGAGATCTCGAAGTATCTGCACCAAATAGAACCCTAAATTCAGCCATGAAAATGATGCATACATATGGATAAAATCATCTTATATAATATTGGAGAAGAGCAATATAACATATGGTATGGGTACGAAAACATGGTCGAATTTCAGATCCTTATGTACAAAGAAAGCTTCTTATAGCATGAAATACAATGTTTCCCAACTCTGCAACAAAAAGACTGACAACATTCTAAGATTACATTAAAGATTGTAAAATTCCGCCAACTAAAAGTGTTGATAGTTTTACTTGAGTTAATTCACCTTCATAGATTAATTAAGCAATGATCAGACTACAACCGAGGGGAGATTTAGTATCCGATGCTTCTTGAAATAATAGAACATTAACAAAAGAGGTAACATGAGAGGGTATTGCAATGAATACAGAAGCAATGCATATATAATACCTAACAAATTGCTAAAGAAAACTTACCTAACAAATTGCTAAATAAAACTTACCTGTGCACCAATGCCATATTCCCGAGAATCAACAGGTAAACCCAACTCCTCATTGGCCTCAACTGTGTCACGTCCATCATCTTGTAGGTTATAAGCACGGAGCTTGTGGCCCAAACCAATCCCTCTACCTTCATGCCCACGGAGATACACTAATACACCCAACCCAGCTGCCTCAATTTGCTTCATTGCTAGTGCCAGCTGGTTCCCACAGTCACATCTGGCTGACCCAAATATGTCACCTGTGAGGCACTCAGAATGTACCCTCACAAGAATATCTTGGCCATCACCGATTTCACCCTGTATGTCCACAATTCAGTCAATGTCCTACCCTATATATATATGCACATCTACCCTGACCCATAACATTTTCCCTTGTCGCTAATGACACAGTAAACTAAAACAAAGGCATAAAAAGGATGAGCCACTCTTTTTCCTCAAGAAAAGGTTCCAGTTTAAATCCCGTTCCCCCCCCCCCCCCCAAAAAAAAAAAAAAGCATAGAATGAGTAAAGCACGGGGAAAAACATCAAATAATGATGAAAAAAAAATGATCCTTTGTACATAGATTCAAGACAACGGCTGAATCATACTTTGCAAAAAGCCTCCACCCTTTTAAAGCCTGATTAAGACATGCATATTTAGAGTTTCTATTCTATCATTTACACTAGGATCAGAAGCAATAGCTGTTCCCAACTTCCAGAACATATCTCATCTTGATTATTTAAACCACAATTTAAGCCCATCAACTTAGAGTTTTAAAATTCCAAAACCAGGTTTATCCTACACCTGAATAGGAGGTAGATTCATTATTCGGGCATTAAAGTGGGCTTGTAACCAAGAGGGGCATTAAAGTGGTTGAATCTTAGAGATAGCTTCATTATAGGCTACTACAGCTTATGTGTACTATCAAAATCTCTTCAGAATTTGATCATACTATTTATTTCTCTTTCAGCCTGTGTGCCTAATCCATTCACATACAAAGTATTTTGCCAGGTCTTATGAAATCCAGATAAGACTTAAGAGTAATCCTACCTAAAAATTACCTTCTACGCTCTGTTTCACCACTTAAATAGCAATAATGGCATGGGGCACAGGAAGATTGTGTGATCTGAAGTCTGTGAAAGAAAGTATGTCATCTTGGATAACCAGCTGAACAACTCAAGTCATCATGCCATAACATGCAAATGTACTCACAAACGCTGTCAGAGAGAATGCATACACGCCCAGCAATGCTTTTATAAAGTACTGAAACATGTTTTATAACTAGAACACAAACAAGTGCAGATGGCAGAGTAAAACACAAAAGGACCAACATCATAGAAAGTCAGCAAAGCAAGTACATTGCTGAAGAGCAAGATATACTCCATGTAGCTTCTAACAAATTACCCAAGAACATATTAATGCTGCAATATCAAGAATCCCTTTGAATTCTGAGCATTTAAAACTGATTGTCAGACATTAGTGTAGGTTATCAACATAAATAAAAAACAGATGAAGGTCATGAGCATGCTAGCTCAGATGAATTACTTACTTTAACCATCGCAATGTGCTCGATCCCATCTAGCAAGGACTTATAACAGTATGCTTTAAATGGGCCCCACATTGTGGGTATCAGTGTAGCAGCAGCCAGCTCAACCAGCCTATCTCTTTTCCTCCTATATCTGTCAATTATTGTAATATAAATAACTTCAGGAAATGGATTAGTTTTGATAGTCAATAAATGAAAAATGCAGATGAGTTCAGATGCTGATGTTCCTTAACATTATATACAAGTTAGCCACCACTCCAGCACAGGTGAATCTCCTAAAATTTTCCTTATATTTTGAGTCATACCCTTGTAAACATTTTTACTGTGAGATGTTGAACATGTTCATAACACTAATATTTAAGGAAAAATAAAAAGTCAAAGTAACAAAGAAAGACATAGTTGGAAAAACTTATATAACAAGCAAAAATAACTGACAGTCAAGTGCCAATGCCTTTTCTTTTCTTTTCTTTCCTCATTTTTTGGGCTCATACCTATAAACCATTCCCAAGAGAAGATGAAAAATAGGACAGAAGTTGCACTAACTCATAAAGGTCAATCTTCTTTCTTCTCTTATAGTAAAACTAGGAGCAGATATGGTAGTAGTAAGTAGCAGGTCCTATTTTCCCATTATTTTCTCTTCCCCCTTCCTTATAGGAGGAGGCAAACTGGGCAATTCAGTTCACAAACTAGTTCACAAGCCAAATACCTATCTATGGTTTGAGGAGACTTAAGGGGTAAACAATGCAATAAAAGCCTCTTAACTTTAACAACACACCAGCACTCCCTATGAAAAGGACTCATGAATACCTGATTAGATCGGCGATAGAAATAATCTTCAACTTTTCTGCCTGTGCAAATTCACGAAGTTTTGGCAACCTAGCCATAGAGCCATCATCATCAACAATCTCACATAAAACTGCCACAGGTTCCAGCCCAGCTAATACAGCAAGATCAACAGAAGCTTCTGTGTGCCCAGCTCTTTTCAGAACCCCTCCCTCCCTGTACTTCAAGGGAAAGATATGACCTGGGCGATTGAAATCTTCAGGTTTTGAATCCTTAGATGCCAGAGCCAGCACTGTTGTAGCCCTATCACGAGCAGAGACACCAGTTGTTGTACCATGCTTTGCATCCTGCATGAAACCAATGCAGTTGATGTTAAAAACCAGGATACAGATTTAAAATTAGTTATAGAAAGCGGACACAACACTGAAACATGAATCCACCAGTAGGATGGAAGTTCTCTTATTGTAGTTGAACTTGCGAGTTTTGCCAATACAAAAGCTGTAGCTTTCATGTATACCTACATAAAGCACAGAACATACCACTGAGACAGTGAAAGCTGTACAAAGTTTTTCCTCATTCTCCTTCTGGGTTACCATTAATGGTAGTTCCAACCTCTCCAAATCTTCAGCTTTCATGCTCACGCAAACAATTCCAGTTCCATGCTTGACAATAAAGGCCATGGCCTCAGGAGTTGCCAATGATGCTGCCATTATCAGATCACCCTCATTTTCTCTATCTTCATCATCTACAACAATCACTAACTGCAAAATTTCCTCTATTAGCAGTGCGATAATCCTTATAAAAGATTATCAAACAACTAACTAGGACAAAAACAAACCTTTCCTTGACGAATATCTTCAATGGCTTCCGGGATGGAAGCAAATCCTTGTGTAGGACGATCCAGGTCATATTCATCAGAAAAGAAACCGCTAGTCATAGGAGTTACTTCAGCCGCAAGTGTTTCAAAACCTATAGCATCAGGTTGTATCTCAATCCCAGTCGGCTGGTCAACAATTCCATTGACAAAACCAGTCTTCCCAGCAACAACTCCATTACCATTAGGATAAGATAGGACATCCCCTTCTCCAGACACCAATGCAGCTCTAATTTTACCAACACCCTTGAAACTCAAACGCATCTTTCTTGATAAAATATTCAAAAACAAAACATGGTTGCAACCATTTGCTGTAATAATCGGATTTGCATAATTGTACCCTCTAAATCAAACAGGAAAAAGAAAAAAAATCATCCCATGCGTACTCAAACCCCTATAATTCTAGAATAATAACATGAAAAATAATATAAAAAAACTTGCTAAGGAGTGAATTAAGAGTACTTACCAAAGTTTTTTAGATTTAAATATCATATTTGATTTATATATATATCATATCATATTTCCTCAAATATCACTCAACAAATACCATCAAAACAGTCAGGTAAGATTTTCCAATAATTCAAATGATGATAAATTATATGCCTTTATTTCAGTTACCGAAATACTCTAAAGCTATAAAAAGGAAAACCCTAAGGTAACATTTTTTTTCAATATAAAAAATTAAAGACTAAACATAATTAGAACAATTTTCCTAGAAAAGGTTAAAATTATGGAAGCCTGGAAAAGATTATGACAAAAAGACAAAAGAAAATCGAACTTACCGTAAACGGGAGAGAGACGTTAAGGAATAATTAAGATTGATGGAAGCCATTAACAATACGAAGGAAGTTTGAGCTTTATTGGGCAATCATCGCCATCGCCACCGCCACGAAAAGCAAATAGAGTGGAGAGATGAACAGAAAAGAAAAGCTTTGGGTTTTGTGTGTGGATGGATGATTCTAGCTTTCAGCTGACGTGGCTTTGTGGAATCAGTTTTCCCTTATTCCCCAATTGTATCCAAATCCTCGTCCCTTTCTTCTCATTTCCGTTATAGTGGCAAGTTTTAAGCACGTGCTTATAACTCTCCAATTAAATCTGCTTAATTTAAGACATCATGTAAAGATACAATATGAAAAAATATAAAACACATTTAAAATTTTAATAATAGTTATATATAAGAGTGTTTATTAGGTCCATTTAGTTAATTTTGAATCGAATGATCCAAAATCAAATTATTATTGGGTTAAAAAGCTTTCAATTTAATTCACGTCAGCGGAAGTATAATCAAACAATAAATCAAATATATAAGTTTCGATTCAATCGACCTACGTTCACAGATGAAAAATAAGATCCATTAATTGTAAAAAATTATAAATATACATCAAATCAATTTCACTCAATGATTAATATCTATAAGCTCTTTCAATCTTTTCGAATCCTACTAGATATACTCAACTTAAATAAATACAAAACCATATGCACCCTTTTAACACAAATAAACACATACCCATATATGTATCCATTCATTATACTTATGTGAATCATCTTAATCTCATCTAGTTCACTTTCAAACATTCAAATATTCAAACATGTACACCCATGAGACATAAATCTCTAATACTCTTACTCTTTTACATATTTTTCTCATATCTAATCCTAAGGAGATTGTACCTATTTATAAACATACATACTTGCCTATTAAGAACTAAGCAATAAAGTACCTCGTATTTTTCCCTCTGCCTCGGGTTGTCTCGTGATACCTTCTACAGCTTGGCCCGCAGCAGTACCTTGACCAACTCCAGGTCCAATAGAAGCAAGCCCGACAGCCAACCCAGCAGCAATAACGGAAGCGGCAGAAACCAGTGGATTCATGATAAGTTCCTCGCACCAAAATAAAGAAATGGTTAATGATACAATCATCCAATGAATTTTTACTTAATTATATTATTCCATCACTAAGATTCAACCTGCCCAAGTAACTAAAAACTTTAATCCTAAGGAGATTTTACATATTTATAAGTATACATACTTGTCTATTAAGAATCTATTTCCTTTTAAAAAAATTTTGTAAGTTAAACTTGTCTATTAAGAATTTTTTTCTCTTAGAATTTTTTTTTTACAAGTTTTCTTGTGCATCAAGCAATATCTGATCAATCTCAAATAAATCTCTTATGGTATTTGAGTCATTATTTCAACAATCTTCACATTAACTCAAATTTCATTAAATCATCTGTCAATAAAAGCATGGCATAAATGAAATTCCTAAAATAATAAATAAAATAGGGGGTAAGTGTGCAATATGTGACTACACTAAGGCAAGATCTTATTAAATAAAAGAACTATTTTTTTTCTCTTTGAACAATAACAGTAAAGAGGGAAGGAAATTAAAACAAACAAATACAGAAAAAAGGGGGTTCCTTGTCCCTCATTGTCCACATATAACTCTAGTAAGAGCTGGTTCATCAAAATAGAAAATTTAGGAAAAAAATTTTTTTTTTAATAAATTGCCTATCATCTGTATCCTTTTTACTTTCGAAATACGAACATGGGAATTATTGAAATGTTTATAAGCATACATACTTGTCTATTAAGAATCTCTTTCCTTTTAAAATTTTTTTTAAGTCAAACTTGCATATTAAGAATTTTTTTCTCTTAGAATTCTTTTTTTACAAGTTTTCTTGTCCATCAAGCAATATCTGATCAATCTAAAATAAATCTCTTATAGTATTTGAGTCATTATTCCCAACAATCTTTACATTAACTCAAATTTCATCAAATCATCTGTCTTTATGCTAGATATGCTTAGCTCCATATGCAAAGAAAGTCTCACAATCATATTCTCTTGCGTGTCTTCACAATTCATGCAAATCGATCTTCAAAACATAAACTCGAATTTCTTTCTTGAGTCAAGTTTATGTGGACTTGACTCTTTCTATGCCTTGAACCAAGCCTGATACCAAACAAGCAATATCTAATCAATCCCAAATAAATCTCTTATGGTATTTGAGTCATTATTCCCAACAATCTTCACATTGACTCAAATTTTATCAAATCATTTGTTCATGCTAGACATGCTTAGCTCCATATACAATAAAAGTTTCACAATTATTTTCTTTTGTGTGTCTTTACGCTTCATGCAAATCGATCTTCAAAATATAAACTCGAATTTTTTCCTTAAGTCGAGCTTTTGTGGACTTGCCTCTTCCTATGCCTTGAACCAAGCTTGATACCAAGCATACATTAAATCAATCTCACTCAACAATTAATACATATAGGCTCTTTTAATCTCTTCTAATCCTATGAAGTATTCTCAACCCAAATAAATATAAATCCATGTGCATCCTTTCAACACAAACAAACACATACCCAAATGTACCCATTTGTGCACCATTTCAACACAAACAAATATATACTCATATGTACCCATTCATCGTATTTATGTGGATCCTTTCAATCTCCTCTAGTCCACTTCCAAACATTCAAACATACACATCCATAAAATGTAAATCCTCAATACTCCTATGGGTGTTTATCACACAAAACCTTGTAACTCTCTTACATATTTTTTTCATAGCTAACCTTATGAAAACTTCACATATTTATAAGCATACATATTAAGAATCCATTTCCTCTTAAAAGTATTCTTTTGCAAGTCAAACTTACTTATTAAGAATTCATTTTCTTTTAGAATTTTTATTTTACAAGTCTTCTTGTCTGTCAAGCAATATCTTGTCAATTCCAAATAAATTTCTTATGAAATTTGAGTCATTATTCATAATAATTATATTATTTTATTTTCGTTAACTGAATTTAAAAATTAATAGATCGAATTTAATTCGATCGATTCGATTATTTTTTTCGATTAACAAAATAATAAATATATTTAAGTTAAATTATATTTTAAACTCTTAATTTTTTATATTTTAAATAAATTAAATATAATTATTCAACAAAATATTCAAATATCAAAGTATTATGTTAAAAACTCTAACAAGTTATGAAATTAAATGATTCATTTCATGTATTTTTTATTTTATTTATGGATTATGTTATATTTTAATTAAAATTTCAATTAATTCAGTTTTTAAATCAAATTAACTGAAAATCAAAATTTTTCTTAAATTATTTTTGTTAATCGATCAAAATTAATTTGATGACCGATCGATTAATTGAATTAAATCGATCGATTGATTCGATTAAAATTGAATTATGCACACCCTTAATTATATAAAAATTTAATAAAATTAAAAAAAATACTGTATATTTTATATTTAGACAATTGTAATATATAATTTGTATAAAACACTGTAAAATACACGAATTTCAATATAAAACATAAAACGGAAACAATATAGAAACACCATTGGGCAGGTCTATTCTAAACTTTTTTTTTTGTTTTTTGAAAAAAAAGAAAGCTCACATTTTTTGTGAAATGATGGTTCTTCGTCCAACGGTCGACGAACAACGAGCGGCGCTGCTGCCAATCCTGCAAGCTTGAGGTCTCCACTAACCTCCAGTGGACCAGAACTCCTCGAGCTCAGTGGTCATACTCATACTCGTGTTGATCGTGATCGTCTAATTTTCTCTCACTTTTTTTTTTTTTTAGTTTAATCCATTTTGCGTTAAGGTTTTTGTAGTTTATTGTTTTTAGAGACATTTCTAATAAAAAAAATGGCAAAGTTAACGTTCAGGAAGAAAAAAAAAGGAAATCTTCGTGATATTTCATGAATATTGCTCTGTTTTTTAATAAAGGAAATATTATAATTTGCTTCAAAACAATTTTTTTTTAATTTAATTGCCACGAAAAGCAATTACTATGAGTTTTTTTTGACAAGAATAAGAGTAACTGAGAAAGAGTGAAGATTGTCAACTATTCACGAAGACGTTCATAAAATCCTTTCTCACGATACCAAGATTCAGGTGCTTCTTTTATGGAGATTGGAGTGCTTCTCATTATTTTCAAAATAGAGGGATTGGATAAAGTTGGGCCTTGCTTTTGGACCTCCGTTTAATTTCTTAGATTACTGATTAAAAATTTCAATTGGGAAACGTTAGGAGAAAAGAACTAAAATCTGAAGAAATTTTAGAATCTTTTGTTATAAATTTAACCGTGTCATTGGCAGATATAGTATGATATAAAATTTTAATATTACTGAATTTCAATGACACTGCCCATATATTAGTTTGGAGCACAAGTCCATTTTAAGTTCATCATCAGCCTTTGCTCGGGTTCGAGACATGATAGCCTCACCATGCAGGTATGATAGGGAATGGGGTTCAAGGGTAGATTACGAATTAAAAAAAAAAAAAAAAGGCTACATCATAACATGATGGAAAAAATTTTTAATTTTTTTTTATGTTTGTACTTGAAGGTGTTAAGAAGTATAAAATTATAGTTTTTAAGTGTTTTCTTAATCACTACTTTGAACTATAGACTGTCAAGATTTGTGATACTGATGCCCTTCCATTTATTGAGGTAAAACTTCATTTGCATTGCTATGGATAACTAGTAAATCCATGGAGTTTTGTTGGGTTACTTGGACTCTAGCTACTTTCTTGACTGTTGAAGAATGCAAGGTAGTGAATAGTTGGTCAAAACTCGCAAACATATCTTTGCTCTTGGAGTTGAAATATTGTTGCCTTTCAAGAGTTTTTGTCCCATCCTTGTATTTTCTAGTTCTATTTCCTTTTAGTTGGATAATTTCAAGCAGTCTATAAAAATCTCCATGGAAAACACTGCTGTACTGCAGACCATTACACAGATGGAGTCTAAATAGTTTTGTAAAATGCAGTTTGCTTTCTGCTTGTTATACTTAAAACATAGAGCGGCCATTATTATTTTGAAGTGATAATTTCATGCCACCAAGTTCAAGAGTAATGGTTTGAGACCTGAGTGTGGCCACTTCATGAATAGACTTCATTGGACCTTAAAATGCCTGGTAATTCTTCTAGAAAAGTTCTATCCAAACATGTTGAAGCATAATACTTCAATTGTTTAAGTAGACCAGTAGTATAAAATTGTTATATCTGATTTCTGATGGATCAATTTGGAACAGGTGCATTTGAAATACTAA